TCATCATCATCGCCATCCTTCATATCCGAGAAGATGGCGGCGAAGACCAAGCTGCGCGCGCCATTTTCTCAAAAGTTGGGCGGGGGCCGTGCTTCATTTTCGTTTTTTAGATTTCCAAACGCGACCCGCATGGCTTTTTTCGCGCACGCGACGATCGAGGGACCGACAGGTGACGCGTGACAACGCCCTAACGCAAAGAAAAAGCCGAGCGGAAGACGAAAGTAGACCGATCGGGGCGCCACGTTTCAACCCATCCAGAAGCAGCTTCCTACATAGGCGTCAACACTGGCAACAGACGCCAACGCGTCCACTTCGTTCTATCTAATAGCACCACAGGCACAACAGTAGCGAGCCACACGCTCGAGCTCCAGCCACAGGGGACAACATTCACTCTCTCGATGCGCGCGGCGTTCCCAAAACGTGCGCAAGAGGGCCACGCGCACCTAGCTGCTAGCGTGCCGCTTGAAAAATGTACTGCGATCGAGAGGCAGTGTTTGGGTTTGGGTCTTGAAAAATATTTACAATGCAGGGCGACCACGTTGCCGCGGAGACTTCCGACAAGCTCGCTCTCATCTTCTACAGCCACTAGCTCAGCGCCAAGTCCTGTCATCTAAGTGTTTATATTTCTGAAATAGTTCGGGCGCAGAGTCACGCCAGGCCGCAACTCGCGGAGAGCGCGATCCGCCACGTCTATAAAGTTCTCCGATGCTCGGTAGTCCAAGTCCAGGATGTACTTCCCCGGGCGCCATGAAATCAGCCACCATTCTTCGCCCGCAAGCATAGCGCTGGCGGTCTCCTTTTGTCCCTTTGGTTTCTGCGACGTGAAGAACCAGCAAACGACGTGGCCGCTGGCGGCCTTCGAGTCCCCGACCCAGATGTATTCCGCACGGTTTGCGCCGTCGGCGCGTCCCTCACTCTGCGAACCCGTGCGCCGGTGGTACATGGCGCCCCGAATTAAGTCCACCTTTCGCCCCTTCTCATCCGGCAGATTGGGAAAATCCGGCTTCGACATTGGTTGCAGAGTGGAGAGTGTCTCTAAAGCTTCTACTACTAGCTGTGAAGCTGCACTTGCAGGGGGAGATGGAAAAACAATGATAGAGAGGAAAAAGATCGACGGCGCCAGCACAACGATGGAGCTTACTACTTCTAGCAATGGGTCAAAGCTAGGCGCTCTCTAAATATAAACGATTGCAGTGGAAAAAAGAGAAGCAAAAACTAGGCGCGTCGCTGTTCGGAGGTGGAATGTGGATGGGGTAGGGTGGGGCGATTGTATGAACCAAAGCCAAGCCTATACGGTTTCACGAGCGCAAGGACGCAGGAACCTGCCCGCGCCCCCGCCTGTGGCATACGTGCCCGGCGTAGCTTTTTGCTCATCGTTTCATGATCCTGGGCCATGCCTGCTCTTGGCTGAGTGTCTTCTTTTCTGATCGATTATTTGTTTTTTTATCATCATCTTATCATCGTAATCATCATCGTCACCACCATCGTCTATCCTGCGCGGGGTATTGCGCAGTAGAGGGCTCAAAGGTTTCTCCATGGCAGCAGGAGAGAGCGCCTTTAGTTTCTTAATTGCTGCAGAAGCGCCTTCTTCTGTCTGGGTAATTCTGATGTGTGCGCAGGGAAAATAAGTCGGATCCTCAATACGTACGCAGGGAGAGAAGTGCGCAAACCGGGGGGGCTTGCGGCGGTCTCCCCCGCGAGCAGGAAACTGCGGCGCCATCCCCCTACGAAGGCTTCGCGTGTGCTCCCTACTGAATCCACTGCGCCTCTGCGAAAAAAGTTCGCGCGAGCGGCTGCGTGTCCCTGCAGGACGGGTTCCGGGCGGTCTCCCCCCCACAAGGGAATTCCCCCCTTCCTTGCTTACTTACGCACCTCCTCCCCTACGCCTCCTACCCATTCTAGCGCAAGTTTGCGATGTCACACCCAGCGGGCGAAGCTATTCGAATCTCGTTCGAATGCTATAATTTTTGCTGCTGCTTGTGAACGACAAAGCATTACTGTGAGACTCAAAAACTCAAGGAGCACATCCGTCTCGTTCAATACCAAGAATTGTTGCTTAGTTGCGCTTCAATTTTTGCCCTGCTTCGAGCAGCCGAAGGAGCGGCAAGAGGGTTTTCGTTGTAGGTCTTTCTTCTATTCATGATGAAAATTGTCGACAGATACAGTTTGGGAGACACAAACGGAATGCTCCTGAGAAACTTGAAAAAAAAAGACTTCGCTTTATCCTAAGCCTAACCGTCAAAGTGATTCTTTTCATATGAAGAACTCATAGAATGCCGCAACGTTATTTGCGGCCTGCATGAACCGTGCCAGCCGCACCTATTTGTATTTTCCAATCTGTAAAGTACAGGTGTTGATGATAGCTCTATCTTATTTTAGGCACACAAAAAAATATTACGTACAAGATGATAGCGCGTAGGACGCCTTTTGGAAGAAAACTAGTATTTAGAAAACAAAAATAAAAGTGAATCAGAAACTCAAAATTTTACAGGCGACGTAACAAGCGAGACGAGGTTTTCCTTGTTCATATCTCAACAAAACTGCGTCGCTTTTTATTCCGAAGGTCTCGTGGAACGCGACACGCAGCACGACTTCTACTGCGAAGTGCTACACGAAAAATCGCAAATACACGATTGACGCAAACAAATCAAGCGAAAACCAAAGCCGCCTGCTGTCTGTTTCGTTTTCTTCTTAGTCGAGCTCACCTGTAGGAATTTGTACTGCAGCGGGCTGACCAACAAGCAGCCCAAACAACAAAAGAAACCCGCGTCCGAAACGCAAAGAAATGCCGAAACCTGAAAAGAACGAGAACTAAAAAAGTAGAGAAAGTGCGAAAGAAACAGTAGAAAAATTCAAGCAAGAAACCCGAACAGGATTGAAGATGCGCCGGTCCGGATACGGTAAAAATCAGAAATTTTCGACCCCATTCTAGTACTACAGTACCACGCTGATTAGGTACAGCAGCAGCCCGGTATCATAATCGAAGATATTCATACATATCGAAGTTCTAGTACTGATACAGCATTTTCCCTGCGATTCCCAAACACAGGGCCAATCCGTAGTGCGGTGAAACCGTTGGACACGTTGCCACACACCGCGCCTCGTGCAGTCGGTTGAGAAACAGCTGGTACTGTTCGTTTCCCAATCCGCGAAACAAATTTCGCTGTACCGGGTCCTTGATGGCGAGACACAGATGTGCCGGCGCATCGGTGCGCTGGAAAAACTTGTTTCTGCTGTTGTACAGATCGTGGTTCCCTCCGCAGCGATAATTGCTGCTGTGACCATTTGTTCGATGATCTTGCTGCTCTTTCAACAGTGCGACCGTGCTGTCCAACGACACCAGCTGGGTCTCCGGGTCAAATTCGTGCAGCCAAAACCGTCCGAAGTCCAGAAACAAGGCCGGCAAATCCAGCCCGTGCCACCACTGCTGGTAGTAGTAGAAGTTTTGCATCTGCGCGGCGTTGTAAAAGTCCTGCAGCTTCTGTTCGCGCTGCTCAAAGTAGAAAAGCATCATCAGCATCAGGCAGTAGTTGTTTAGGTAGAGAAACGGTTTTTCCATCCTCTGGCAGTAGTTCTGCTTGCACTTGACGTAGTGGGGCACATCGGGCCGGTTGGGGTTCAAGTTTGCGAATTTCGCCCATTGCTTCAGTACGAGCGCGAGTTGGAACTTGCGAGTACTAGAGGTTGTGTACTGCAACGGACCCATGGCTGAGCTAGTTTGCTGGGCGAACGTCCGAAAGGACTGACAATGTCCTCCTGCTCCGGGCTGATACTGACTACAACTCGGGTATTGCACATGATCGACGGTGCCGGCTACCAAAGTAGTTCCACCAGCCGGTCCAGAACATCCATGCCCTGGTGACAAAAACGTCGCCCAAATCCGCAAGCAGTGGGACTCTGGACTCGAGGCGTTGCGCGTCGAAATAGCCCCCGCGGTGCCACTGCTCATTCTGTCGTTTGTGTGTTGAAAGTTGGTCGTAGTTGTGGCTGCAGAACAGACGGACACGCGGCTGCTCCGCGGGGGGCGGTAGTTGTGATTCTGGACATCGGCTCCTTCGTTGTAGTTCGAATTCCTGGAAGCCGCGCGGCTGCGCTGCTGGTCAAAACTGTTCAAATAATAGGTCGCACCGTTGCAAGAACCGTGTTCCTGTTCGGAGAAGAAAAAGGAAGAATGCCTGCGATCGGCCATCGTAGTTACTGGGGCAGCTGCTCCACTGTTTGATTCGCTAGCAAAGGAAGAGAAGCGGAATGCTCTGCTACGCTGTTGCTCCAACATCACGGTCGCGTAGCTGCCAATCTCGTCCTCTTCACCCGCGCCAGCAGGGGTCGTGGTATTTGCGGGTCCTCCTGCAGGTGCCGATGGAAAGCTATGCAGTAATTCGCGCATGAGCAACGAATTCCGGTACACGTAGCTGTCCGTGTGAATTGAGATGTCGAACTCCGCATGCTCCTGGCTGTTGACGTAGTTTTGAAACAGGTCGACCGTCATTCCATTCGTTCCAGCAGCTGTAGCACAGGAGGAGAAATTGGACGCCGCTCCACCATTCGCTGCAGGATTGCCGTTCATTCCCATCCCGTAAGCATTCAGCTCACAGCGCAAAACCGGCACCCTCGCGGTGGCGATGAGGTCGATGTTCGTGAAGCCAATCTGCCGCAGCCGCGGAATCAACTGCCGAAGCAAGTCCAGTTTGGGATCAGAGGGCGGGGTGTGGTTGACGTCGTTGGGATTCGAACTAGACCCCCTCGTAGTCGCTCGTGAGCAGTTCTGAAGATGCTGGCTGCGGTGTGGTCCAGACCTGGGTGGATCGAGGCACTCATTTGCCGTTCCAGTTCCTGACGTGGTCGAGTTGCAAGGAGCGGGGTTGTAGTTGTAAATCCGAATCCCGACGTCCAAATCGGAACCGAATTCAAGCATGCAGCCCGTTATGGCACTGCCATAGGGAATGACAGCGAAGGACGGCGGTGGGCAGGTGGTATCTTTCTGGGCCGCGAAGAGGTGGGGGAGCCTGTTAGGTCGGTTTTATTCATGATTTGCGGATGTTTGGTTCGTTACAGCATACATGAGTGTGCTTTTCAAGGAACAAGCGAGAGCCCCCTGTGGCTGTGCTTCACAATCGCATGAAGAAAATAAGCAAATCTGCAGTAGCACCATCAACATAAATAACATGCTTACATACAAGACCATTTTCAAAAGCTAAAGCAAAATATCTCATACGTTTCATGCGCCACGCTCTGGATTTTATCGAAGCCAACTTTCAACAGGTTTCGTTTTTCCGCAGATATTTCCAACATGCGTAGAAGGTGCTGGTCTTCCGATTCGTGATGGGCAACGGACGGAAAATCTTCAAAGTCGAAGCAGTTATTTTCTGACAATACAGCGGCAGGAGCAGCTATGCCGCCGTCATTGTAGTGACCGTAACTGTGCAGCTGCTGACCCGCGTTCTGCCAGCATGGTGCTGATAGAGAGGGCGCACCAGCGTTGACCATATGGTCGTACCCGGATCGTACTTCTTGTGGCAGCATTGCACTCGTCGGGATGGTTTTACCAGCGTAGTCTGCACCTGCAGACGCTGCATATCCACCTCCTGATACGTTGTGGTAGGTGCTGCCACTGAAATTGCTGCTGTATGGAAATGGCGGACGGGAAGGGCAAGCATGGCTCTGCGGTTGTGCCACTTTTCCCGCAGCTCCGCCGGCATTGCAAATTTCATCCGTCTGCGGGTGTTGGCTCGGGAGCGTTGTCGCCGCGTTTGCCTGTTTCGATGCGTCTCCCACGACCGCCTCCACCTCTTGCGGCCTCTCTGTCGCCGAACATCCATTCGCCACAGATGAAACTGCCTCTATCTCTAACTCTATGCTCGTCTGCGCATTATGACCTTCTTTCGCTTTTGTCCCTGCAAATTTCACCTCGCTGGCCTGCTGTGGCCCCGACTCTGGAGTGCTTTCTCGAGTGGACGTTGTTGTGGTGGAGGATATCAGCACTGGCGGCGAGGCTTCCTGAGCTGCTTCTGCCAAGCGTGAGTTGAAGGTGCGTCCGGCGAAGGTCGATGCCACGGTAGAATTTCGCGCCGACGGCGAGGTCAAGAGCGTTCTAGTGCGTTCTTTCGCTGCGCCGCCTGCTCCTGGGCCCACTCTTCCCGCGGCCTGGCGGACAAACACAGATGACTTGGCTTTTGACGCTGGAAGCCAGTTAGTCTTACGCCCTTGAGCAGTAGCTCTGGCGGCGTTAGACGAAGAGCTGCTTGATGAAGACGAACTAGAGGACTTCATCCCAGTGGTGGTTTGCTGCGGCCACGTTGCCGGGAACGCACCTGGCGTCTTCGCCGTGCCCACACAACCAGTCGTTGGCATCGGCGAGTCATCATCTATGCGAGCGCAGTACACCACTTCGGCGACCGCCGCAAACTTTTTACGGGGAAGCTCCTTGCTCGTAGTTGCCATCATGTCTTGTAACCATGGAGCTGTCATGGGTCCGGTCAAAAACTAATGTGTGTTAGTGTTTGACTGTATCTTTAGCCATGTCCTACTAGTAGCTTGCTGCAACTGATGCGGGTACGGGAACACGATACTTACAGACAATTTCAACATACTTAAAATTTAAATTGCATTTGCACATGACTACTGGCATGAGTCAACTCCCGCTCCATGTGACTGAGCTGAAGATTACTCATTGGCCAGCAAGCTCTCATGCCGTGAGTGGCCTTCTCTAGTACAGATGGTGTAGCTTTCGACGCCGTCACCAACACATTAGCGCTCGACCCACAAATCGTCCCCCGACATTCTTTCCTTTCCATCGCGGTCGAGTAGGATTGAAGAACAATGAGCGTCAACGCTTCAGGGCGGGCAGAGAAAGGCGCAACACAAAGCGCAGCGCGAATGTGCGGGCGCACAAGGAGGGACATTGACAAGCAGGCATCACCATCGCGCGCAGTTCGCCAGCAACTTACTGAGACGTCCACGCTTGCCAACGAATGACACGCGTCTCCCCCAAATGGGGAGGCGGACGCGCATTGGGTGGCGCGATCAGCGCGGCGCCCTGGCCTTACCAACCTAGGAACAGAACACGGCCACCCCGGCCCCCCGCGCGGGAAACGAGGGGCGGGCGCGGCACCACCACCCCCTACGTACCAGGCAGCCGGGCCTTGCCGTGCCCGCTTGGCCCGGGCGGTACATTCTTCGTCTGCGGGCGGCTGGGCGGTCTCTGCGCGGCCCGGCAAGGCCCTACACAATTTGCAGGCCGGGCCGCCATTGGGCCCGCGCTCCTTTCCAAGGGGTGGCGGCGCGGGCTGTTCCGCCCTTCGGACCACAAAGGGGGGCGCCCAATGCCGCGGCAGCGGGGGGCCAGTTCGTCCGAAATGTCCCGAAGCTCCAGACTGAAGCAAGCCCCACGGGCATGCAAAAGGTGCGAAGGGCCAAAATCCAGAAACTTTCCCAAGCGTCAGTCTGGGAGAGTGGTAGGCTGCCCCCCCGGCCGGGAGTGCCGGCCCAACCAAAACACCCAACACAGAGCCGGCCCCGCGCGCCGCGAAGCGAGCCGCCTCCTCCGCGTTGGTTACGGCCTTCGCGAACATTCCGCGCTCCCTGTCGCGTTCTTTTTTGCCTCGCGAACGCCCGCCGGGCCGGGAGATGAATCCGCCCGCGCCATGCCACTGCTCCCTCCGCCCCCCGAAGAAGCCCACCCGGGGGCGCCTGGGGCGTAGCTAGGCACCCAACTAGCTGAGAAGGGCAAGCTTCACAGGCTTCGGCGTCGATGCTCTCCGTCGTATTGCCCACGTTGTCGATGGTCCAGCACCACACGCCCAAAGTAGCAAGCGGCTCCAACTACAAAGCTCCCGCTTAGACCCTGGCAACCGTTCGCGGCGTAGTCGTCGGCCCGTCGGTCGCCGGCGTGGCGCCTCCATTGCGGCGGCATTTGCGCCGTGGCGAACGACTTGGCACGCCACCCAAAGGCGGCGCCCGCCAGCGATTTCCCGCGCCCCCGCTGCCGGCGGAGCCCCCGCCGCACGCCCCGCCATCGGCGCGGCGTTCTTCTGGCTGCGCCGGCCGCCCCGGCGCGGCGGCATACACGACGGCAAGCCCTCCGCCGGGGCACGACTTGGGCGGCTTTCTTTTGAGACTGGCAAGGCGGCCACGACACCAACATCAACAAGAGGACGAAGAACGAGACCGGAGATCGTTTGTTGCCGGGGCCGGAAACATGAACAACGCTACCTCGCTCGGCTTTGCGCATGCGGCTTTTTCTATCATTCAGAACGATACTAACAATCTTCATTCAACTACTCAAGTGCTTTTGCGATCGTGATCAGAATCAAATATATAAATTCAAGATCAGCTCCTTAAACAAGTAGCGCCGCTTGATGCCTCCATGCCATTAATTACACATTGAAATATTGAAGCGATGCGCTTAATGCCGTAATCAGAATCATACAACGGATTGTGCGGCCAAATTTAGCCTAGAATAGACGCGAAAGCATAGACGATCTTTGTACACATGAAAATTACCCAATTACATTTTATCCGAAAACTTCCAAATTTCAATGCTACAATAAGATGAAGATTGAATACGCAACATAGGAGTAACCGTATAAAAGCAAAAATTAAGGCGGTATCGATTCAAATCAATGGGGCTGAATGCTATGTGATATTGCAGCTTCATCGCGACTGCAAGATCCGAGGGCTGCATTTGCAAACAGGTACCAAATATAGCCGCCGGGGCGGAGGTAGTGAGGTCGTGGGCGTTTTCTTGCCGGTCGCCGCCTTGGTCGCGGCTTTGATTTTTCTGGGCCCGCCATACCGCCGAGAGTAACGCTAGGCCACACGGTATGGCGGCCGCCTGATAAGCGTCGCAAATTTTGACAAATTTTCGAAATTCCTTTCCGAAAGCCAGCCCCCATGCTATGAGGCCGATCCGGGCGCCACGGGGGGCGCCCAAAAAGCGAGGAAAAATCGGGCCCATAGAATGCGGATTGGCTTTGCGCGTCTGGCGCGCTTTTTCTTTTTTTCGTTTTTATATTTCTCGCCAGCGCTTTTTGCAAAGCTTCCCAGGCTCTGAAAACGGCGAAAAGGCGGCCGCTTTCGCGGCCGCCCAAAATGCTCCGAAATCGCGGCCGTGCCATGCTGTTTCGCTGTTCTGATTTTGGGCGCGTTTTTTGCGCGCCCCTTTTTGGGCGCCCCAAATCGCCAGAAGCCAAGGCGGTGGGCGCCTCAGAAGGGCGCCCCATTTGCCGGCTCCCCTGCGTCGTTTTATCAAGTGCGAATCGATAGTTTTCGACCGGGCTTGTTTGACAACAAAGCCCCGGCCGCTTGATAATTGGAAATTTTTTATGTCAAAAAAGCCTTCCGGCCGCTTGAAAACTGCCGGTCGTTTTTCACGGTAGGTGGCAAAAAAACTCCCCGGTTAGAACCGTTCGGTGACCTCACTACATACAAGTTGTTGAAGCCGCCCCAATATAAAACTTCAACTCAAACACCACTCACAAAAAATGAACATCAGAGCTCTTGCTAAAAACGAACTCGCTTCAAATCCTTAAAAAATTCTACAAAAAAATTTTCATCTGCATACGTGGCACGGATCCGGCTTTTCTAAACGCCTCCGCGCAGCAAAGATCAATCGCGAACAATTCTCATCCCTCCAGCGCAGTTATCACTTCCAACAAGCCAAACCTCAAGACCAGCAACCCGAGAAAAATCCCAAAAACGAGCGCTTGCCCCACCATGGGCCCTGCAATCCCCTTTTCCTCGACGGTGGACACCATTTTCGGACCCAGCGCGTATGCAACGGAACTGGTGTAGGCCCACTTCAGCGAGAACAGGAAGAGCAACACGGGTTTCACGACGAAGGGGATGTCGTCCTGATTAATGACGGCAACAATGACTCCGACCGGGATCACGATGCTGCAATAGACGAGGATGGAAATGAAAAACCGCGAAGCTGTCACTTCGTCGCGGGAAGCCGTGGTGTTGGTCGGCTCTGTCGCTGTTCCTTTTCCAGTCGTCGTAGCTTCCTTGCTGAAGGTGGGCTTGGAAGTATCGACGTCAGCAATGGTCTGCTCACCAACGTCCGCACTGAAGCCGGTATTCGCTTGCGATGTTCTCTGGTCCCTCAAACTCGAAGTAGGAGAGCCATTTTCATCAGTTGCGGATGCGGCCACATCCTCCAAGCCCGCCTTCTCGTTCATCCCCGCATGAAGATGAGCGCTCTCCTTGTTCTCGTCGCCTTTGTTGACATCAATACACTCTTCAACATCGTCGCTGCTGTCTTTCTGCAAGTAGCTTGCGGTGAATCTCCCAGCCAAGTCGCCCACGATGAACATCGTCAGCAACACTTTGAACTGCACCCGGTCGGGATCCCTCTCCTCCGAAAGTGGCCAAATCGCCAAGACCACCGCCGGCCAAATGCAATGGACGTGTGCAACAGAAATAATTTTCCGGACATAAGAATGAACAATGAAGATGAACGTACAACAATAACAATTCTATCACTGAAAAAGAAAACAAAGGTCATATTCATTATAGAAAGCGGTTGTCCCCTGCCACGTGTATAGCGAAATCAAGAAGTCAGTATTGCATCATTATCATCATAATGCGCGGAAAATTTCCTGCGGATAGCAGGCCGAAGAATAGCAGAAACACGCCGACAACCACGCGCCAGGTTTTCTGGAACACGCGTCGATACACGGAAAGCTCGGGTAGCGAGGAGGCCAAACTGGCTAGGGACAACGCGCTCGTCGGGATCTTCAGACGTGGTTGTGAGGATGAGGCAAGCTCTTCTGTGCTAGGCGGGGTTGAACTGGAAGCGAAACTGCTTCTCCGGTTTCCAGTGGCAGCATCTCCGTCGAGTGTAACGTCCTGCAGCTGGAGGCCGTTCTTCGTGTCGCTTGGGCTGGTGCGGTGTTCGTGTTCCTGTGGCTCCGCATTGGATTTTTTGGAGCCGTCGAGAACAAGGTCGTGTTGCTCCGAAGTGGTATTTTGATTAACATGCGGTTGTGCCGTGTGATTTTCTTCCGTTTTTGAACCAGCTGCTGGAATTTCCCCACTACTTCCATTCATCTTTCCGAACAGTTTCTTTTCCGCCAACACGAAGGCGGCGATCACTGCCAGGAAACAGCAGACAAAAATCGCGAGCGCCATCTCCTTGCCCGGCTTCGGAAAGATCCACATCAACACAAGCCCCGGAACTCCCGAGATCGCGGTGCCCTTGCTCCAGGCGTACTGTGCCCGTTCCGCCTCGGTTTTCTGCTTCGCCGCCACCGCCAAAACACTGCTCATGAAGAACTGCTGCCCGCACCCGAGGAGAAGCAGCGAGGAGTAACCAAACACGTTCTTCAGAGTGTCACTAGCTTGTTCAGAGGACTCAGCTCTTTGTTCCGAAGAAGTCGCAGGCGTTTGCGTTGTTGATGCACCAGCAGCAGCGGTTGTCGAAGAGGACAGTAATACGATGAAGAAGAACGTCACGCTGCAAGTAATCATTAAAAGACAGGACAGTGCGAAGAGTTTCTGCAGGTTCCGCTCATCCTCAAATTCCCGGACCTGCTCGCACTGCGAGTGCCGCACCCGCGACGGAGCGCAGGAGATGCTCGCGCGCAGCCAGGTGAAAAGCGGGATGGCGAAGCACTGTGCGGCCGCGATCGTGAGTGTGGACGTTTCCGCCCAACCGATATTCCCGCTCGTGAAAACGTTGTTGTGCAGGTAATCCAAAACAACCAGCTGTCCCTGGAAACCGACCAGCAGGGTGAGACCGAGGTACCCGAACAGGTGGGAAGTGGAGATCAAATCGGCGATAGTTGAAACTCGTTCCCCATCATGCGGAGCTTCTTGGTCGTGCGGCGCAGTCACGAGATCTTGGAGGTTTTGTGGAGAAAGCGGCGACGTTGCTGCCGATTTATTTTTCGACGACGGGTCCAGCTGAAGGTGCTGGCCGCTCTCTTCAGAGAGGGAATGAAACTCGTCGTCGTGTGGATTCATTTTGTTCCTCGCAAAGGGCAAATTCTGGATGTCGTCGGGGTAGAACGCTCTCTCTTTCGTCGCACTACCAGAGTCGTAGTGGTTTGGCATTTGTTACTTTTTCTTTTACGTTACAATCAGGAAGTTAAGACTGCGCTTCGAGATCAGAAACTTCTTCTATCGAGGTCGAGGACATCTTGAAAGTTCAGAGCATCCTCAACTTCACCAAAACAAACTTTTACGAAGATTTTCTATGCCATGTCCAAACAGAAGCAAAATACTTCTAAAGAGAACGTTGTGATTGGGTACTGTATGGCGATCAAGGAGCAGACTCTTTTCCTTTTTTTCCTTCGTGGTTCACTATCTCAGGAGTCTCAACATTGTCCACTATAGTTTTCCTCCAACACAGGGCCGCGATCTAGGAACGAAGGTTGAACACAGAAACGAACAGCATTCCAGCATTCTTTTTGTCAGGATTCAACTTCGACGTGTTGACATATATAAATCCAGCGCTCGCTTCCACTTTGGTCGTCGAAACTCGAAAGGGTACATGTACAAACTTCATCAATATCAAATTGTTCTCGCAACGCGCTTAAAAACAGTTCGCGCATACTGTCCGCCAGAAATGGTTGACAGCGCCGCAGCCGCCCACAAACTGAGCAATCCCAAAATTTGCAAGTTCGGGTTGTGTGGTTGCAAGCAGTCGGGGAAATAGGTCCTCTCAATTTGCCGACTGGATGTTGGTCCTGCTGAAACTACACTTGAGCTGCCCAAAATCTGCGCACTCTTTCCTGCCAGTGCTGAGGCCCCAGCGATGCCTGCGTCGTTACTACCTGAATGTTGTTCTATTCGGTTGTCCAGTACACGCGTCACTCTTGTCGTGGTTACCTCCTCCATAACTGAGACCTTTTTCCCACTAGGCGAATGCTGCTTCCCACTTTCCGCCACCGCAGCTGTTGCGGCCTGGGTCCCCCGTCGCATCTCCATGTACGCCGGCGCTGGTGGAGCTGATCCTCCGGAGGTAACTCCTGCGGGTGAAGGCTGCTCTGTTCCGCCCAAGAAGCGTTGGTTCACGACGGTAGCGCCGGGTCTACCGGCGGCGCTGCTGGAGGTGGAATTTTGAGTTTGATGCTCATCATCTCCAGCCAGCTTCATTGCAGCTTTCTCGCCCTCACCCAGAGCTCCTGCAACGCCAACAGTTCCTGCACCCGTACCCTGCTCCAGTCTCTGCTCCACTCTTTCCGTCCTTGTGGTTCTCGTCGTCGTTTCAATTTCGCGGTCTCCACTACGTTGCGGGGACGACCTGGTTTTTGGGCGCTGGTCTGTTGTTGTCGCATCATCTCCACGAGATGAACCCTCTCCTCCTGCTCCGCTGGACCTCCTGTAGTCCAAAACATCGACGTACAGCAGTAAAATCACGGACACCAGCTGGAAAGTGGTTTTCCACTTCGCTAGTCGTGTCACGGACAACTGCGAGGTCCGGTTTGTGCTTCCCTCGGTCGGCTGCAGCACAATCGGACTGTTGTCGGTCGTGTGTTCGAGGACCGTTTTCTGTCCGCTCAGCACCTGGGCCTGTTGTTGCGCGTTCGCGGCGATACCGCGCGCGAAAGGGCTCGAGCCGATAAAGAAGCGGTCCATGTTATCAAAGTGAAAAATCCCCCCTCCCCATATTGAAGCGGAAACTTCTGTTGCTGGATTTGTGTACACAAATCAGGCCTGTCATGCAGTGAGGCACTACAGGCAAAGCCTCAGCCTGCGTAGGGGTGTTCTGTTGTAGGCGCTTAGCATAGCAGAGGCCTGCCATGTAGATGAAATAGCATTACAAATCGCCTCCATAAGGTGGCGGATTCTTTGGCTTTGCCTTCTTGCAAGAGAGACAGGATTTGTGGTCACAAATCAGCATCGCAAATTTAGGAACATACCTTTTCAATATGGGGAGGGGGGATTTTTCCTTACAATACGTGTCGGAGATGGCGTAGAGCTCGCGCAGCCCCGCGACCAGCAACTCGCGGGAGGCCATAACCAGAACGGGAATCGTGATCATCGGGGAGTAGAACTTCTCAATCAGCAGGCAGGACGTGGACAACACCACAATTTTGTCCACCACGGGATCCAGCCAAGCCCCGAAGGGGGAGCTCTGTCGCAGCATCCGCGCAGCCACCCCGTCCAGGTAGTCGGTGAGCGCGGAAATGGAAAACAGCGCCGTAGTCAGCAGCGGCTCGTTGGCGAAGTAAAAGCTCGCGACGAGCAGCGGTTGCATCCCGAGCCGGGTAAGGGTTAATATGTTCGGGATGGTGAGCAGTTTGGACATCGGCGTGGTCGGTTGCTGCTGAGAGGCGGCGGCTTTGTCGGAAAACGATTTGTTTTCCGGCGTGGCGGTTGAGAAGCTTCTTCGAAAGCTGGGAATGGCAACATTGCCAGGCCCGTTTGTTCTCTGTGAAAATATCCGAACTTCGTTGACCACGTGTGGTGCGACGAGACGCGTCCCTTGCATTTGATTTCCATCCTTGATTCGGCAAGAGGGAAGACCACTTCTCCGGCATTTACCGAATAGGTTACGACCATTTTTATTTTGTGACGTCGTGCATAAAAGTTTTCGAGGCTGGGGCATGTCCCTAGTCGCTGTCGCTGCAATTTCAGATACTAGTCTGAGAGGAGCAGGGACAATTGAGAAAAGCGCGTCGCTGGAGTGCTGCGCCGGCCTCGGGTTCTTGAGGAAATCGACAAAAAAGCAGGCAGGAGCCAAGTGCGCTTCCCTTGCGTTTTGCTTTTGGCGATCATCGCGAGTGACGTGCTTGATCGAGGGGTGGCGTCGTTTGAATACCTTTCTCGAGCTGCGCCGCGCCACAAACATGTCTTTTGTTTTTTCAGCTTGACATCGTCGAAGGTAGGATCGATCTGCAAGTGGTAAACGCAGAACAGATTGATACTAGAGCACAAATATTTGCATGTGTGAGAGGAGGATAACGATAAATCTGTCCGAGAGTCAGAAATGAAGAAAATAAAGCTCGGCAGGGTTCACATCCAACAAGGAAACTGCAGCGGAACGAGGTCTGCAAAGTGCTTGCATACTCGTAGAGACAATAGCGGGATCACTAGCTGAGAACTGAAATAAATTGCCTGGAGGTTCAAGTTGATCGACGCTAACAATCAACATGAGCGTCCGTGGCCCAAAAAGAAGAACAAAGAGCGAAAGTTTCAAAAAAATAGGGTCGGTGCTCGCTTCTTCAGGCGATCGGGTTCGGGTGCTGGCTTCTTCAGCGTCAGAAAAATCAAAATACATCAGCGCAACGGCGTGGTCGGTAAATCATCGCGCGCGCCGGCCAGGACACACAGCTGGCGGCCGACCACGCCCTGTGGTCCCAACTCCCCAACAAACGGACTTACTACCCTACCAACCTAGGCGGCGGGAATGGCAAAGGAAAAGGAAGGCGCGCACCGGCCCCCCCCCGTGCCCCGGCAAAGCGCCGCCGCGCCCCCCCCCCCTTTTCGGCTGCCGGCAGGGGCGCAGACAAAGAAGGCAGCGGGCGCAATCGGCGCGGTGCCTGTCCCGCAGGGAGGCCGGCACGCATGCGCCAACGCTATCAACCGGCCCGCCCCCTAGGGCGCGCCAGCGTCCACAGAGAGTGGCAGAGGCTTTGTGGTCGGCTCTCCTCGCGCGTCTTCTTCGTCTTCTCCGATGCTGGCACTTTGGCCCAGAAATCTGGCCAATCGCGCACCAGTTCGGCTATCGCACGGCATAGGCAGCGAGCTGCCGCCCGCTGGGGCCGAGGGAGGCCTGCCGCGCAAGGCCCGGAGAATATGGGGCAAGTCCGTAGCGTTCTCCAGTCTCCCAAGCTGGGGCGGCTCGCCGTCCAACTTGGTAGCGACGTGAGCACCGTGATGCGCGGCGGGCCCGGCCGGGGGCTGCCTCGGCCAACATACACTGGGCGGCGCGACTTTTTCTCTGGCGTGTGCGGCTTGGGCCGCGCTGATTTTGCGCTGGTCGCGACGGCGTAGCGCGCCCGGCCTTTGTGCCTTCTTTCCTTGCGCGTTCGCCGACGAGGGCGCCCCCAAACTTCCCCCCATTGTCCTGCCTTCGCTTGGATTGGCCGGCCCTGCCGATGTCCGTCGCCCTATGCGCGAGAAAACCCAGGCGGCGCGCTTTGCTGGGCCAGGTGCCATACTTCGCGGCGCCACGCAGCGCTGCGAAGTAGCGACCTGCGGCAATGCCCGTCGTGCGCGCGGGCGTTGGTTCGCCGGGCGGCAACTGTACAAAGCAGCAAGCGCAGCGCCGGCGCGGCGGGGTGCCCTAAATGTTCGCCGAGAAAAAGCGGCCGCCCAGGATGCGAACTAGAGGCGGGCCCTCGGCGGGCCCAAACAGGGGGAGGCGGGGGGCCCGGACTTGCGCCTGGGCCTACTCCCCATCCGCGGAAGAGCGCGAACCGGGCAGGGCCTGCCGCGCTCGTCTTTGAGACCCAGCGGACGGAACACCCCGCCCCCGGCCCAAACAAAAGGGCCAACGAATGAAAGCGCTGCGGGCCGGCGAGCTTCTGGGTCCGCATCGCTGTGACGAATCCAATCGCTCGACTTGAGCAACGAGGCGCACGCGGAAACTCCCCGGTAGTTCTCCGGCTTTTTCCCGCAACCTTTCTTGTGCAGGGGCGTGATTCGCGTGGTTCGGAATTTTTGTTCAATCTTACCAAGCGTCCCCGACCTGATTGCCGTGCTGAGGTGGCCCAGAAGAGTCTGCGGGTGTTCATCCCGGGGCCGAAGAGAGGCGCCAACTGGCCAACCAAGATGACCGACCGACGGCCTTCGCCCTTTCAACGCCGTGCGAAACTCGCTCCACAATAGTGGTCGGCTCGTCTAGCATCTTGATGCCGGCCTATCGGAATTCTGGGGCGCCGCGCTGCCCTCCCTTGCCGAGAGGAGAGGGCAGAAAAACGGAGGCCGTCTCCATCTGGGCGGGGGGAAATTGCCAAGGGGGCCGCGGGCGCGGCGGGACGCGGGCCCAGGGCAAACAGCTTGGGCCCGCGCGCCGGGGGCCATACACACCACGGGGGGGGGGGCGGAGAATAAGCCCCGCCACCCGACCAGCCAGGGGCCACTCTCTTTGCGATCTTGTCCGCCAGCAACCCGCCGAAGCAGCTCAGCACCGCGAGCAGGCGCATCGTAACACGGCACAGGGACGCGGGCAGCTCCTCGCCGGCGCTATTTAAGTGCCAGCATCCTGCTGCTGCGATCCTCGTCAAGGAGGTACTTCCATCATGGATTCTGTCGCCAGACCCTGCCAATAATGTGTAGGCACTAGTAATGGGCCAAAACAGATCACAAAGAACACCACTACTACACGACAGGAAGATGGATCTTAATCAACATCAGCAGCAGCATTATCATAAGATCCGAGAGAGAACCGAAAGAGGACCACGATGAAGGGCCAGAATTTCATATATAATTGCAGTGCTTTTGTGTGAGTGTGTTTCTCCGGGACAGCACCTCCAAAATGATGATGATCTGTAAACTGGCATGATCAACACTGATACCGCGCCAGAGCAATTGGTGCTCCTCGTGGAAGCTGAGCGAGCTGCTCGTGATATCGCTTATCTTCTCGTGTTTTGCCTGCAAGTCATGTGGTGTGATGCTTTATTTGGTGACCTATGTATTATGTGCGGGAATGTCTTCGTGACGCCATGTCTCAGGTTGTGAGAAATCTTAATGGTCATGAGAAGTGAGTGCTCTGTATGTTCGCTGTGGATAACAGTAACGGATTCGCTTCAAAACTCGCAAAAAAAACTCTGGGCACACATATCTTCAAATCGTGACTTTGCACGACTCTGCTTTCATGTTCTAGTTCTACCGCGAAAAGACATTGATGAGTTGCAAAAAGTTACATTGAATAGAAGGGGTAGCTTCCATCTTCCTCTCGATCACACCACAACGTGGGTAACGTGCAGGCGTCAAGAGGCACTCCATGAGGGGAGTAAGATTGAAATTGATTTGAAGGCAATGCGAAAGGCAAAGGGATAGCATTAGCAATAAAACAGTGAATGACAATAAAAAAGGAAGCCTCCTTCGTAGAACTAGAAGTAATGTCCAACTATAACTACTCCGCTTCCTCACTATGTGGTGTTGTTATTTCATGTACTTAAGTACTTACAAATTCCTTTTCCTATGCGGTTGAAGTCAAAGAATCTTCCGCTCTTTCCAGCGTGTTCAGTATAATTGAAATCACGACATGAAAAAACGGTCTCCTCGGTTCCACCTCCCGCGAGTACTCCTCCATACTCCCAGCTCCATAATTCACTGGCGATGACAGCGATGATTTGTTGTTCGGAGAAAAGTTGCTTTCTCCTCCACCGCCTACGCCCCCTATTAACACATCGCTATCATCCTCCACGACGTAGATTCGCTTCGCACTCAGTGCCTCCATCGCCTTGGCGCACTCGTCCCGGGACATGAACGACCTCTTTGTAGAAGCTGTAGAAGCAATGCTCCTTGTAGAAGCTGAGCGCGTTCGTGACATCTTTCTTCTCGTGTGTTTGCCACTGCAACTCATGTGTTGTGATGCTCCTGGTGACCTATGTATCAAGTTTGGGTGTGGGACTGTCTTCATGGCAACATGTCTCAGGTTGTGAGAAATCTTGACTGCGCACGACTCCTCTTTGATGGTGTGGATTGCTTGCAAAACTATAATCAAAGAAAACAAGTAACAACAGAGCAGAAGGGGTAGCTTCCATCGTGTTCCTCTCGAACGCGCTACAACGTGGGTAACGTGCAGGCGTCAAGTGGTAGTGGTACTCAGTGGGGAGAGTAATAAGAAATGCGGATTTTTAACTTATGCGAAATGGAATTGAAAGAGACTGAGACTACACCTACAGTAAATGGAAATGAATGAAAAGAATGAAATTTAAGGCACGTGTTGGAAACCTCGTTTGTAGAAGCTTACAGCTACTACTTCGTTTCCTCACTATGTGGTTTTTGTTTTTGTGGTCGTGCAAAAATGTATTCAGACTTTGAAGTAGAATATTCATTGCGCGGGTAAATATGAAACATCACCTGCGGAAAAAATCTAAAGTTCTACACGACATGAAAAAACGGTCTCCTCGGTTCCACCCCGTACTCTTCCATCTTACCAGCTCCATAACTACCGGTCGGCGAGGATAAAACAGGTGATTTGTTCGGAGAAAAGTTGCTTTCTCCTCCACCGTCTACACCCCCTAACACATCGCTATCATCCTCCACGACGTAGATTCGCTTCGCATACCAAGGGGAAAAACACAGGAAAGGGGAAAAATTCAAAATTTTGCCATGCCTCATTTTTGAAAGAGGTGAGAACCAAACGCATGCGCATGGCTTTGGTGATTTGCGGCGAAATCGCAAACGCCACAAAACCGCTTGCGGCGTATCAAAAGACACAATACGCAGAAGGCCTGCCCCCGGGCCTGTCTACAATTTGAAAACGCCCGCGCTTCGTTTTAACATCACTGCCGGGCCCCAGGCGGCGCCGGGCTCCGGGTCAGGGGGCCGGCGCCATTTCCCGAAGCCCCAGGCAATGCCCAACACGAGCAGAATCTGGCCCGGGCGCTACCGCTTGGGGTGGCCAAAAATCTGGCCCGGTCCGGCTCAAATAAGGCCCGCCAACCCCCGGGCCCTTCGCGCCAATTCGGAAAAGAAAAATAAACGTGACGGCCAGGTCTTTGGGGCCTTTCAGCCATTTTGCCGGCGTTGCCTCGGGCGGGTTCGTGTTCGGCAGAAAAGTGGGCGCCCCACTTCCGGCACGAACGCGGCGAGCAAAAATTGGGGCGCAAAAATATTGGCGACGATGTGCCGATCTCGCGGAGAGTGGATGGCTGCGCTTTGCTGGAACTCAACAGGCAGAAGCGCCGCCGATAGGAGATCGCGCCGGGCCATCGGACCGGTGGGCCCGGCCATCCCTGTGCCACTAGATTTCTGAAGGGGGCTGCCTTTGCAACATACAAAAATTTTGAATTTTTCCCCTTTCCTGTGTTTTTCCACTTGGTATCGCACTCAGTGCCTCCATCGCCTTGGCGCACTCGTCCCGGGACATGAACGACCTCTTTCCGGTATTGTAAGGAAAAATCCCCCCTCCCCATATTGAAAAGGTATGTTTCCGAAAATTTGTGTTGCTGATTTGAGACCACAAATCGCGTCTGTCTTGCAAGAAGGCAAGTGTAGAGGCTTCCGCGCCATTGTGGAAGCGCTTTGGCATGCTGTTGCGCCTAGGGGACAGCCGTTTGCAATGCTAAGCAACTAGACCCAAACGCCCCTACCTAGGCCGAAGATCTGGCTGCGCTGCCTTACTGCAAGACAAATCGGATTTGTGTACGCAAATCCAGCATCAGAAATTTCGTTTTGATATGGGGAGGGGGGATTTTTCCTGTTGATATCCGGATTCGATCATGTGCGAGTACAGCCCCGAGACGGACTGCAAGGCTAGTTTCCGCTCTTCCCCGTCCATCATGCGGACCGGCCCGAGGAGTTTGTTTCCGTTCGGGATCTTTTTCTCGAACTTGTGCAGGCCGTTGTGGAGGTCGTTTCTGTAGTCCCCGTAGTGGAGCACCTTGGCAGACGGGTTCCAGGAGGTAGGGTAGTTGTTGTCGGATTTTATATATCTGTTACTTCTGGGGCTACTGCCGGAGGATGGTCCGTAGCCGTTCCCGTGGGACCCGTAAGTCGGGGACGAACAAGCTCCTCCCGCCCGATGTACGACTGTTGGCGACTGCCCTTTACCTGCTCCGGGGGTGTAGAACTGGTTCTTGTAGTGGTCACGGTCAGAATGAAGATGATGATCTCTATTGTGTTTATCCTGCATGAACCGGTCCAAAGCGTCGACGTTTCTCCCGTCCCGCCCGTCTGCGTAGTCTTCCACGCCGGCGATTTTGGTGTCGTAGCTGCGGAACTGCGGGCGGTTCGGCCGGGTTTTCACCGTTATCGGACTCTGGAGGTGGACCACGGAATTCATCTCTCCTTCGTGGTTTTGTCTAGTGCCATGAGCAGTTGTTCTCTTGTGACCATGTGCAGGACTAACCGATGGCGGTGTGCGCGGTGTCATGAATGGGCCGAGGTTTAGCTGCGGATCCTGCTGTTCATCCTCGTTTTTGAATCCAAACTGTAAATCCTCATCCTGCACTGCCGCGCCCCGTCCTCCCGGGCTTCGGCCCCGGTGCTGCTTGTGGGAGGTGATCGGCCTGGCGTGCGCAGGAGATACTGGCGCAGCTGCTCCGGAATCGCTCTTATTTCTATTTGCTCTCGGTCTCGACGCAGGCGAAGCCGGCGACCGTGCTGGACTGTTGTTCCTGTGAATGTGCGAGTTCACCACTTGATGCATCAAGAGTCTTTCGGCTGGACTTCGTGGCGTCTCCGCAACCGCGATCGGATCCCCGCGAAATTCTGCATCCGCGGCTGGTCTGACCAGCCCGCGGCTCTGCGGCGAGAGCTGGCCTCTATTCAAAGCTTTCACGCGGTCATAGTGCAGGATCCGGTGATTCAAATCCGACACCGGATGCCAGGGACGGTTCGCAGGACTGTGCTGGCAGAGCGGCATGATAGATAAGCTTTATTACCGCTTTTGGTTGTTCGGATCTGAGAGTCTGGTTTATTCTTCTGTAGATCGTAAAAGAGGGATACTCAGTGGAGGTGAGGAGAGGAGACGAGGTTCCTCATACGACTTCAAACTGCTTCCTGGATCAATTTGATATGACAAAAAAATTTATGAAGACAGAAAAAAAGACGCTCAAAAATCCTACTGCAGATACAGACAGGAGAAGCAAGAACCACTTCACAACTTAAATCTTTTTGCTTGGACGGAAATAACAGAAAAATACGCTCATGGACGATACGAAGTATTGCTGTACGAGTCGAAAAAGCAAGAAAAAAACGAAACCGATTACGATAGACGTTCTTTGAAACAAATCCTGTCGCGTGCCATTCTCGAAGCAACGAAAAAAATAAAAAAACAAATGCCGATGGTTGATATGCTGACGCAACATTTACTACAGAAAAAAAAAAACGATGACATACTTAACCTTGAAGAGCGTGAGGGAGCAACACGGGAAAACGGAGAATAAAACAAAAAGCCCTTAAGTAGGTTCTTGCTTTTGCCTCTCGAAGACATCATTCAGTTTGCTCGGTTGGGAACAACGAAGTTGAAGTCCAGCATGTCGTGTGGCTGCTAAAAAATGTAGGCTCGGCTCCGAAAGCCAAAGTGTTCTACTTTTCTAACTCTTGTGGATGAAGAAAGTATCATGATTGTATAGGTTCTTCTTTTTGTTCAAGCACAAGGGAAGGACACTGCCTGAATCATGGTTTTTCATAGTGTCGTCCCTGCTGATGACGTGTTTCGCGATCTACAATGATGCATTTCACCGTGGCCGTACATCAAAAATAAATCTGAACCTACCAGAGCGAAGTTACTGATACATTCTTCTTCACGTATAATGGTTTACAAAATTGTAAATTGCTTTAGCATTTTCGATGCTGCTGTTGCAGATGCAGTTGAAGTTGAATTGCAGTTGGCTAAAATAGGCACGTCCACCTACTACTCATCTCTTACTCAATGAGCACTGTATTTTCTCCAGATGAATATGACGCCCTCGCCACCTTAGCAACATTGCAAAACTGAATGAACAAAAGTTAATTTTCCAAAGGAAATAGGTCTCAAATTGTTTGCATATCTGCGGCTCTTCCTATTTGTGCATTGAATGGAGCGCCATCTTCGGTTGCGCACAGGAGTCATACATGATTTTGTGACTTTTACATGATTTCGCGACTTTTTGTTTTCCCCCTTGTTAGCTCGTCGCCGTCCCTAAAGATTCATACATAGTCGGCGCCGGTGTTGGGCCCTTTCCCGCGGCCCTGGGAACAGTAGCCACCAATAACCCCGCAGGTATGGGAGCAAAATCCTGAATCAACATTACTGATTACGGATGACCCGATAAAAATATGGGGATGTTGTCTTGATAAGCTGCTGCTAGCCTACCCTGGATCAAGATCATCTAGCTCGGTATGTAACTACATACCGCATCAACAGCCATGCTTAGTATATTGCTGCAGCTGCGGATCCTGACCCCCTTGAAAAACAGGGCTCCTTCAGGATCAAAATTGCAAAACAAAACCAAAAAGATCGATGCGCGGTCACCCTCAAGTACAAGGTGCTCCCATATTCTTATGCAAAAACTGGACTTCTTGTTTTTCAAATCAAAGGGTATAGACTATCTGGTCACGTCAACATCAAACTGAGACAGCTCGGGTAGTCCGTTATCGTGGTTGAGTCAAGATTTTCAATCATCTGCGCCGTGGATACGCTAAGGTCATACCGTAGATCCCGAAACAGCGAAGGCCCAGATCCAATCCGCCCACACCCGGATAGTCAGCGCCCATGGCGCGCAGCCCGTTCACGGTACGCGACAGGCGAATGGCATCGCACATGAAGGCAGTCACCGTACAGGACAAGAGAATCAACAAGTAGATCTTGTTCTTCGTGGAGGAGCCGAATCTTTCCACTGAACAGCAGGGACAACACCCCCAGCCAACCAAAAAAAGAAATCCTGTGCAAAAGCACCACACGCGCACCCGCACGCCCACGCGTATACTTAGCTGTCATGCATTACGAATCAAAATTAGCTTTGTTACTGCTTCTGAATTTCAATTTTGGAATTCGACGCAGTATGTATAAATGTGAGCTCATCCTTCTTTTTGAAAATCTTGCAATGCAATTGTACTAAGTACGCTAGCGATACTTTTGCAATTACGTAAAAGAAACGGCAACGCAATGATGAGCGTCCAACACACCGCACACGTCAGGGGCCACGAATCGTGTTCTTTCAGCGTGTTGTAGTATTGCGTCAACGACTGACACCCACCCCAACTCGTTTTCGGGTCAATGCGAATAACGCCAGGCCCAGCGACGAGACGCGTTTCGGGCTTCAGCGGGTTGCTAGCTTTATCCGTAGAGAGCCCGATAACGAACTGCACAAACTCCCAGATCGCGGCGACCAAAGTGAACCAAGAGGCAAACCGCAGGACGCAGTGGGCCCAGAAGTATCCGATGGAAAAGTAGGATGGCCAACTACAGCTATAACATCACCTTCTACTAACTCCCTATCCCACACAACTACAACGATGAGCATCAACATGCTATTGCAATTGCTACAGCACGTTCACGACTTTCCCGCCACTATATGAGTAATAGTAGATCGTACCTGCGCTGTCAGCTACGAGCACGCTCTGTCATTCGAACAAAAGCATCAAATCGGGCAAGAAGTCGAGATCATGCAAAAATGACAGGGCAAATCAATTCTTGAAGGTGATGGTTGTAGCTGTGTAGTTCATTATAGTGCTTTTCCATTGCTTAAAATGTAGTCCGTGTCGACGATGATAACCGCAGTGGGCTGCACGGCGTTGTAGTACGCCGGCGGCGGAGCATTTCGATAGATGATGACAGTTTTCTCCGCCGCACTGTCGCGGGAGCCGCCCTGTTTCGAGGTACTCATCTGGATCTAGTTTTACGTATGTTTATTTCGTTGTTATTTTCTTAGTTACACCTTCTTAAACGTGATCTGGAGCCGCACGTCGGCCTGTTTTGTGCTAAACAAATTCCAGCGGAAAATAAAATCCCTTTCGATGGATGGCCGTTGCGCAAGTTTGAGCTATTTGATGAAAAAAGCTAAGTTTGAGGAAGATGCCCTACAATTTAGATATGACCCCTGAAATGTTGTCAGTAACCACGGAACTTAAGTTCTGGTAACCTAAACCTTGTAACCGCAAATAAAAACTGTTTCCTGTACCTGCAGTGTGATGCATTTGCATACATGCATCATGACCGAAGAATAGCAATAGTGCCTAGGAGAGACCGATCATGAAACAAAAACAGCTGACCGAGTTCTCAAGGGCAAGGGCTTCTTGATGGTCCTTAAGACTGATCCAACTACGTAGACAAACACCTATGGCAAAAAGTAGAGCGATCTGAGACTCTTGGTGGACAGAAAAAGATTATCAAGCTGTGTCGTGTGGCTTCCCCACGAAGTAGATCCTCTCTGACAGTTTCTTTCCGATGTACCGAAGAGCAGAGGATGAAGTAATCCTGAGCTGCAACGAACCGACTAGGAATAGTTGTGTCGTCGTGGTTGTTCCACTGATTGTAGTCATACTTACGACTGGGACTGGAACCGAACTGGGCGTGTCCTCGCGAGCTAAAAACGCTGCACGGCCCACTGTGGCCGGAGCGACCTGGTCAGATAGTACTACATCACACACAGGGAACATACATCGGCATCGGTGTCAGAAGTGCCTACTAATGGCCTCTTCAGCAACAGAATCTAGTTCAGAGTGGTATTTTTGCTTCTTGTTTTCTGTTTCTTCTACTGATGTTTGTGTTTCTGGGAGATGATGAAAGAACCGTCTGCAGTTGCCTGCGATAAAGATGAACCCTCGACATTTTTGGTCTTTTTTCTACGTGTACGTTGTTCCTTAGGGATACTAAATAACGACGACCGTGGTAAGTACTGGGCGACTACGCTCCAGGCCAACATAGACTCAAATTCTGTAGGACCGGCAAGTCACCATGGTAGCCTCGTGGGTTTCTTCAAGTGAAAGTGAAACAGGGATGATTGAAAGTAGAACGAGATGAATGGAAATTGTGCACCATCTTATGGGCTTTCGTAATGAGTATAATTACGGACGGTAATGCAACTAGTTGCTATGCAAAATATACGAATTATGTAGAAGTTTCGTGAATTCTTGAATATAAAAGTGAAAAACCCGCCTAAATTAGGAACGAATAAAAACTGACTGGCTCCATTTTTTACGACTGAGGTGCACAGAAGGCAGGACGACGCACTGCATCTTCAATTTATGCAATCTGAATTTCTGATAAGCGTGAAATCGTCCGTTTGCAGGCCCCGGATCTCCACGAACTTTAGTCTCAGCCAGCAGGTTAAAACCAAAACGCTGCCCAAAAACCTCCCGGTAATATGAGATAATTGCAATTGCTCACACTATGTCGTCGCCTGCAGGCTGCTTTGTTTGTGCTTCGACGTCGACATGATTGGGGTCGTTTTCTTTTCGACTTCCGGACTTTGAATTCGTTATGCTGGTTCTACTGTTTTTCGTCTTTTTCTCGGCGCGGCTGTCCCTTTCTGCTACACCACCTTGCACGATGTCTCCCTCCGCGACAACGCCGGTCATCGGTGAAGATGCAGCTGCACTTCTCGCGTCGGCAATGGTGTAGGTGCCTGCGTCTGGTTTCAGCCCCGGTGCCGCAGGGAGGTTTTTCGCCGCGGCCGGGTCCCTTTGCAGGTCCCCCGCACTTATTTTAGGGGAGGTGCACAACAAGCCAACCACCCCAACTAGGATTGCCACAACAGCGAGAAACCAAATGGTGTCGTGCTCCACGATTCCGAAAAGCGGGGTATCCGTGTGAAAAAGCGGCGACTTCTGGTCGTCGCTCATCAGAGAGAGGGCCGTCGACCAGCGAACGCCGTGAAAAAAACAGGACATGCCGGCCAGACCCACAGTGGCGCCGACCAGCATGGCGGAGCCGCAGGACCGGCGTGGCTCCCGGACTTTCATGCAGCAGGTCCAGCCCGAAAACATCAAGGTGGTCGCCAGCGCAGCCTCCACGAAGAAAAGCATCATGGTGTAAACGAGAAGGCCCGACGCCACGTTGAAGGTTCGCTCCTCGAAACCCGGCGGGGGTTGCTGTGTCGGGTCCAGTAGCATGACCGGCTGCCAGTTGCCGAGGGTGCAGAGCCAGGCAAACATGGCGTGGGCGTCGAAGTAAGCACTGCCTTCGTCGAGGATGGGAACGCCGTTCAAAACTGAGATTTTCGCGTCCGCCGACCAGCGAAATGCGAGCCCTCGTTGGACCGCACCCCACGCTCTGGTGGAAATAGAATACGTGCGGACGTCCTCCTCGGTCAAGACCTTCACAAACTCGTTGTAGGGAGACCGGCGTCCCTTGAGCGGGTGCTCCGTCGCGGCGCCGTACACAAAGTGGTCGAACTCGTACGCACAGCGGATGTACATCACGATGGACGCTGAGAAGAGCACCCAGTGGGGCCACCGGGCGCTTCTCGGCTCGCAGCTGCAGGAGCAGTCCCGATCCTCTTGCTCCTTGTTCTGCAACGCCTGCGCCGCTCGAGTAGCAGGCTTGTTCGGGGGGGTCTTTACCGCGCCAGGTGCCCCTGCCGTGGGAGGAAGTCCAGCAACGTTGGCGGTTGTCGTCTCAACATCCTCGGCAGTTTGCACTTCGATCAGCTTGCCGTCACCCACAAAAATTCCCGTCGAAAGTGGACCTTTGATGGACATATTGTCATTGCTAGCTCTAGACTGCCGGCTGGGCCGCGCTGCGAAAAAGTCGGCCGGCTTCAGCGAGTCGCTAATCAATCCGGCTGCAGCAGATTCGCCCTGTTGCTGTTGACTCGTCGGCACCACGTCATAAGTGGCTGGCTGCGCGGAGTTGGAGGTGCGGGGAGCATGGCCGCTACCACGACTGCTGCGCAACGCGCCGCCGGCGGGATCCACCGCTTTCGAACTGCGCGAAAGAGCGTCCATGTATTGTCGATTCTTGTTTAAAAGCCAAAGGGAAGAGGGGGCCGCCAAGGCCTTTACACAACGAAAAAGAAGCCGACCTCCAATCAACGACGAGACAATGCCACTTCACAAAAACCTTCTTGGTGACGCGGCGGCTGCTTTGCGACGTCACATAGATTTGAATTCTCTTTGGTGTTGGTGTTGCAGTTGCAGAAGCCGAGGATAATGAGGCGGGTAATCAAATTTTAATTTTACTCCTTCCTATGTATGCACCATGGGGCTGTGAAAGTGTATGTGATTGCCATTGTGATTCTCGTGAAAGGAAAATAAACTTGGAAGAGCAAGAACTACAGACGACTAGTAGAAACAGAAGATTTTCCGACAGCAAGCTGGAGTGCGGAATTATAATCATGTGGACGAGTACCGAGAGATGACCGAAGACACACACGCCTTCGCCTCAAAACAGTTTAAATTATCATGAAAAGGTACGTAAATCTCTTCAGATGACGATGACGAACGATTCAATCTTTACGCACGGTTGACCGACAAACCATATTCGCTTTTCTGTTTTCAGACTGAACGACTCTTGCATGTTGATACACTTTTCTGCACTAAAGTAAAAGCCGAGGTTCCTTTTGTGTCTTGGAGACGAAACTACAACTGCTACACGTTGTCTATGGAGCTCTGTCTAGTACCACGAACGGTGGCAGAAGCTTTAACGAAGAAGGGACTACGAGTACGGCGGCCACTGCTCGACCACGAGGAAAGTGATTTATTTCAGATTTAGGCGGAAGTATTCGAGATGAACAAACTGAAAATACTTTAAAAGGACATCTTTGTTGAGTTTGAGCTGGCAAACCGAAAACTCAGGGCAAAAAGAACATGGTGAAGAGGACAGGGTGTTCTTGTCAGATTGAAGCAGATCGCTCGGCCGCTCATGAGACGTGTGCATTCTTTATTTGAGTTGAGAAAGCCAAAGAAAGGCCCCCCTGCTACAAGAACTTGCTTAAGCACATCATCTGTATACGATTTATCGGTTTCGCAATTCGAATTGTTCGTAGAACCGCACGGCTTCCATCGAAGTCCGCGGTTTGGCTTCAGCAAGAGCCTCTCGCAGATGAATTTTCTTCAGTTCCGGGCCCTTGGCTGCAAGAGCCGTAGAACCATTTGGAGACTTATTTGACGTAGTCGCTGCACGCATCCGCTGTTGGTACCCGCTGATGGCCTCGCGCACGGCTCGCAGGGACGCTTCCTTCACCAAATTCACGATTTCTGCGCCACTGAAGCCCTCAGTCTTGTCGCTCAACTCTTCGAGGAGGCACAGGTAAAAATCTTTACGCTTTCTTACTGGCCCGTTCGTCGTGTCCAAATCCTTCTTCACGAAGTCCACAGCACGCTTCCTTTGCGTTTTTGACGTATTCGTGTTCGCGTGACGTTTATTTCCGTCTCGTTCCCCCACCTCTCGGGCCGTTTTGAATTTCCTCGTTCTGCGTTTCGGCTTGAAAAGTAGAGTTTTTGATGCTTTATGGCTATTGTTCGCCGCGTCGGTTGCGAGCTCCAGCTTTTTTAACTTTGCTATGGGAGGTTCCTCATCTTCCTCTTTCACGACTTGAGGCCGGGGCTTTGGCTCCTCGGTCTCGGACCCGCGTGCTGCACCGTCCTCGGATGAAGATTCGGTCTCGCTCTCGGAAGTTTCCTCCGACTCCGATTCGGAAGAAGTGGAAGACTTGGAGACAAACGAGGTCGGGGAAGTACTAGCAGCTGGCGCTGGCGCAGGTGCACCAGCACTAGCAGGACCTGCAAAAGCATCAACACGACTGGTAGCTCCTCCTTCCATATTTTCAGCACTACCCGCGTCCCCTTCGCTTTCAAGTATCCCCACTTCCAAGTGTTTCACTTTCAGCAGGCAATTTCGCAGAATATCCTTCCGTGCGGCCAAATCGGGTAGCGACACGTACAACAGCCGATCGAAGCGGCCCGGGCGCATGATGGCAGAATCTAACGCTTCCGGTCGATTGGTCGCCGCCATGATGATCAGTTCCTGCTTCAACCCGACGCCGTCCATCTCGTTCAGTAGTTGGGACAACACGCGCGCGTTCACGTCGTTCCCCGAACCACCGCCGCCGTTGCCCCGCGACCCCGCCATGGAATCGATCTCGTCGAAGAAGATCACGCAGGGCTGCGCTTGCCGCGCTTTGCGGAAGATGTCGCGGACCTGGCGCTCGGACTCACCTACATACTTGTTGAACAGTTCGGGGCCCTTGATGCTGATGAAATTCATCTTGGACTCCGTCGCCACGGCCTTGGCCATCATGGTTTTCGAGCACCCGGGCGGGCCGTACAGCAGAATCCCCTTGGGCGGCGTCAGGTCCAGCTTGGCGAACAGGTCCTTGTGCAAGAAGGGCCACTCCACCGACTGCTGGAGCTTTTGCTTCAGGTCCGCGTACCCGCCAATCATGTGCCACTTCACCTTCGGAATTTCGATCTGCAGTTCCTTCAGCGCGGACGGCTTCACCTTGTTCTGCAAGGCGAAATTGAATAGGTCGAGGAGAGACTTTATTTTGGACGATGATTGTTCTCTCGTCGCACGACCTGCTGCTGTTCTTTCATTTTCCTCCTGGATTCTCATCAGCGCAACGGCGTTGCACAGACCCTGCAAATCCGCACCGACAAAGCCGTGTGCGTCGTCAGCTATTTGTCGCAGGTCCTGTTCGGACAGAAGTTCTTGATCTTGTCCTCCGCGGCCGTCGGGAGAAATTAAAACATGCGGGTTTTGCTGCTTTGCGGTGTTGTTCTGGTTCTCCTTCTCCAGCATGTTCATCTTTCTCGTCATGATCTTCAAAATCTCGAACCTCGCTTCGCTGTTCGGCGCGCCCACTTCCAGCTCCCGGTCCAGCCGGCCGGGCCTGCGCAACGCCGGATCGAGGGCGTTCGGTCGGTTCGTCGCTGCAAGAAGAACCAGGCCTCCCTGCTGTGCTGCAATTGTTCTGTTGCCGGAGAAAGCAGTTGCTGGGTCATTTTTGCCTTTCTTCGCTCCGATGCCGTCCAGCAAAGTCAAGAACGTCGCCACAATCCTGCGCTCCGACTCCCCCACCGAGTCCTCGCGTTTTGGACACAGTGCGTCGATCTCGTCGATGAAAATCAGACACCCGCGCTTCCGTCTTCGACGTAGTTCTGCTGGTTCTTGGGGGAGCCTATTAGTCGCACCCGCCGCTCCACCATACGTCGATGCAGGAGATGATGAAGTTGTGATCTCTTCTATCTCTTCGTTCGCCAATTCTTGGCAGCGGTCGAAAATGTCCACGATTTTCTTTTCGGTCTCTCCGGAGTACTGGCTGGCCAGGTCGCTCGCCTCTACCATCTCGCAATGGCAGTTCAGCTCTTCCGACAAGGCCTTCGCCAACAGGGTCTTGCCTGTGCCGGGCGGCCCGTACAACAGTACGCCCTTCGGGGTTTGCAGCCCGTACTGCGCGTAGACTTGTGGGTTCTGCAGCGGGTTCTTGATCAGCGTCGTCAGCTGGTCGATGATCGGCCGCAAACCGCCGACTTGGGCTATCGTAAGGAAACATCCCCCCTCCCCATATCAAAAACGTATCCGTCTGAAAATTTGTGATGCACATTTGTGACCTCAAATCCTGTCTGTCTTGCAAGAAGGCAAGTCCAGAAAGCGTCCCGCATTTTGCAGGCGGTTTGTGATGCTGTTTGGCTTAGAGCATACACGTTTGCCATGGTAGGCGCCTACGTCAAAACGTCTCGACTGAGGCTTGACATATGCCAGCACTCCTCCAGAGCAAGACAAATTTGACTTGTGTATGGAAATCCAGCATCAGAAACTTGGTTTCGATATGGGGAGGGGGGATTTTTCCTTTTGATATGGGCGAAGCCGGCGGTAGTTGGCTTCTGGTGATGGTGTCCTGGTGCCGTTGCTGCCGTATTTGCAGCGGTAGCGTCAGGGGTGCTGGAAGAGCTGTTGCTAGTCGCGTGAGTGGGTCCTCGTGCCTGTGGATCGTCGGAAGGTGCTGGCACTGTTGGGAAGGTTATAAAGGCGCTCTTGTCGTGGCTGTCAATTAAAGTTATCTTCGAAATCGTCGGGATTGGGCTTACTCTAGTACTACCTCCGGAGGATGCTGCGGATTTTCTGTTTTTATTTCCACCAGTAGAGCTAGCGCCTGCTGTTGCTGTTGTGTAGTTGGTCGGAAGGAATCGCCCTGTTCGGTCAAACAGAGCGTAAGACTTCGTTGATGACGAGGCTGCAGAAGTAGAAGATGAAATCTCACACTTCCGAATCCAGATGCCGCACCGCTTTCCGAACACGCTGACAAACCTCCTCTCATTATCGCTGAAGTAGCCCCCATCCAGAATATGAGATAGCCAGAGCTCCAGCGGTGCGTGCTTCGGAAATTTTTTCCGGTCCTCGACCTCGACGGTCATGCGGGAAATCACTTTTGGAAGGAGTTCTTGCGGCGGATGAGGAGGCGCTGGAGCATTGATCTTCGACGGTCCCGCAGCTCCTGCTGATAGGACATCAATCGGTGAACCCCCAGGCAGCTTTCTGATCCCGCAAACGCCGAGTTCTGTGAGGGAACTTCTTACGCCCTCAATAGTTCCAAACGTCGCCGCGATCTGCCCTTCCTCTCCAGCAGCACTTGTTCCAAGGACATGTTGCATCCTCCCATTCCTGAAGCTCACCGTCGCAAGCAGATTTCGGGCTGCTTCGAAGGAAAAATACACCTTGGGTGTCGGGGGTAGAAGTTCTCCGCCACCTTGCCCACCGCCAGCTCTGCTCTTCCGGCTTTTCTTACCGGCAGCGGTGCTGGACACGGGAAACACTTTTGCGGTAAACACCATGGTGTCTGCCACCTCGACCGCCGCACCGTCCTGGATGTTCAACGTGTCCGGAAGCCGGATCTCGTCCGGAAAGGTCGTTTGCTCGTGCGCGGAGCTGGCATTCGCGGGAATCAAGTGCAAGGTTGCCACGAGTGTGCTGGAATTCTTTTTGTGAGGATCTCTGTTAGCGGAAAGTAGCGTCTCGTCGGGGTTTTCTACCCGGGGGGTCGAGTAGGTCGATTGTGACAGCTCCGGTACGGATTGCAGCGGCGCAGCAGCGCCACTTGTCCTGGTTGGCGGCCGTTGGGGCGGCGCGGCCTTGGAGACCTTTGAGGACGAAGAAGGTGCTTCGGCTGTTTGTTTGTTCGAGGCAAAGGGTGGCGCTTTGTTGTTTTCGGGTGTTCGCAAAGACGACGTTTGCGCAGTAGAAGTTTCATCTTCAAGCAGTGGCACGCCAGCGTTGGCAGAATTACGTGCTTCAGAGGGCAAATACGCCTCGGAAGTCATGTTGTTTTCATCGGCAACATGACCACGACCAAGCTCTTCCTTCATCTTCACTGTAGATGCGGCAGACGCGTCAACTACACCGGGAGCCCCCGCTGAGGCGCCCGGATACGTACCATCAACTCTCGGTGACCTCAGGTCCAAGTTGTAGGTTCCCCGGGGGGGATTTCGGTTCCTCGCGCTTAGATCGTCCAAGCGGTACGACTCGCCGGCAAGTAGTGCATCTTCGTCGTCTCGGGGTGTCGCGAAAGCGCTAACGGCTTCCGCCTGTTTCAATTTCTTCGGTGCATCTACTTCGCCGTTTGCTCGATCCCGGCCTCTTCCGCGCTCTCTGGAATTGTTGTTGTTTGCTGTTGTCCGGCCGTTCCGATTCGGCAGTGCCGTCGCACGTCCACGCTCATTGTCAGGAACACGAGTGGGAGGGGCACCATCAAGTCGGTAGGAAGCCGTCGCATTTGGGTTCGATCTCGCAGAGCCAGCTCCACTCGTAGCGTTTTTCTTGTTGGCTTTCTTCTCCCTCGGTTGCCTCACGGGAAGGGCATACGGGTCGGCCATTTTGTTTTTGGCTTATCACCTTTCTGGGCCGTCGCTTCCAAGTGTGCACATGCAGGCTATGCAGGCGTCTTAGAAGAATCTACCTAGCTAGAAGAGCCATGCGGCTATCTATCGGAAAAGATTGTCTACGTGAAACTGAAAGTGAAACAATGTGTGGTCGCTGTCACTATAACATGAGTGAAAAAAATGAAAAAGACCATGTCCGTCTGCGTAATTGTACAAAGGTCGAACCAAGCCTACTGACCACGGACAAATTTAGACTTTGATTTCCAAGAGTCGGAATACCGCGAAACAAATAATAGCAAATTATCGCCACGTTGATGTTGGCCGCGCCGGGTTTTACTAGCGAGAGGTGGAACATACGTACAAGATCCTCGATGTAGACCTAGACGAGCCAACAAGCGGTTTGTCATTATGTCAAGGTCTAGCAGCGGTTTCATTATTCCAGGAACTTCGAGGACTCCGGTGTGTAATATCACGCCGACGCCGTGAAGATCATCACAGCTTCAGATTGAGATTGACAGGGATCATGATCTGCAGGTGAACCAGTATCACATTGAAGACCTTTCTCCATCTCAAAAAAATCACTAGTTCCAGCGGGTGCTGCCGCGGTCTCGGGAAACAGGTAGGATCTTCACAAGCTCTTCGTCTTTATTAACCTGTCGCTTTCCTGTTAAATTCCATGATCTATGGTATGACTTTTCGATCATTGTGCGACCCTCTTCCACTTTTTTTACTTCTTCGTCATCGTCTAGGTCCGCGACAGTGGCCACGATCATTTTGCGAAAACAAGTATGCAAAGCCAACAGCTGCGATCTCTACGTCTCTTCAAGTTCATGATCGTGCGTTTTCGCTTTCTAGATAGATTGCCGGCCAGGAGCGTGCTGTTGCGCACGTTGGCAACACCCATTCAAGACGACGTACCGGTGGTCATCGAGGAGCCGAACAACATCCACCGCGTTGACGTTGTGATTTCATTATTTTTCAATGTTTTTGATGCGGGCGAAGTCGAACTTCGTTGATACACCACATGTACATCTCTTCGCAATCGAATTTTGCTTCGCCACGTCACATCTGACACGACCAGTAGTGAAGGTCCAAAATCCTCATATCTTCACTAAAACTTGAAAATCGATGCTATTTTTGAGTTGCCCCTCCTGCCGTCCCCGCGGCACTTTCTCCCGCAGCATCGAGAGCAGCAGTTTTTTCCTTCTTCTTCCGAAACACCCGGGTATCCGCGGGATCAAATCCTTTTTCCGGCGCCCCGGACACGCCCCACTTCGGCGTTGCCAGCGAGTAGTCGACGGAGGTGCAGTTTTTCCACTCCCCTGTTTCGATCAACCTGTGGAATTTGTCGTAGTCAATCCAGGTTTTCCACGCCCCCGTCTCCCTATCCTTGAACGTCTTCTTCGCGAGCAAAATGATCAGACTGTGCTCGTGCTCGCACGCCAGCTCGTAGTCTTCCTCCAGGTTTTCAAGCGCCAGAATGCTTTTCCCGAACTCGACCACCTCCCAGTGCCACGGCACGGACTTCATCGTCATTTTGTCCTTGCCCTGGGAGTCCCCGTTGTACGTGACGCCCTTGATCTCGATGAAGTCGGGGTCCCCCCTCTTGATCAACTTCGCGTAGTCCAGCGTGTCGTCCATGTTCTTGTTCTTCACCAGAGTCAAGCGGAACACCGTGCGGGAAAACTTGAAGTCCCGCAACACGTCAATGCTGTCCAGAAACTGCTGCCAGAAGTCCTGCTTCAACGGCCGGTCGACCGCTTTCAGCGTGTCCTTCGTGGGGGCGTCGATGGAGAGGTACAGCTGCGTGCAGGGGGACAAGTTTCGCATCTGCTCGGGGAACTGCGCGTTGGTCACCATGAAGGTCGAGATTTTCTCCTTGTGCAGCAATTCGAAAATCTTGTTGATCTTCGGGTACATGATCGGCTCGCCGACCAGCGAGAGCGCGCAGTGCTTGATCTGCTTCGCCTGCTCGAACCGCTCGGGCGTGACGCCGGGCACGCCCTTCAGCTGCTTGATCATCTTCGCGTTATGAACTGCAAAATTGTCTGGGTCTGGAATGTTGCCGGGTTTGTCATGCATATTTTGCGTGAGCCAGGATGTCTGTAAAAATGCACGACCTAGCATCACAGATTTTCAGAGGTCGCCCTGATGCCTACTCCGCATGACAAATGCCCTCCCCGCGTAGCACGCGCTAGACTCCTCTTGCTGGTCATGCAATACAGATTTTTTATTTTTAGAGTCCAAAGTTAGCATCACAAGTTCGAACCTTCCAGACCCAGACATTTTTACATTTGATACGCGTGCTCGTTCAGCCAGTTTTCCACGATCAGCTCGGGTTCGTCCATCTGCCACTCCCATTGCTGCGCCACCGGGTTCTTGTGGTGCCGCCAACAGAACACGCACTTGTTGGCGCAGGCGAGACTGGGGGTGGCTTCCATGCAGGACAGCGACGCGATGCCGTAGAACGTGTGCTTGTAGCAGCCGCCCCGCCCGCGCAAGTGGTGCTTGGTCCAACGGCACAGTTTCACCGCGGAGTGCTGGCCTACCACCTTGTAGCCCTCTTTCGTCAGATTCTCCTTCTGTCGCTTGGAAAGCATCTTCTTCGTCGCGGTCTTGTCGGCTCCTGCCGTTGATGCCACTGTCGGCCCGCAGGACCCCACGTCCTTGTCTAGATCCTCCAAATCGTCGTCGTTTTGCTTATTTTTCGCCTTGTTCTGGTCCAGAAAATCGTCTTCGTCAGAGCTGAACTCCGACTCGCTGTACTCCGTGAAAGCGTCACTCTCGTTGACGTTTTCGTCTTGCGGTTCCTGCGACACCTCACTTGTTGTTGTCCCAGAGGTACTAGCAGTGGAGTGAGTGTGGCCTGTTGTATCCTTGCAAGAACTACCGTTGGGACTGCTGCAGCAGGCTGTGGACCTCGTGCTCGAAGCATCGTCGCGGGGGGAATTCGTGGCCGAAGTGGAAGGAGATGTGGCTGTTTTCAGGTACTTCTTGGAAGCAGCACTAGAAGTAGAGTCGGCTTTGCACCCGCAGGTACCCTGCTGGCAAGCATCCTGCTCCTGATTTTGTTCTCGTGCCCGCCGTTCGTCGTTCAGCTGCACAGCGGATTTTGTGAGGGGTTGCTGGTCCTCTCCTTGAGCAAGATCACGACCGAGAGCCACAGTTAATGGAACGTCACACAACAGAAGCTTTTCCTGATGAAGATGTTGTTGACCACCACCCGTCTTGTTGATTTTACTCCTTACCTCCTTCAACTCCCGCAGGGCCGCGTCAGACAGACAAAACTCTTCGACCACCTCCTTTTCAAAATTTGCCAGCGACTCCTTCGTCCGTTGACGGTCCTCTTCATCCAGGAAGACCGCGGTGTCGAGCAGACGAAGTTTCCTCGTTTTTCTTGTGCTGGTTCCGAAGCTCGAGGAAGATGTAGTCGCTGATAATGTTGCGCTGGCGCCCCCTGTCGTCAGAGATGATGTTGAACCTCCTGTACGATCATCTTCTTCAGAAATTTTCTCTTCCACTACGCCACTGTCCATGGACCAGAGTTTTTCCGTCAAATTCCGGAAAATTCGAACTCCCGCGGTGCAGAACAACTCCTTACCGTAATTCTTGTCGCCCAGGGCAAGCACAGAAATGGTGTCCAACTTCTTTAAAGTCTGCTTCCCGAACCGGAAGTCGTTCGCGGCCTCGGCGATTTGCTCGTACAGGTTCATCGCGGCTAGCGGTGGTCCGTCGTCAAACGTCGCGAGGACGATGATGAGGTCGGTGAAGGATTGCGTCATGTCCTCCAAGTCCACGGCATCCATCCGGGCCGTGACGAAGAAGTCTTCCAATGCTGCGTTTGCATGAGTGGCACCTTGATGGTCACCAGCTTCAGCCTCTTCGAATACCTGAAATAGCTCCGGTAATTGCTCGCGCGTTACGTTTTTGAAGTACGAGCATGACGTTGAGAAGTGTTCGTCTCCACGAGGACGAGTACTAGACGTTGTGGATTTATTATTCTTGCACTGTTGCTCAGCATCTTCTTGTTCTTTCTCTTCCTCCGTTACCCGAATTAGAAACCGGGCGATCCTGTCCGCCAGCCGCTCAGACAGCCCCCCGGCGTGCCCGTAGAGGATCAGGGTGCGCTTTTGCTTTCTTGTGCGCCGAGCTTGCTGGTTCCGTGCTCGCAGAGTTTTTGCCCTTCGTTTCGAGAGAACAAACTTCGTCCCGGCGACGGTGGCCGCAAGCAAACCGAACGACAAAGCGGCGGCGGTGGCGGTGGGAAGCCAGGAGGTGGAACTCGCTTTCCCTGTAGTCGAGGACGATGTCATTTTCAGGTTGATGTGTAGAAGTCGACAGAAAGCTCGAAGATAAAGATGAGGATGCGGAAAATTTCACCAACTAACTATAGTAGTTCTGTTGAACAAATACAGCTTCGGCACCAAAGGCAGCTAAGTTCTTCATATCTCCGGTTTATTTTCACTTGCTTCGTTCTCTGTTTTTTTCAGTTGGGTAATTCCTGTCACGCAAAAAGACCTTGACCACCTGATATTCCGCCAGTCTCAAAAAAATGAGAGCGAGTTGGCTGGAGTGGTAGCAAGAATAACCAATACAGGACCACTATTGCCTCTGCAATGGCGTGGAAGATGCAGCAGGAATTTACATCTGCAGGACCAGGAGCCAAGATCTTCTTCATTACGTTTTTGTCATGTCAATCATTTTTTGACCAGGCCGGAGGATGAAGATTGCGTGCGCTTGTAGCAAGACATTTCTGGATTGTGTTCCTGATCCTGTAACTGAGAGCTGGAGAATCGTAAATTACTGATCCTTCAAAAACGAAAGCCTGAGCAAAGGAACTTCTTGCATTGCGATTATGATAAAACGACGCACAGCAGGTCGTGTCGAGAAAATATGCTATCCCCTAGCAGTGAAGTCCGCTTTGCCATCAGCAGGATTTGGCGGGATCGGGATTTGTTCTCTCATTTCTGAACCTCTCCATTTTCAGCTTCAGTGGAAATTTTCGCGTGGTGCCTCAAACACAAACTAGAAGGCCTAGGCAAAGGGGAAGGCAATAAAGGAAGCGATCATGTAAGTGCAACCCGTGACGAGTACAAAATTTGGTCTTGATCGTACTGGGTACTACAACATGTGATTCATTCATGTATTCTCATTCAATCGTTGTTTTTTCTACCTACCACTGCTCATCGCCATACCAGTCGTCTCCACCGCCTTCCGTAGTATCGAAACGAAACCAGGATCCGGATCCTGAGTCATCACGGCATGAGCAGGTTTTTGTTTTTCATTAACCTGGCAGAAAAAATCATAGATACTATTGTTCTCGCCTCGAATAGCCTCCTTAGGCGATTCATCCTGTCAACATCATCATGTTCATGCCAACGAACATACATATATTATGCAAGGAGAACTACACAGTGACTCAATCTTTCCGATAGACTTTTGTCATGCCAACATGATCATTTCAAACGGACTCAGCAGCCCTTTATTTCTTCATCGTGATATCCATACCACTCGTCGTCTTCTCCCTCGTCCTTGTCTTTCAAGGAAGCGTACCGTAGCGATCTCAGGATGAAAATTCGTGTCAGTGACGTGGTTCAACATCTTATTTTTACCAGCAGAAGCAACTACGCTGCTAGCCCTAGCGCAGTACTGCTTCTTTGTCTATTGTTCGTCGTGTTCAACAAACTGAAATTTAAATTTCGGTAATTTGTATCACATGTCTCGCGCCGTCCTGTCATGGCGGCAGGGCGCATACTCTGACAGCGATGGGGAAGAGGGTAGGCAAAGCCTACCAGCGAGTATGCACGATCCTGATACCACTCCAGGGCGGGAGGGTGGGGAAAATTTCGATCGCGCGATCGAATCGGGCGGCGTCTAGCCGGGACGGGGCGCTTGCCCATTTTTAGCCAAGCAGATACATAGTAGAGCAATGAGGAGAAGGGGCCCGACCCTCGCATACCTATCAAATTACCTACCCTTATCTTCTCTCTGCCTGGAGTCACAGGCTCGCCAGCCGTTCGAAGATAATGAACATTTATCTTCTTCTATCAATGAAAATGAATACAAAAAAAAGCACGCACTACTTTCTTAGTCAGCACCAGAATGCGCGCCGTGGACCATATTTGAGAAGTAGATGATGTAGAAGTAGTCCGAGTTATTACGTTTTGCGGCCGTGCTACTGTGGCCTGCTGGTCGGAAATGCAGATGAAAACGAACGTCCTACGCGTACTTCCACTTGCATACTTGAATTGATCAGCGCGAGGAACATGAGAATGCCGACGCCGCCGAGGAAACCGTAGGAAAAGTTTCCTATCACGAAGGTTGGGATAAAGGCCGCCCCGGTAAAACTATACCCGGCGAGGGCCATAACCCAAAATAATAGCCACATCGTCAAAAACGTGCAGCAGGTTCCGCAGCTCGCCACCAAGGACCGCAACCGGGCCTGTTTCCGCTTCTTCACGGATTTCTTCTTGCTGGGCTCACACTGTATGAACAGCGCAGTTGCGAGCGCCATGTTTACTCCTATGAAAAGGAAAAACAGACCGCCGAAAACGCCTCCGTATACCATCGTAGTCATCTGTGAACACCTGAAAGATATTAAAGATGTCGTTGACGTCTGCCGCTCCTCGCATCGCATTGTTGATGATTTTCCGGCACGGTAGGACCCGTGCTAAAAATCCGCAGCCGCAATCGGACGAGCCGGAGCGAACATGCATAGAAGGCTAGAAATGCTACTTACTCAATCGTGCGTCTAAAACCTCATAGAAGCTTCTTTACCTTGTTTGTGCGTGTGTCCTACACTCTTGTACGTACTGGCAGGTCATAAAAACGGCACAGGTAGTGAGCATCACGCCGGAGAAATCCCAGTCGGTAGTTTCGAATTATCCCGTGGGAAACGCCATCCCTTTGTTGTTTGTTGTACTGCCAACGTATAATCAGCAGGGTTCGGTAGCAAGAGCTGCGACCACGTTCCCTACAGATAGGATAAAGCGCATCGATTTCTTATTTTTACAATTTGTTTGTTTCGTGAAAATGCATCAAAGGTACCAAATTGGATGACACGTCGTGCAGTGGTGCCAACATAGTAAAGTCAGTTATTCTCGAAGCGCTGTATGTGTGATTCCGGCGAACGAAGGAGGGCAGATAGATACTGACAAAAAAGAAAAGCGTTTCCACGAAGATATTGTTGTATTCCCGCTGCCGCTCTCAGTCTCCATAGTGTATGCGTCGCTTTTCAATTTGTCCATATCGCACGTCGTACCACCGATCACCTCGATGGCAGTTCCCGAAAGACTGTTTGCGCTCAGATATGCAACACGCCAAATCATGTACCCCCGGAGCAGGGCTCGAGCTCGTCCTACGTGTTGTGTGCAGTTTTAGTTGGACAAACAATTCAAATGCAAAGGCACTGCGGCGGGGGTAAGATTAAATGGCATATCAACAGGTACTGGCTCATTAGATCGCAAATCGTTGTTCGGAGAGGTATATGCAGTACAACAAAAGCTGCCACGAGGAAACCTAATCCATTTATTAAGTAGTACTCTTACGGTCACATACTCATACACCCTTCATGCACAGACATTTAGGGAATTTTTTCTTCTCGTTCAGTAGAGGCACGGCAAGAAATGTTGTACTTATGCTGTACCGTCAGGACCTAGCATAAGTAGCATGGATATGCTCCTGCAAGAAGGCGCCTCTTTCGAAGATTCGTCCGATTTATTATTACTTGCTTTTGCGGGAGATATGATATGAAAGTCACTTGTGTGTGCGCGTTGATGATATCCTTCTTGGTGTATGCATTGCACATATGTCTTGGTGTGGAAAATGTCATGCTTGGCTGACAGGAGAAAAAGATTTTTTATGTGCGTGCCGATATAGTGTCTTTTTCTTGCAATGCCAAAACACGATTTGTCATTCGGCTCGAAAACTTGCCCTGCGTGGCACCGTAACTAAGTACAAGGTTCCGTTGCTTAGTATCCACACATCAGCATCACAACTTTCCAAACTAAGGGGGCATATTAGCACTTGATACGGTGAACATAAGGGAAAAAGGTCGCTGCACCGGGAAGCCGAGCTGTTATAGTTTTGTCGAGAATTCGGATTATAGTCGTACTCAAATGCGAGTTCGTATTCGATCCAAATATGCATTAGTACAAGCGCCCAACTCCAACACTACTTCTATTTCTCCTGGTAAGGTCAAAAATACCTACCTCAGCGTGCGACTTCATTTCCAGGATGGGCCAGTGGAAGGCTCCTGAGTACCCGTCCGTGCCTATCGCACAGAAAGAAGCTGGAAAGGTCATATCTTAGAATATAGTAACAGGGAACCTCGACGTGACCGGGGGGGTCACGTCCGTCCGTCCGGCCGGACGGACGGCACGTGACCGGGGGTAGTCCGGCCTCGGGGCGAGTTCGGCGCTGAATGCCGCAGCAACTTTGGCCCTCGGTAGCTAGAAGCCCCCGGCCGCGTCACCGACGGCGGACCAGGGGCAAGAGTCGTGCCTTTTTTTGTTTTTCCGTGAAAGACCGAACTCATGACCTTTTTTTTTTTAGTTGGGCGCCCGAGCTAGCTAACAGCCCCCGGCCGCGTGACCGGGGGCGGAGCGTGACGAAGAGAGGCAGTTGCAGTTCTTCAGTGAAGGACCGAGCTCATGACCTTTTTTTTTTTTAGTTGCCCGGGCGCGCGGTCCACCGCGGCCACCACCTCCTAGCGCCACGACGGACCCCCGGTCACGTGCCGTCCGTCCGGCCGGCCGGACGGACGTGACCCCCCCGGTCACGTCTAGACTCCTTGTTACAGATAATATCTGTGATGCAAATACGTACTCGTAAGACCAGCACTACGTACTACGAATTTCCTTCGTAAGCAGGTATAAAAATACCTACCTCAGCGTGGGACTTCATTTCCAGGAGGGGCCAGTGGAAGGCTCCTGCGTACCCGTCCGTGCCTATCGCACAGAAAGAAGCTGGCAGGGCAAAACTTATCTGTAATCACTAAATACGTGGCAAAATCTGCATTGCGCATCCTAAGCAGCGTGCTCAAGGCTCGACGACGGTCACAGATTTTTCAATTTCCACCTTTGTGCAGCAGTACCGGTATGACGTGCCAGCTTTTCTTTGTGCGATAGTCCCGGTGGAAATCATCAACATTAGGATATGCATTGCAAAAGTATTGCACTAGCAGTGACGGCACTACAAATTTTCTCAACAACATACAATAGACTGAGGGGCTACATCATAATCATAAGGATCCTACGCCCAGCAAGCACGAGATTCTTATAGATACTTATGCAGAAGTATTGCAATTACTACGGATGCGGTACTTTTACAGTGGATACGAGATCGCACATGCCAACCCAACAAAAACGGAAGATTATCGAGGCGTCACGTTTGAAGTCGACAATAAAGTATGAAAAAACAATTTTAATTTCAATTTCAAACGCATGCAAAAAATGCGAGAATGTGGCACAAGGTCCCTGTCGCGGAGAAAAGACAGCAAACGAGGGCAATTGTGAGCCTTTTTGGGGTTAGGGTAATCGAGGTGCTAAAGTACCTAGTACTAGCACGACCAAAGATGCATACAAATAAAAGTAGCTTTTTTCCCAAACAGCATGTCAGTCTGGATCTTGGTACTCCGAAAAATTGTCACGTGCCACGGACTAATTGGGGCTCCAATGAGAATAACTGCCATCGCGTCGATTCCATGCATCGCAAGTTCACTTCCACTTTGTCGATTTCCAACTCGACACTTCCATAAACAGAGGGAGATGCATATCCCCATGTTCTCGTCTGCCTCATTTTTTGCGCCCATTCTTTCACTTATTTTTCCTTGAAGATATTTTTCAAACTGCGAGAATTAGTCCTCGCGCGACTCTTTCACAACGTGTCATATCTAATTTTGTCCACCTGTGGAAAAATTGCACCGGTGCCACCAGCCGCAGAGCAGCCGGTAGAAGTGCGAATAAATCTACTGCAGTCTTGTGCGCCGCTATTTTGTGCAGCTCCCCTCCTATCTACACCTCTTCATATCCACCTAACCCTCCTTGCCTTTTCTTGGCACATAAATCTTGATCAGCTTCTGCATTCGCACTCTCTTTGAAGAAGTCTTCGCACTCTCTTTTTACAGCTATCCCACCACGGACGGCCCAGCAACGTAGTGGGAGCGCGACGACGAGCACTGCACCGACCAGGAGCGGGCCGGCGCGTTGTCTTTTCACAAAAACACGCATGCTCTGACGTTTGTTCGCCAAAGCAGCGACCCCCGTACTAGGTCTGCCCTCTTTCACGAGGGGCAAGAACGACGAGAACAAGAAAGTGGTCAAGAGAAAGGTCAATGTCTTCTTCTTCATTCAATGTAACACATTTGCCCGGACTTTAGATCCGGAAGAACGGTTTAATATTCCGCGAACATCAGCCCCCGGAAGATTCCGCAGCGTTGCGTCGTGACCGGGAGCCTCGCGGTATCGCATAACTAGGATCCATCGTATAGTCTATGTCCTTAGCGTGCATACGACCTCCACACACTACTGCAGTATCTATCAACAGGCGCGTGATGCACAACATCCACCATGAGAACATCTTTCTCAGGAACCATTATCCACAAAATGATCTAGGTTTGTCGCTGTTATATGTTCGTAAGAGGTAAACCTACTGCGATTGAAATTAACCACGTGGTCCCCTATTCGGCTGCATAACCTGAGCAGCAGAAAGAAGGAAATGCCAAGGCCTGCGAGGAACGCAAGCAATTTGGCGCCTACTTTTGCCGTTTTTGTGTCCACATCGTCGTCAATATGCTGGCGCTGGCCGTCGTGGCTGCTCTCCTGTGCGAGGTTTGAGGTTGCTCCTGATGATGTTGATGGTTCCCCGAGTATTGATTCTACGGATTCATCTTTGTCTTCAATGCCAGATGTGGTGGTCCCCATCGAAGAACTAGAAGCTCTTGCCACGTTTTCTTCGGAGTTTGCGGCTGCGGCGGAAACTAGACCACGTGAAGTCGTCGCGAGCGGGTAGCTTAACAGGGAAAACAGCCACCCAAAGATTCCGGCGTCCTCCTCTTTCACTGCTGGTTCCTCGATGTGCAGGACCAAACTTCGGCTCCGCGTCTGGTACCCACCGGTTCCACACGTGGCAGAACAGCCGCCCCACGCGTCCCAGTCGTCCCAGACACAGGATTCGATCCTCTTCGGCACGATCTCATTCAGGTCCGGCTCGGGCGCCAGCGCGTTACTCCCGTCGAGGCCTGTAAAGGTGGATGAACGGTTTTTTCTTTTTAATGTGTGTAAAGAAGTTCTTGATATTGCTTCCCATGAGTTAGCAATTACCGAGAGAGGACAACAAGAAGTAGACGGATAAAACAAATTTCGCCAGGTAGCAATAGCAAATGGTGAACTTCATCATTCAAAAATACAAGTTTTGTTCGTCTGGCACATTTGCACGAGTTTCGTGTCCTTCAGGTCGCACGGCATCCCGCCCCGCCTGGCAACTTTCTCGATAACCCGATTCTTGTATTGCGTGCCTGTGTTATCCTGGGTCACAACTCGCTCCACTACGGTAGAGATCACGATCAGATGATCCCTTCCCTTGCTCATAATCTTACAATACAGGCACTATGCACAACGATTTTTTTCTTCATTCTCAAAGCTGTGGAAACTCCTGAAGGTAATGCATGGAACCCTAGAAGTCTATTCGTGTGCCATTGGAAGTAATCCTCCTCCTGTCAAAAAGAGGCGGTCGCTCTTCTCGACGAGGTGGCTCGTCTTAAAAATGGAGGTCGTCGTGGAACAGTTATCAAATTCAAAGCGAATGAGTAAACAAGTCAGTGCTGTGCGGAAAACTATTTGCTGGTGCAAGAGAGAGAGGGAAGCTCCCGTCGAGGTCGAGTGGTGTCCATCGATCTGATACACGCCACAGGTGACGGAGCAGTCCGTCCAGTTGGTCCAATTGGAAAATTTGCAGTCCTGGGGCCCGAGACACGGGTGGAAGTTGCAAGACTGTACTTCCTGCAAATGTCCGCTGCACTTCGTTTCCAGCTGCAGCTTCATTTCATTCACGAGCTTCTCCTCCTCGTCCAGCAGCGTTTGTTCGTGGATGACCTTGTGGGCGGACAGAAAGACCGAGATTTGGCCGAGCAGCTTATCGTTCACCCGCAGCGTGCGCTCGCGGGTCTGTGTGCCCTGCCCGCATGGCGCCGTGCAGTTGCTCCAGGGCCCGAACTTGCTGAAGTGGCACAGGTCGTTCTCGTGGACTGACGTGGAACCGGGCTCGGGCTTGGTGAGCTGCTTCAAGAACTTCTCCGCCTTGATTTTGATCTTCAAGTCGTCGTTTAGCTCCTCCTCGGTCAGGTCCGCGTTTCCCCCGGTGTGCGCCACGTCGTGCGGGCACTCCACCACCGCAGAGGAGAGCAGCGTGGCGGGGTGGTCCTGGCAGGGCCGGATCTGCGCGAGCTCGCCGACGCAGTTCTTCCCCTCGCCGGCCGGCTCCACCGCAATGTAGCGATCCCGCGCGTACACGCTGGATTTCTTCGTCACGTTCCGGAGGTGCGCGTCCTCCAGTTGCTGGGGCGGCAGATACGGCTTCCAGTCCGACCAGGGGGAAAAACCGCAGTCCTGCGCCTCGGAGCAAATATGGAAGGTTTGAAAAAACTTTGTTACTAGCGTATCAAGCTAGGGCTGGGGCTGCGAAATATGCAAGAACTTAGTAGAGAGGCGCGTCTGTCTCCATATTCGCCATATATTCAACTGAGTTGTTATTTTCTTCACGTATGCCCAACGTACTATTAATTTGCGCATGCCTAGTCTTTGCTGTCGCTGGTCCATCTCCCATCAAAAACTATACTCTTCTTGTTTACGCTCTTCAAACAAACTTTTTTTCTTCCTTAACAGAAGACCCGGTTGCACTCGCGAAACTCCGTGGTCTCGCCCTCGACGGCCTTGCCGCAGTGGTTCGGCCACTTCTCGATCTCGCGATGCCGGGTTTGGTACCCCGCATCGCCGCACGTCGCGGAGCACTTGCCCCACGCGGTCCAGTGGCCCCAGGCACCGTCCTCGCACGCACCAACGCAAGGATGCTGGTTGCACGCAGCCTACAAACAATTTTCAAAAAACAGCGATTGTTTTACGCTCGACCAGTTTGTTGATATGGTTAAGAACGGGGTCACAAAATGTCCGACTAAGTCCTCGGGGGACCTGCGTCCCACCCAGCCGGGTGGGCCTTAGGTCCCCTGTGCCTGTCCCAATAATTAAGTTATATATGACTCCGCCACAGCTCGCGTCCGCCCATATTGTTTTCTCGCCGTTCGCCTTGTCGGTGTAAATCTGTATTAGAGTCTTGCACTATTGTACTTGTGCCTCCATTTGTCGCTATTTATCCAAGAAAAGAGCTTATTGGTTATTTGATGGTTGGTGTAAATCTGTGACGCAGAAAATGCACAACTGTTTCACAGGAAACTGCAGAAACACTTTTGCATTTTCCGCATCACAGGTCCCTTTTGCGTAAAAAGAGCTTTGCATTTTCTGCATCACAGATTTAACCCACAACAAAGCATTTTTCTTGGATAAGTGCAGTGCACAAATCTTCTTTCTTGGATAAGTGCAGCAGTGCACAAATACAATAATACATAAAGCTACTGCGTCACAGATTGACACCCACAAAAAAGAACGGCGAGAAAACTGGAACGGACGGACGCGAGCTGTGGCGCATTCATAGCTTAGCTCTATATTGGGACAGGGGACCTAAGGCCCACCCGACTGGGTGGGTCGCAGGTCCCCCGAGGACTTAATCGGACATTTTGTGACCCCGTTCTAAGATAAAGTTAAAGGTGATAGTAGGTCTACTGTAGATAAACTTGATTCGAGTTGTAGGCTACGAGCTTCGACTTCATCCTTACCGCGCACGGCGCATTCCGAACCGAAGAAGAACTTGTATTTGCGTGGTAATCTTCCTAAAGAAAACAAGGAAGCAGCAACTCCTACTTCAATTTTCTCGCATGAAAATCGTGTGGGTCGTAAGTGTGGACCTCTACCACGCTCCATGAAGACAACTTCGTACCAGCTCACTTTTGGTTTTCGCGACGCACAGCTTCCCGCCAAAGCGCGGAGACGCAAAAATGTGTCTCGTTCGCTCCCGCTGCCCGCCACCGCAGGACACCGTGCACGCGGAGTAGTCGGACCACTCCGACCACTGGCAGTCCACTGCGTTCGCGGCGCAGGGGAAAACGTTACAGCCCCTGATTTCCGAAAGTTGGTTCGCGCAGCCGGACCCGCCGTGCACCGCCTGCTTCGCGATCATGCGCTGGCGAAACTGCTGCCCACCGCCACAGGTCCTGGTGGAGAGGTGAGAGTTTGGCACGGTGAGAAAAAGATCTCGCATTTTCGCATCAAAGTTTAGTTTATCCACGTCATCAAAGTTGTCCTCGTTGTGTTTACAACAAAATCATCATACGAAACAGCAACGTTCCCTACCGGCTACATTCGTTCCATTTGTTCCACTGCGCCACGACGCAGTCCTTCGGATTTTCGCACAATGCCATCCCACACTCCCTTGTTTCCCGAACGTGGCCCAGACACGGTTCCCCGTCGTTTTTGGTCGGCCTCGTGATCCGGCGGGACCGGAACTGCTGGCCGCCACCGCATATGCATTGCAAAACAAGTATCGTACTCGTATAAATGCATTACAAATTTGAATTTCCTCAGGATGAGAAATAAAATTTGTAATGCTGATTTGACTTAACAAAAAGATTTGTAATGCATGATTGCAATACGAATACGATACTTTTGCACAGGATACCGCAGGTGCCGGTACAATCGGACCAGTCCTCCCAGTCGGAAAACTCGCAATCCTGTATGCATTGCAAATATGTCTGGGTCTGGAAGAATGCAACTTGTGATGCTGCATTTGGACTCCAAAAGAATCTGTATTGCATGAGCAGCAAAGGGAGTGTAGTTTTTGCTGCGGGAAAAGGGAATTTGTCATGCGGAATAGGCATCAAGAAGCCCTCAAGCTCAACAGATCTCTGATGCTAGGGCATGCATCACAGACATCATGGCTCATGCAAAACTTGCATGACAAATCTAAAAATCTTCCAGACCCAGACATTTTTGCACTTGATATCCTGCTTGGGGTAGCAATCCGGCTTGCACGCGCGCGTCTCGATGCGCGCCCCGTCGATGGTCTTGCCGCACCAGTTCGCGCTCTGTCGCAGGTTTCGCTCCCGCTCCTGCAGGCCCAGGCAGGAGCAGCTGCCCCAGGGCCCCCACTCGCTGAAGGAGGCGTCCACGCACTCGCAAGGTTCCCGCTTGCAGTGCTTCGTCTGAAATAAAACACGCGTTCTTTTTTTTACTTTTAGCCATCCATGTTGTGCACAGGAAAAAACTCGACATCGAAGACACGGTCGTTGGAATTGGTACTTTCACAGTTGATCTTCTCGCAGCACGCGGCTTATTCTCGACACAGAGGTCCTTGTTCTCACAGCAGAAGTTTATTCAGCTGCTTCACATCTTATCTACCTGCCCTGGTATTTCTTGTTCTTCTTTCTATCAAAATCTACTAGGAGAAGCAAGTACATCTAGGGCTACTACTACAACCCCCATCCGGCGGTGCATATATTCATCGTAGTATACCAGATACCTCCTGGAGTGCTCCATTCGGACAGGATTTCCCGCAGTCTGTGGGGAACTGGTCCAACGAGCGTTTCCGCGTAACCGAACCCGTTCCGCGTATGCATCGCAAAAGTAGTATCGCACACATAGAATTCATGTTACAGCTTGCAAGAGCATCGCATGACAATACTTCCTTCTATACCTCACTTAAGATCATGTTGGTCAATATTGATTTTCACTTTCATTACTTTTTCGAAATCTCTATTCAATTTCTGGCAAGTCTTTGTCTTGTAGATCCTTCCCAGGGCAGACATTGACATCCAGGTGGTCTATCTAAATAATACTTTTGCGAAGCATACCGCAGGTCACCGAGCAACTGGACCACGCACCCCAGGCGCCGACCTTGCACTCCTTTTCCGCGTCGTGGTGTTCGCAGGAGGGCAGGTTATCCTCACAAGGCGCGATCTCTTGCAGGGACACCTCGGGGTATTTTTTCATATTTCCACTTGTCTATGCGTCGCGGAAGAGACAGAGGCAGTGTAATTTCTCCCTAGCCGAGGAAGACGATGCAAGATGATTCACTTCTGTGCTTGGACAGCACAGTGCACCTGCACACAGACGCTACTCAAAAAAATTACACTGAGTACGAAAAAGGACGAGAAACAGTTTTTTGGTATCTTCTATACATCTCCGCAGCCCTTTGCTTCCGGTCCGTCGGGGTATCAAATGTAAACGTGTCTGGGTCTGGAAGAATTCACGTTTGTCATGCTTGTCTGGCATGACTCTTAAATCTGTCATGCACGTTACCCAAATGCTCCGTTTTTCTGTCATGCAGAAGCGCAGCTTGTTATGCAGAATAGGCAACACCTAGGAGCTCCGAAACTTGTCATGCTGAGCCAGCATTTGTAGCCTCATCATGAGACGCCACCCAGCATCACAAGTTTCCAGACCCAGACATTTTTGCATTTGATACGGGGTACACCTCTACCAATCTGGCCCGCCTCCTCGTTCCGGCGGTCCCGCAGGTGGCAGAGCAGTCGCCCCATTTTCCCCACTCGACTCCCTATCCTGTGCAAAGGTATCGCAATCGCACTCGTAGTCTTAAACTTAATCGCAGTCGTGCGGCATGACAGTTCCTTCCTATCCAAAACTGCTGCACATACAAGGGATTTTCAATTTTATCTTTTCTTTGGAAACCAAAATTTGCCATGCGTTTACTACCACTACCAGTACGACACAACTTTCGCGATGCGTACCACCACGCAATCCGTCGAGTTTTCGCGCAGCATGGCCTTGTAGGAATCGCGGAGGGCGCAACTTTCCACATTGCACGCCTGCACCTCCTCCATGGGCACGCCCGCGTCGTGTTCGATCTCCTTCTGGAACTCCGGCGATTCGGAAATCAGATGGTAGTGCTCCTCGGTGAGGTTTTTCCGGCGCACGAGCTCCTCGACGTGTTTCCCGTGTTTCTCGTCAAACACGCCGATTTCGTGGCAGCCCTTGCCGCCCCTCGCCGGGTATTGGGTAATGTCCCGGTAGCGGGAGCGCACGCCGTTGCAGGTCGAGGAGCACATCGTCCAGGAGGTCCACTGGGAGATTCTGCAGTCCTGCGCGCCGGCGTACCACTCGGGACAGTGTTGCAAATTGCACGACTTGACCTCGACCAGCGCCCCGTCCTCGCACAGTTTGGGGTTTTTCCCGACCGGATTGTCCACGATTTTCCGTGTGCGCGTCTTCTCCCCTGCGCCGCAGCTGGTGCTGCACTCGCCCCAATCCGTCCACTCCGAGTACTTGCAGTCAACGGTGTGGATTTCCTTGTTAAAGTAGTTTTCCTGGCAGGGTTTGTCCAAATTGCACGGCTTGATCTCTTCCAGCGCGATCTCCAGGTCGCGCACCGGCAACGTCGAAGTCGTATTGTTCGTCTTGTTCGCGGCCACAAGCTCCATCTGCTTGAATCTTTATCCGATGGAAAAGTATCGCCTTGGCCGTGATGATTCCGTACGAAAACGAAGCAGAGAATGAGAACTACTCCACCTGAATAACAAGACAAGAGCGTCAACGTCATCTCGTGCAGCAGATCATGACATATCTAATACAACTTGGCAAAAATTTTGCGGCTTGTTATACGTTTCCTAGCTTTCTCATGCCTTTCGTACACCTACGTGCAGGCGGCTATCTGTGGTCGTGCTATGCGTACTTGCAAGTCCTTTACCAACTTCTCGTAGAGGACCCGCGAGCAGCTCCGCCCCGAGTTTCGGGGGTACTGCACAATCTCTCGCATTCGGCTGTGTTCTCCGCCCCCGCAGCTGGTGGAGCAGGTCGACCATTCCTCCCAGTCACTCAGCGCGCAGTCGACCGGCGCGGAAGTGTCCGTTCCCACCGCCCCGGTGTGGCCGTGGAACAGCGACCCGAACAGACCCAAGCCCGAACAGTAGTCCAGGTACTCTTTGTGGCAGGACCGGGTCTCCTTCATGGGTCCGCTGCAGGGCTTGCCCTCCGGCCCCCGCGCGGACAAAACCACGTGCCGCTCCCGGTAGGACTGCGGCGTCTTCCCGTTCTTCGCGATCTCCGCGCAGTCACTGACTTCGCACCGCGACCACTCGTCCCACTCCGAGAACTCGCAGTCCACGTTGTAGGTGGTGCACGTGGAGGTGTCGCAGCGCCGCGTTTCCCGGTCGTGGCCCTTGCACGGGTTGCCGCAGTAGTTATTCTCCTGCTCAATGTACCGCCGGCGCTCCTGGAGGCCGTGGCAACTGCAGTCCGACCACTCCTTCCACTCCCCGAAGGCACAATCGAGGCATTCGTGCGTTGGGCAGGCCACCTGGGACGAAGCGTCGCACGCTTGGTACTCGGTCTCCGTCCCGTTGCACCTCAGCTTGGGCTTCTTGGTCCCAGGCCCTGTCTTGCTAGGGGCGGTGCCGTGGGACGAGGACTCGTTCTCGTCGGAGGAGCTGCTAGAAAAATAACCTTCATCGGAGTCCTCGCTCGTAAGGCGCCGTACGGTTGTCTTCAGTGCCCGTTGCAGGTTCTTCGGAACAAGGGTGTCGTAGAAAGTGGCAGTTGACTTGTTCTTGACGCCGATCGGCGGGCGCCGTGCGTTATTTCTCGTGCTTTTGTAGTAGTTCCCAGGCTCAGGCTCAGCAGGGAACATTCTTGACGCCGTTACTGTTCGGGAGCTGTTGTCGATATCGTCAGCCGCTCCTGTCGTGCCTGGTGCAGATGCTGCAGATGACCGAGGAGGAGATCCTGGTGTGAAATGAATCTCTCCTGCTGCATCAGCTGATCCGGGTGAGGAAACTACGGGTAGGACAGGAGAAGGCGGAGCTACGTCGTCACGCACCAGCTTCGTGGAACTCGTATCTTCGACCACGTCGACGTCCCGCAGCACAGTTTCGACGACTTCACGGTCTCTCTTTGTGGCAGCTGCAGCTCTACTGTGGTCTACAAATGACACAGCACCAGCTGCAGTCGGGCCAGCATCACCGTCCTCCATTGAGTCCTCCGCGTGGGGGCGGCTAGCAGCACTTCTCGGTGCATAATGAACCGTCAAGCCCTCCTCGTCCGCTACTTCTGAGGCACTTGCGCTAGTACGGCTACCAGCAGCTGGAGCGTGCTGTACTAATTCCTGGTCTTCATCACGCTGATGGTCCCGCTCTTGGTTCGCCTGAAGTTCTTGAGCGCCCTTATTTCTTTCGTTCGTAACGGTGCTGTCCGCAGCAACCCTAGTGGTCGTGCCGGTGCGCCTTCCCTGCGCTTCCGCACTAGGTGAGGCAGTACTTGTCGATGGTGAAGCTTCCACGTTCCTTGAAAGCTCCGCACCATCACCAAGCACCTGCACGTTTGCCGATGCAGCTGAAGCAGTGGTTGATCCGCGCGCTGCTGTGGCAAAGCTTTTCGTGCTTTGTTCACCCGTGCGGCTGGTTTTTTTACGTCGCTGTTGAGCAGCAATGTCGGGCACAACAGGTGGCCCTGGGCCGCGCGATGCTCCAGCGGAAGCGCGGGGACTCGCGGTCGCTAGCAAAGCTGCAATGGACACCACAGCGGGCATTTTGCCCCGTCTGTTGCACCGCTGGCGCATTGCGATCGTCGGCCTTCGCAGAGCGACGCGTGGTAGATTTTCCCGCAGCACTACAGAAACACGAGAAGACAACCAACTTTCATCGAAACACCAATTTTGACATGTTAGCAAACGACCGCACAAACTGAAAGTATCTTGCTGCAATCCCCACGCAAAAACATGCAACTGCGCGTGCTCCCCGCAAAGAATACTGATCAATGATTTTGCGTGAAGGCTACAAACAAACTAAATCACATTGTACCAAATGCATTCATAGTGTTTCATATTTCCATAGATTCCGCTCACGTTTAACATAAAAACTCAAACCTGACGCTCACGCTCAACAACTCTTTGTTCAATATAGAATAAACTGCACGAATGCTGAAACAAATCCTATATGCACATCGAAATCCAGATGAGCAATCACCGCACCTATCGTGGTCGCGCAACAGAAACCACCAACCCACCTGCCGGTAGTTCTGCATCTTCTGTTTTCACACGTCATGCGGACGCTCGAAGAGGCAATACTGCGAGTCGTGGTGGTCATCGATCTGTTACTGTATGTTCGTTCAGCCACAACTTCTTGCAAATCTTCTGAGGACACTCGCTGAGGATGTACTCCGTCTGTGAAACAAGCAAAAAGGAGTTTATTGCAGACAGTCGAAGACAAATGTTCTAGCTCTTCTTCTTTACGTAAAGCCAGAGACTTCGTCTACTTCAACTGCAGCCGGATGAAACGAAACCCCTTTTATTTCGTGGAGAGCTCAACAGAAGTAGATGCCAAGCAAAGTCCGAGCAGCCTCTTGCGCGACGACCTGCTTCAATACCCGTGCACCTGCTTGACGATGGAACACACCATGGAAAACACGATCGCGACGTAGAGAATCCACAAATTCCAGCTTTTCAGCTCCAGCGGGTTGACCAACAGGCCGAAGTACTCCCGTGCAGAGCGGTTTGCAAACAGCGTCCGCGTCTTCACCAGCGTGACGTCGAGCAGCAAGTCGCAATCATCCATACCCTGCTTCAACGCCTCGTAGATGTCCCGCTATCCTGTGCAAAAGTATCGTACTCGTATTGCAATAATGCATCTTTTTCTCAAGGTAATCTCGCATTACAAATTTTATTTGTCATGCTTAGGAAATTTGTAATTGCATATGCATTTATACAAGTACGATACTTTTATTGCACTCACAGGATACGCGCTGCGCCCCGCCCATGTTGCCAAAGATCGCTGCCGCCGCGGCCCCCGGACCCGAGGAATAAAAACTGCCAGTACAACTGCCGTGGGAGTTGCAAACTTGCATGCCCTCGAAATACGCGTCCCGGGCCTCCTGGACACGGCCGAGGAAGAACAAAGCCGCGCCCTTCCGTGCGTACGCCCGTGGAAAAAGTGGGTTGAAGTGGATTGCGAGCTTCGCGTCGCGTAGCGAGTCGGTGTACTCTGCCAGGTTGGCGTGCGCAGCGGACCGGTTGGAATAGATCGCGGCGATTTGATTATGGGAAGCAAAAAACCATACAACATCTTCCTTGTCAAGAACGCAATTTTTGTCCTACTTTGTTCATCGTACTGCTGCACGTCAGCGCGTATAGTTGGTTTATCGTCAAGGCTCATTTATCTAGCGTAGAAGTTTGAAATCAGCGCACGAAGCCGCGAAAGCGAGGATGTAAGGCGAGTGCGGCAGGCGCAGCCAGGCGTCAGCCTACAACTGAAGCCTACCATATTAATATGTTACCTGGTCAACACTAATGCAAAATAAACTAGGGGACCAAGCACGCGAGGTAAAGGGCCTTCTACAGCCTTAGTTGGTTTCTTCCGTAGTTATTTCAAGTTCAACACGTACAAATACGTAACCCGCAAATATCTCGGTTGTATCCAATGCGTATGAGTAGAAAGACAAAAAGCGTTGAGACTTTGAATCAAGATGTTTTTCCAGCAACATAGTGTTTGTCTTTCTCGTTCTCAGTGTCGACCGCGTCAGCAGAGCCCCCTGTGGCAGCTGCAGCTGCGCCTTTACACTCATCCGCTTCCCCTCCTGAGGTGGCGGAGGTTGCTGTACTCGTGCCGTTCTGTTCTGCATCCTCACTGCCCTGCGAAAAATGTGCAGTTGGCGTCGACGGAGGCAATTGTTGTTCGGACTTTATTTGATGACCATGATCAACACAGGTGGTAGCTCCACCGGCATCTTCAAGTTCTGCTTGCGTTTCCTGCGACGGCGCGGCGTTTCCTTTGCCCCTTCCACTTGCGTTGTCGCTAGAGGTAGAGGAGGTTGATGAAATTCCTGTTGTATTGCGGCAAAGTCGTCTGCAGAGAGATGGATCGAGATGAACGGAAGAGAGAAAAGCACTTCAGCAAAACCAAAAGCTGCGCGACGCAGCTTTTGGTTTTGCTTTGAACAATATGCAAGAAGAAGAAATATCAAAACCGTACGTCAATTACAATTAGACATCGTGAATTGAGTCCACGCCTTGCGTGACCCGTGATGAGTAAGTACCTGCCTTCCGCTCCTGTTCTTCCCTCTCGAGCGCAATTCCAGCTGCTATGCTCGATGCCTGTCCCAGGAGCGTGAGCGCCTTGGTCCACTGAATGATTGCCATTTCCCAGTCCCCGTCGCGGAAGGCCGCGCTCCCCGCCTCCTTCCGCAGCTCCGGCGTGGTCAGGTGTTGCGCCATCTTGTTTGCGAGCCGCTTCTTCCGCTGAATGCGCTGCCGCCGGTCCTCTTGCTCCTCGGCGCGGGACTTCGGTGACAGACAGCGGAGTTTGTCTTCTCGGGTGGGCTTTTTCGTCTTCTGTTGCAGCGACAACGCGGTGACAGGAGGGTTCGTGTTTGACGAAGTAGTACTGGAGGTAGTGTTTTCATTTTCACTAGCATCCTTCGCAGTAGCGGCGACATTTTTGCCACGCTCGGTCCATTCTTGGAATGTTTTCGGCGCGCCATGATCACGAGAAGAGGAAAGTTGGCTGAGGCTGATGCTGCTCTTGTCAGAAGAAGCGCTTGCGGCCCTGTTTCTATCGTCAGTCGTGGGGGTATCGTGGGGAAATAACGAAACAAGTCTATTTTCTTATTTCGAAAATCGTCGAGTTGCATCAATCTTAAAAATTAGAAGTTGCACAGACACGGTCACGGCGACAAACTCTACAACCTCATAGTTGATGCATCTGTCCATGTGTCGTGACACGACTACACTACTGATTGAAGCAGACGCAGTCGCAGAGGCCGCCGCCGTGAGCGCATCCGATATAAAGAAGAAGAGAACGGATCTTCCCACTACGATACATCATTGCCGCGCCTCCTGCGCCTCCTCCCAGCGACAAATTGGACCTCCTGGACGGAAACACCTTGCCAAAGCCACCGGCCTCCAGCGCACTACTTCCACTTTTATTTCCGCTGGCCGCGGTCTTTTCTTTGACTTTCTGATAGTCAAAAGCGTCCAGTGGGCAATGCTTTAACGGATTTTTTGGTGTGGGCGTTGTAGTTCTTTCCTGCTGGATCCGCTTCGTTATACAACCCTCGTCGTCCATCCGGGATGGTTCTGAGGGAGGTTGAGACTCTTCTCGTCGGCAAGAGTCTTCTTCTAACACCTCCAGCAACGGCTCCGCATCGGACGAGTCGGGACGACCAACGGCACCCATACTTGCTATATTTTGTGGCTCCGCCGGTGGACGAAATTGTACTTGCACTTAGTACTTTTCGTACTGGAACGTGATATATGAATGTGTACCCCGACGAAGTGATCACCTATGAATAAAAAAGTGTGCTCCTTCTCTCAGTGCCAGTTCTGGTCTACGCTCTTGTACTTACAACAACTGCGCAACTGCGTGCTACTCTTCCGGAACATCGGCACACGGCACGCTCACGCAACACACGCGAAATAAAATAAACGATGAGCCGACGTGCCCAGGTTTGTCGCGAAAGGTCAACGCGGTTTCTGTTCTTACACGTGCGTTCCGTTTTATTTCATGAGCCTGCTCAACCACAACGCGTCGCAACACTGTCACGCCAATTGAATTTAAAAAATTCTCTTTGGTGCGCTCCGTGGAAGAAAGAAGAAGTCTCGCTGCAGATTTCTTGTATATTCTTACGAAATATCATCGCGATCGCCTTCTATGTCGCTACCATCGTCCCCAGACAGAGACCGCTCGTCGTTCTTCACCGTGCCATCGTAGGCTCTCGGCCCCCCTCTGCGGCAAATTTCACGGATAATCTCCCAGGCACGGGAATGTAGCGGTGCCGGGCGCCGCTTCGTCGCCGCGCGCCGGTTCAGCGTTTTCCAACGAGCCTTGAGCACGTCCCGGCTTCGGCAGTTCTCCTTGCACACGGCGGTAGTCTTCAGTCTATCGAAGTCCGCGGCGTAGAGCGGTAGCAGCGGGCTCTTGTTAATCCCCGCACCGTCGCCTCCGTCAAGTCCGGATGAAGGCACGTCCATTTCCCGTAGTTGGGTAGTAAAATACTGATACTGCCCAAACTGCTCTTTCCTCTATCCGAAAAAAAATTACCGCAACCGCAAGGATCGATATTACAACAAGTGAACACGAACTGGCATGACAACGACAAGACCCTTCTTCTATCTCGCACAGCCATTTCAAGCAGTGCCTTCGTAAAAAAAAGCTGCACTTATTGCAACGAGAACGAATCTATGATGCATGTTCTCCGTGTCACAGTTCGACTCCTGCGGTAATAAGTTTCAATTTGTCTTGCATACCGTCAATGAATACCGGAGTATCTCGTCGTAAAGCAGTTCCATTTCTTGGGACAATTGAGGATCCGGCTTCAAGTGTGGTGGCGGCTCCACGTAAAGCTTCTTAGTCCCGCCGGATGATTTTTGCGATGCTGCAGACCACGCTGCTTGTCCTTCGGCACCCAAATTCGTTTTCCTTGATGAAGAGCCCCCTCCTGCTGGTGACAACTCCCGCAACACTTTTTGCTTTCGCCCCTCTTTGTGCCGCATCGCCAAGTCGTGTATTGTGTCACACTGTCGCTTGTTTTCGCGCAGCGAGTACCAATACTCCGCTTTGCCCACGGCATTCGCCATGGCCGTGTAACATAACAGGAAGTCTTCGCGCTCCGTGAATTCTACACGACCGCCGCCGCCACGGGGACGACCTCCTGCTGGACGAAGGGCAAGAGGCGGAGGAGCGCCGCCGGGTAGTAGATCTTGATTTTCTTCTTCATCTTTTCCACGGTTCTTCGCTTCCAAGTCCACCGATTTATCGTTCTTCTGCATCAGAACCAATTCCGAACTCCTACTGCCTCGGCCGCCTCGTCCCTGCTGTGAAAATATCGCCCCCTCCTTCTGGTCCTCGTCGTGGTGGAGGTTCATGCGCATGCCATTGCCACGTCGTCCCCCTCGTCGCTGCATCATTTTCTGTTGTTGCTGCTTCTGCAGGTACAGCTCGATATCGCTCTCCTCTTCGTCCTGGTCGTCTTGTTGTTTCGCAATGACCTGCGCATGGATGTCCTCCTCTTCCATGATCACTGGAAATTCTTCGGTGACTGCCCTTTTTCGACGCCCAGTGCTGGCGTCTTCGTGATCTAATTGTAGTTGTGCCATGGATTTATACCGATTGACTCGATCCATTTTGTCGTCCAGAAATGACGACGGGCGCATCTGGTCGATGTGCTTGCGCAGGACTTCAGGCCGGACATCGGCTAGCTGTTGTACCGGGAGGACTTCGACTTTTTCTAGTTTCGCCAGCATCGATGACACTAGCGGTCCTCGGTACAACACTTGATTTGGATCACTTTGGAACCTAGAGGATGCGCCGGCGCTTTCCTTGCGGCTCAGCCTCATCAAACTGCTCACGCTGTTGCTCAATACGACTTGATGTTCATCAGAATTGTTGACCTCCGGCGCAGCAGCAAAATTATTCGCAGGCCTGGGGCTGGTAACTGGGTTGAGCAAGGTTGTGCTTTTCGGCGGCGGGGCCGAGGGTGCGCGGGGTTCGCGCTCGTGAGAAGTGCTGGTCTGTGGTTGATGTTGCCCTTCTTCGGCGTTCTTGTTCATTCCCTCCCGTCGCGGCCCTCCAAAGTGTGGAAGTGCACTTGCACCTCCTGCTCCTTCATCTGCGCTTCGTGGTGCCGGCGGTGGCTTTTTGGTGAACAAGGGGATCGCAGACGACGATCCTCCAATGGCATCAAAAGACGCAGCTCCTGACGAAGTAGGTGCTGTGCGTGGAAATGGTTTTTGAAATGATAGCTTCCGCCCTTGCTGCAGCACCTGTCCTCCGGCTGCCGAAGATGCCAGTCTCGGGGGCATTCGTTCTCCCGGTGCTCCTGATGCAGCGTTCTTGTTCCGCTTGAACGAAGCCTCTCCCTGCAGCTGGTGGTCCTGTTCCAAAAAATCCGCGACATCTGCCGTTTGTTGTATCAGACCGCTTGGAAGTAGACCAGCTCTTGTCTCATCTTCTTGACTCGTCCCACCTGCAGCATCACCGAGATCAAGTTGTGACTTCTCCAGGGAGCGGCTCTTGTTGTAGTTCTTCCGCAGAGCAAAAGCCTCAGCCGTGTTCATATTTCTCGTAGCTGCCCTGCCTCTACTCTTCAGCAAAGAGTTCATTTTAGTGGAACCGAAAAGAAACGAAGATGATGCAGCCTCCACTGCAGCTGCTGAAAAATTTCTCTGCTCGCTAGCGGCAGAAGGCTGCTGATTCAAGTTCGGCACACGATCCTCCTTGATGACATTCACATTCGTCGTCGACCCATCTTTGTGCTGGGCAGCAGCCTGCAGCTGCTTCTTGGTATTCATCACTTTGCTTTTCACGTAGCCACCGTGTCCTTTCCTGAAGCTTTCTTCGATTTTCGCCGCCCATTCCTCTTTCCTCTGGGCCTTTGCCAAAATGTCCGACAACGGGAAGGCAGGCAAGGCGGCGGTTTTGGGTGCGTCTCCTTGGTGGTCTTTCTCGTTCATTTCTAGCGCTCCTCCCGTCTGAGTCGTAGTTCCGCCAGTTGTTCCCGCGCCAGCAACGACGTCCTTGAAGGGAGATGCAGTTTTGCCAGCCCAGCCGAGTGGCCGCCGACTCCGGTTTCCGAGGGTGGGAGCCATTGGTGGGCGTTGAAAGATTCTATTCGAAGACGTCATCTCCAATTCATTTTTTTCCGAGACCGAGTCCGCCAAAACCATGGAACTGAGAACATACTCATTGTTGCCAGAGCCTGAGCCCACAGCACCAGTAGCACCTCCCGTTGCCTGCTTCTGACCATATGGCTGAAACCTTGCTTCGTCGATTTTCTCGACGGGCGACGGCGATGCAGAGGAGGCGAGTGGCCTCGGCAGGTTCCCGTAGCTGTAACTGAGGCTCTGTCTCCCGTTATTTTTGCTTGGCGGAGATCTGCCTCGCTGCGGCGATCTGGTCAGCCAGTCGCGGCTTTGATGTTGTTTTTCGTCCTGCTTCTCGTCGTGCAGCTTTTGCGACAGTGTTCCAGCACCACCAAACGGCAGAGACCGTCGCGGCGCAGTTCTTGCGGCGGGCGGCCGCGGTCCACCACGTAGGTCCTCGTCCTCACCGTGCTGCAACAACTTTTCTTTTTCTTGGTCCTGCTCCACCTCCACCCTTTTGGTTGCGAGACATTGCTGCACCAGAACGCCCTCTGGAAGTTTATTTGCATCTGTAAGTCGAGCGGCCTCCTTCTCAAGTACAACATGGAGTCGCTTCGGCGATATATCTTTCATACACCTCGAGGAAGCAAGGGACTGAGAACGGGATGAAGCATTTCTGTCCTCATCTTTTTGTCCCGTTTTTCTTCTCTTTTCCGGAAACGCGCTGGTCTCGCGAAGTGGAGTTGTTCTACCCGCTTCGCCAGCCCCTCGTTCTTGCTGCTGCTGTCCCGTGCGGCCGTCGTCCTCTTCGGCGTCGGCACTGCTGCCTCTGTCCCCCGTCGGCGGCCGGCGCACATTTTTCTTGTAGTTCTGGCTCGCTGCGGAAAAGTATGGCTGGTTTCCGATGATTTTTTGCTTCCTCGTCGACAATTTCATGCCGCTTCGGTCCGCTGCGGAACGAGACGGCGGCGAAGGCGAAGGCGACGCCGCTGGGGACGACGTTTTGGCTTTGCCTACGTTCTTTGTGTTTATTTTCACGTGGTCCACGTGCTGGACGTCATAATCTTTCTTGCCGCTCGTCGTCATATCGCCTCCGAGTCCCGAAGCCTGCTCGTCCTCCCGAAGCGCATTTCCACCTGAAGGACCCAGAGCAGGCGCAGCCGAAGCCAGAGGACGCTGCTCCACCTGCAGCGTAGTGCTGTAGTTCGCTTGCAGCTTCGTCACGTTCGGAGTTGTTGAAGAAACCTTTTTGTAGTTTCCTCCGTGAGCTGGCCCTCTCGGCGTGCCGGGCCGCATCTCAGAACTTGTTGACAACGCTGCCGTTGGGGCTACTACTGCTGGTGCCGCTTTTGCATCTTGATCCGCTCGTAGTTGACCGATTTTTGACTCGCCCGGGCAGGACGAAGATGGTAGCTCACCTGCTTGCGCTTGTGCTAAGGCGGGATCCTCCTCGCGCCGCTCATTTTTTCTCGGGCCCACCACCTCAGACTGGAGCAGCGCGCCTCCTGTAGTAGAAGTCGTCGCTTCATTTGCGGCAGGAGCGACCTGTTCGGTCACTGCCACTCTTGGCTCCGGAAGAAACCGGAAGCCGAGGTTCCCACTTTTCGCGTTGACATTTCTCACACCAGGAGAATCACCGTGCAAGGCACCACGTACCAATAATAGCCGCGTCCGCGGAGGTAGTGAGGTCATGGCGGTCTTTTTGTCTTCACGCCAAAAAAGGACGCAACTTCTCTGCCCGCCATGCCATCGTGGGTAATGTTATGCACGACGGCACGGAGGTCGCTAAAAATCTCAATCCAGAGGCGGCCTCCTTTTGGTTTCGAATCGAAGAACCTTCCCCGCATGCTATGGCCCCGCCAGGGCCCGCGCCAGGGTCGGCCTCTCCCTCTTGGGAGCCCCAAATCGGGCCCATAGCATGCGGATTGGCATTTTGCTTTTGGCGGACTTTGTTTTTTTTGTTCTTTTTTGTCAAAATGCCGCATCTTCTGGCCTTCAGTCCGCCTCTGAAATGGCGGATTTTGAAGGCGTCTTTTGCGGGGCCCGAATGTGGGGCAAAATGAGGCCCATACCATGCGGATTCGCTGTTTTTTTCGGAGCGCTGCTTTTTGGGCGCCCATTTTTGGGCGCCCCAAATCGCCAGAAACTACGGCGGTGGGCGCCTCAGAAGGGCGCCCCTTTTGCCGGCTCCCCTGCGTCGTTTTATCCAGTGCGAGTCGATAGTTTTCGACCGGGCTTGTTTGCTATCAAAGCCCCGGCCGCTTGATAAATGGAAATTTTTTATGCCCAAAAACACTTTCGGCCGCTTGGAAACTGCCGGTCGTTTTGGATAAGACATGTCAAAAAGATCGCTAGGTTAGAACGTTCGTGACCTCACTACATACTACACTTCCTTCTTGCGCAGCGACCGGGGTCTTGCTGATGTCAGGAAATAAGTCCTCTACTTCTTCGCCGGGGTTTTTAATATCATGATCTTTTTGCCCTTGCTGCTTCTGGAGCATTATGCCGCAACCGAGATCTTTATCATCTGTCGAAAGCTGCAGGCCCTCGGCAGGCGTTTGCTCTTCTACCGGAAGCACTAGAGTGGTAGCACCGATCTGCGAGGAACAAGAAGGCGCGGGAGCAGCTCCTGATGCTGCTAAAACTAAATTCTTTGCCGACGATGAGTGGTGCTTTTGTGGTGCCACTGGAGGTTGTTCCACGTTGATGCTCGCCTGAGCTTCAATACCACCTCCACTCTTCATCCGCAGCTGTTGTTTCTGAAAATCCTGCTCTTCGTTATCGTCTCTTTTTCTACTTCCACCGAGCTGCGCTTGGCGCTTGAGCCAGTCCAGCCAAGAAAACTCCTCGGCCGCGTGGAGGTCCGAGGCTGCTTTATTTTCACCACTTTTCCCCCCGTCTGCTGCTCCCGTGCTGCTCGTCGCCGGAAATTCCGGCAAGTCTTCCCATTCGTCGAGCCCCTTGAAGGGCGGAAAGTCCAGCATGCGCTCCATGTTCTTCCAGTCACCAAAATCCACTTCGTTTCCGGTCTTCTTCAGGTGGGCCAGGAATGCAGCATGCAGTTTGGTCGTCAGATTCATGGAGATGGGCAGCAGCGCGCCGGTCAGCGAGTTGGCGACGCACTTACGGAGCAGTACCGGGTTGATAAACGTGGGACTTCTGAGGTCCTCAACTCGCTCTACTTCTGCACGAATGGCTACTCTGTAGCGTTCCTCGTCGTGAACCAAAGACGGAGGTGCTCGCTGTGCTTGCGCTGGTGGGTCAACATCTAATATTTCGCGGTTCTTAATATCTTCATCGTCTTCCAGTCTTGAAACAACGACAGCGCCGGTTGCTGCCAACACGTCCCTTTTCGCACCTGCCTTCGTCCCCGTAGTTGATCCCTTCACTAGCTTGTTTGGCACAGCAGACCGCTCTTCAGGCGAAGGGGGAGGGGGTCGCTTTTTCGACTTCTGGTCGATTTCCGGCGAAGATGGAATGAACTCTCCGTCCACGTACTGTCTTGCGGCCTGCGGAAACCGCCGGCGCATGCCCTCGGAGAAAAGCAAGTTCTGCCCGTTGGACTCTGCACTGCAGCTGCTCCGTTCGTCGCTGTGCTCGTTGTCGCTGATATTATCTCTCAACATCAGCGGCGGTGGGTTACTATCGTTTTCGTCATCTTCTTTCGCCGCGTTCTTTCCCACGACTAGCGGCGTACCTGGTGCCGACGCGCCAGATTCGGAGAATGCCAGTTCGATTCGGTCGAACTCCCCGCGCAGCATTTTCTTGATGGGTTCCAACAAAATGTCGTCGAAATGCTCCTTGCGGTAACGTTCCCACATGTGCAACCCCCAGCACCGCTCCGTGAAAGCCTTCACAATGATCTCTTCGTTGGAAAACAGCGGATCGATACGGCCGGTGCTGTAGTCATCATAATGACCTCCAAACTTACTCAGATTTGTATTGCTCGAAGAAGTTGCAGCTCTACCGGACCCCATATCTCCTGCTCGAGCATGTACCTGGTCGTCCATCCGATCCCCTTCCATTTGTAGCGTGCTCAGGTTCAACATCTGCGCTCGGACTTGCTGATCGTAGAGCGGAATCAGGTAGTTGTCGACCAATTTCTGCCGCACTTTCAGGTCGGGATCTTCGTCGGCTTCCTCCTTCAAGGAGGGAAGTAGCCGCTCCTCGCTCGCTTTGCTTTTCTCATTCTTGTTTGTTCCTGCTTGACCAAGCTTGTGTTTGAAATTTGCACTATCGTCTTGGTCCTCCGCGAGTTCAAAAACCTGGTCCAGGTACTCGTAGAGGATAAAGAAGAGTGGAAAGCAAGTGGAAGAATCGCCAGAAGTACTAGATCCAGCTGGAGGAGCTGTAGCAGAAGGCATCAAACAGTTGTCGATTTTTCTCAGAACCCGGCACAGCTCGTTGCTGAGCATGTTCTCGTTCCTCGCTGTGGACAAAGACGAGGACAATCTTCGTCCTTGTTTTGCAGCGGCAATCCCAGTTGTAGATGACCCTGCTGCTCCAGTTGCAGATGAGCCACCTGCTGGTGCCCCCTTTGCTAGTACTCCTGCTCCCGGGGGAGAAAACCCCACGCGGAGGCAATGGTGGAGAAACAAGATAGCGAAGAAATTATCGGTGGTGCCATTTGTTGGTGAATGATCGTCATGATGTGTTGTTAATCGCCTCTTCCCCTGCCGCAGCCGCCTGTCCTCTTCTTTCAGCCAAGCGAGCTTTTTCCGCAGCTCACCAAAGGGCTCCTTCGGTCGCGCGCGGCGGTGCAGGTAGGCTTTAGGCACGCCTTCGTTGACGCCCATGTACTTGGAGACAATCTCGCAAATCAACTTGTGCTTGGTCGAATCGCGGAGAAGCGTCGCGCGGTTGGGAGGTGTAGGAGGCGGGACAGGTGCTGGAAACTTCTCTGCGAGGTCGAGAAAAGCCTGGTCCTGTGGTTCCCGCTGTGTTGGTGCTGGCCCCGCCGCTGCCGCGCCATCCACTTTTGTAAAAGGTTGCTCTTCTTTATGTTCGACTTGTACTAGCGGTTCTTGCCCCTCTTTTCCATCCTCATCCTCTACTTTGTCGACCGATGACTTGGCGCTGTGATACGCGGCTGAAGACGAGGACCTACTGGTTTTTCTCCTGACTGATTCACTTCGAACCAGATTTTCATTTCGATTTTTCGATGAAAAGTCACCAGAACTTTCGGCTGGTGCAGGATCCCGACCTCTCTTCTTGTTCACGACCACGTCGCGAATGGCATGTAGTTGTGCAGACAAGGCCGGAGGAACAACCGACTGCGTGGGTTCCAAAAGCTGCGTCTGCTCCACCTGCGCACCACGAGGACCACTTTTTGGTGTCTTTACTTCTTCTTTGTGTCGTAAGCTTTCATTTTTCGAAGAGGAACTACAACTACCTGAGCCTGCGACAACTGCGCTTCCTTTACTTCCATGTCCTTTGAAGGTGGGCGGCAATGGTGGTCTCGCCGATGAAAAGGATGTAGATGAAGCGCCCCCTCCGGGTCGTGAACCTTCTGCCATTTTCTTCATACTGTTGACTGCCGTGCCAGCGGTATTTTGTGCTTCTACTGCGTCATCATGCTCAGTTTTTTTCTTCCCTAGTACGACCGGCATCTGGTGCGCATCCGCGGGTATCAGCCCCTTCTTCGGTGACAGAGACACAGAGCTGGCTTTTGGTTTTGCCTTCGCTTTCGCAATGGACGCCACGCCATTGTGTGAAGATGAAGTATATTTTGTAGTTTCCTTATCTGCGGTGAGAGCGTTAGTGGAATTGCTGTTGATGGTCTTCTTGTTGGTATTTTTTCCCTTATCGACTTGCTGGCCTTTTGAGCTCGAGGAAAAAGATGACGCGGAGGAATTCTTTATGTCACGGCCGGCCGCGTGATCCTCATGTGATTTATGACCTTCAAGAAGCACACTGCCCTTTATCTTCGTCTTGGTCTTGCTCGAGGATGCCGATGCGGCTGCTTCCGAGTTCTTCACCGGCACTACCTCTTTTTTGCCTTTTTCCTTTTTTTGCGCAGCAGCAGGCGCTGCTGGTAGTTGTCCCACCTTCGCCGTCTTTTTATCGTTGGATTTCTTCACGGCCGCACTTGCTCCTTTCGATGCCGTTTTCTTCGTGGCTACCGTCTTCTTTGTTGAAATCTTTTTCATGGATGATTTCTGTTTTTTCCCAACTTTCTTCATAGCTTGCTTCTTCATTTTCACACTGCTTTTCTTCATCGGCTGCGCACCACCACGAGGAACAGACTCGCCTTTATTGACGTTGCCACTAGAACTCTTGCCTGTAGAGCTACTTTTAGCTTTCTCCTTAGGCCTTTCGCCCCCTTTGCTAGATGAAGATGAAGCACCACTACCAGCTGGCGCAGCACCAGCAGCGGCTTTCGTCTTGGCCGCTGGCGCAACTGGCGCTACTGGGGCTTTCGTCATCATCTTTTTCGTACTCTTCATGGCTGCTGATGCCGCTCTAGTATTTGCGGAGGACTGGGCTTTTCGCGGACGGGAAGATGAAGATGCACCAGTAGCAGTTGCACTCCTCGAACCTGTCGCATTCGAAGTTCCTCGTCGTGTAGCAGGTCGAGAGGCCGAACGACCGCGATTTTTATCCTTACTGCTAGAACCAGCCACTGGCTTCCGCGGGCGTGGCCCACTTCCGGGTCCACCCATCTTTGCGATAACTTCTCTATCCGTTTAATATAGGGAAGTAAGTTCTTCGTACTACGTACCTGCTCACAAGGAGTTCTTTGCAGCAGCTGGTGTAATTTATTATACTGGTAAAAATTCGCTCTTGTTTATCACCAAGCAAACACGACAAAGACAAAGGACTCTATGAAAGACGGGTGAAAGTTAGTGTTCATTCTCATATACGTTCTATTGGGGTCTTCATGCCGGGGTCAAGCGTTACTCTGCCCCGCGCCTGCGTGCGGGGAGAAGAAAAAGAAGGGGAGGTAGACCACGACTACGAAGTAGTTGAGTACATACAATCGATATCGATAGCACCAAGCTCGACGATAAGGATAATGTGCTTATGTTTCGACGCGCTTCGTGTATCTTTGTCAGGCTCAGGACATCTAATTGTGCGGGGAAAATGTCAATGACAAATAAATCGGGGAACGGGAACGCCATGCTTTGACTAAGAATAAATCCACTTGCGTCTCCACACACAGCTTGTACATGATAAGCATCGATGCCGATCGAGAACATGGGCGTCTCTATGCCTACGCGTCTCTTCTGGCAGGCTCTTGCAGAGTCAAGTAGTAGTTGTCTCGCTCGTCAAACTCGATTAACAGTAATTACCAACATCAACAAAGTGTAGAAATCTACCGTGGTGGTACAATGAGGGGGGGCTCGGGCTGCAGCCTCAAATATTTTAGCTTCGTCAGTCTCTCAGCACATTAATGAATAATTTTTCCCTAACGGATCACGCTCGGGGGACTGTTTCTGAAACACAACAACAAGGTAGACGTAGAGCTGGCTTCCTGATACAATTTGATAGAAACTACAGGCTGACATCCAGATTTGACACATGATGTGAACTGCGAAAACAGGACGAGGAAGATGAGCAGGTCTGTAGAACCCCGGTTTTCCTACATCACTGGGTGTACTTGACATGCTTCTTGCGCTGGTAAAGTACAGCAGCTCAGTCGCTAGTAGCATGTCGCAATTTTCATCTTCATTCATTCCGAGAGCAGGTTGCATTTTCTCTAATCGGTGCATTTTCAACTGGCATTTTCCTGGGTGGTCATTCTTCTACTTCGATTGTCAATCAATTGAATACCGGATGAAACAGAAACGCGTCTAAATTTTAACCGATGCTGCGCACGGCTAAAGTACAGTAAAATCTAGTATCGATACAAAGTCAAAGTTGCAACCCCAGCCGTGCCAACACTTTTGGTTTTGTTTTTGAAACCTTAAAAGCGAAACCTTCATCTTGCGGAATAACCGGTGGTTATTCATGTGCTGAATCAAGATAAAACTGAACATAGAGCGGTTATCCACTTTGGATGTCTAAATTTGCTTTCAAACCATCATACCCGATGATGATGCTATCAATCGCTAAAAAAGCTAAGATGTCTTCATTGTTAGTTTCAAGTCAAGCTGCTGTCCTGCATGATCTTCATCGGTAGACAGTGCGTTGAGAAATACTAAAACAGATTCCGATTGCTCAGACCTGTACATATTTGCCCGTCTTTTTGTCAAAGCGAAACAATGGCTCCTCGTCCTCCTCTGCTACCTGCGTCAAAAGCTATGCCCAGCAAAATCACCAACTATTCTTTATTGATGTGCAGTGTAAACTCTTTTTTCTTCTATCTCAGTTCTAGTTTTTGTTTTAGTCTCGCCCATCCACAACCACAGCTAAGCGTAAGCAGTAGCGAAACAAAGGATGTATTGCAATTTTTCAATTGACTGGTGAGACTGCAAGAAGTATGTTTCCTTTCAACGTCACGCACACAAATGTGGTGTTGGTGATTTTTCTTGGCATAAATTTCGGAACCGGTTCACTTCGTCGTCCTCGATTTGAAATTGCTGCTGGATGGCCTTCATGCGCTTCTCGCCCTGTTTGTTGAGTCAAAAAGTGTTTTCGAGCATTTGGATATTTGTAATGATGCAGCCGAATCACCATGATTTTGCAGATGTTGAATCTGAACTTTTTTTTTCGATAATCACGCGTATCAACACTAGCACTACATTCTCCTTCTACAATACTTACCGTGACGAAGTCCCTAAAACTCTGCTCCGTCCTGTTTGTGTCCAAGGCGTCCTGTAGCCAAAGCTGCTCTGCTTCCCGCAATCTCTGCGCCAACGGGTCCTCCCCATAGTTCATTCCCGTCATAAACAGCATGTTGCCTGCCTCCTTGGGCATCTTCGGCCTCCGGATAGTGTTGTCCCCAAGGTCGCCAGCAGCGGACCTGGAGTTAGTTCTTTTGCATTTGCAAATACGCATCAAAATGGGGCGACAAGGCCAACCTACCTAAGGCGGAAGTGCATCAGGCACCGCAAAACCCGTGTAATTCTCGTTCTCTGTCACTCTCTTGCTCTTCCTCTTGCTCTTCCGGCACGATCAACGGAAAATAATCTCTACCATGACTAGTTATAAGTCAGAAAACCCATTATTTAATAGTATCCCGCAATAAAAACGAACAATAGAAACGAAAAACGAAAACGAACAATGAAAACGAAAAACGAAAACAAAGAATGGAAACGAAAAACGAAAACAAAGAATGGAAACGAAAAACGAAAACAAAGAATGGAAACGAAAAACGAAAACAAAGAATGAAAACAAAAAACGAAAACAAAGAAACGAAAAACAACAACAATGGAATGCAGACAAAGTGCCCAAGCTTCTAAGCGGCGACGCCTCGAAACGATGAGGCCTCGAAACGCCGAAGGAAGCAGCGAAGCCTCGAAGCAGCGAAGCCTCGAAACAGCGAAGCCTCGAAGCAGCGAAGCCTCGAAGCAGCGGAGCCCCGAAGCAACGAAGCCCCGAAACAGCGAAGCCCCGAAGCAGCGAAGCCCCGAAGCAGCGAGCCCTCGAAGCAGCGAACCCTCGAAGCAGCGAAGCCTCGAAGCCGCAAAGCCTCGAAGCCGCAAAGCCTCGAAGCAGCAAAGCCTCGAAGCAGCGAAGCTTCGAAGCCGCTCAGCCTCGAAGCAGCGCAGCCTCGGAGCAGCGCAGCCTCGAAGCCGCGAAGCCTCGAAGCAGCGAAGCCTCGAAGCACCGAACAAGCAGCGAAGCCTCGCTCGAACAAGCAGCAAAGCCGCGAACAAGCAACGAGGGCTCGAACAAGCAGCCAAGCCTCAAACGAGCAGCGAAGCCTCGAACAAGCAGCGAAGCCTCGAACAAGCAGCGAAACCTCGAACGAGCAGCGAAGCCGCGAACAAGCAGCGAAGCCTCGAAGAACAAGCAACGAAGCCTCGAACAAGCAACGAAGCCCCGAAGCCCCGAAGGAAGCAGCGAAGCCCCGAAGCAGCGAACCCTCGAAGCAGCGAACCCTCGAAGCAGCGAACCATCGAAGCGGCGAAGCCTCGAAGCAGCAAAGCCTCGAAGCAGCGAAGCCTCGAAGCAGCGAAGCCTCGAAGCAGCGAAGCCTCGACGCAGCGAAGCCTCGAAGCAGGAGAGCCTCGAAGCAGCAGAGCCTCGAAGCCTCGAAGCAGCGAAGCCTCGAGGCCCCGAAGCAGCGAAGCCCCGAAGCGGCGCAACCTCGAAGCAGCGAAGCCCCGAAGCAGCGAAGCCTCGAAGCAGGCCGGTGCCAGGTCGTGGCCAGGCCGGTCGGTGCCAGATCACGGCAAGGCCGGCGCTCGCTCAGGCCACTGCCAAGCCGGTTCCAGATCATGGCAAAGCCAAGCCGGCCCCGGGTCCGTCGTGGCCAAGCCGAAGCCGGCGCCAAATCAATCATGGCCAAGCCGGGGCCAGATCATCTCATAAGTAACAAAGCCAAGCCGGTGCCAGATCATGGCCAAGCCGGTGCGGTGCCAGGTCGTGGCCAAGCCGGTGCCAGGTGAATCATGGCCAAGCCTGCCTGCCTGTGCCCGAGCATAGCCAAACCGGTGCGGGATCATGGCCATGCCTGCAAGTGCCCGGCCGCGGCCAAGTCGGTGCCAAATCATGGCCAAGGCGGTGCCAGGTCGTGGCCACGCCGGTGCCAGGTCATGGCCGTGCCGGTGCCCCCCCGATCATGCCCAAGCCGGTGCCGGACCCTAGCCACGCCGGTGTCGGGCCCTCGCCGAGCCGGTGCCCGACCATGCCCGCCCCCCGCCGCCAGATCGCGGCCCCGCCGGTGCCAGCATGCAAGATGACGGCAAAGGCCAACCTGCCCTCCGCGCCGGCCGGTGCCGGATCGTGCCAAAGCCGTTCTCCCGCTTTGAAAATCGCCGGCAGATGGGCCTACCTGTGCTGAAGCGCCGACAACGATTCTCCACAGAGAGACGATGAGAAGTGCTACTATTCATCTAGCGGAATACTATTAAGTCAGCAGGTTACAACTGGACACGGGAAGCGGGATAAGGCTAGTAATTAACGCGATATCAAAAAAACTAAACCTCAAGTATCAAATTATACCCAGGATCCGCGTCGGCTGCCCCCTGCTCGTCTTCCAAAGGTGCGTTCTGGACTTGCTTGTAAATGTCCTGAAAGGTCGGGTCCCGGAGGTACTTGTGAAAGACTAACCTCCTGTCGAACAACTCGCAGGCCTGAATCACGTATCTTAGAAACCAAGGGCCGTCGGTGGGAAGGACGCGGGTACTGGATTTGTGTATTAATTTATGAGAGAGTGCAGCAAGCGGTTGATTTCCAGTACTTGGTAAAAAAACGTGGCTTCTCTTCACCACTACTCCGACGGGGCATGGTAACACAATAAATCTGAATATGAGATCAAAAACTACAAACAGAGAAGCAGAAGTGTAGAAGTAGACGTAGAGGACGACAATAAAATCTGCCACGTGGTCCAGCTCCAGAACTACCAGATTCAAAAATCAATTACAATTTAGAAAGACGAGTACGCTCCGGTCCGCTTTTGGTTGAAGGAGAGATCCATGGTGGTTTCCGCCAGTATGATGTTTTGCTTCTCGCAAAACGACGTCAAGAGCTCGAGCATCGCCGCTTTCAACAAGTGCAGCGGGTACAGCTTGGGCGTGATGATCTGCAGCTCCTCGGCCGAGACGTAGCCCGAGGAAAACATGTCTAACCGCAACAGGTCCACCTTGCGGTACACCACCGACCGCGCGAGGTCCTGCACGACCTGCTCCAGCGACTTGGCTTCGTCCACCTTGATATTTTGCGTGTTTGTCATCACGGAGGACCCCGACAGGGCGGAATTTGACGTGCCACTGGTCGCGTTGAAGTTGGTCGCCACGTAGGGAACGAAGCACACCGGGGACTCCAGGAAGGTTTGGAAGGAACACTCTCCGTTCCGAGCGGCCACGAGCTTGAAAAATAGAGCCTTATCCTTCAGGGACATCTCCTTGCCCCAGCCGCCGCAGGTGTCCAGGGCGTGGATAAATTGCAAGATATCGCAGGATACCGCCGTGGTACCTGATAGATAGAGTGAATAGATGAAGACTTTTTTTTACCGCATCAAATCGACGTTATGCCTTCGAAGATGGAAGTGCATTTGGTTGCTACAATTCATCGTTGCTGTTGCCTTTCCGAAAAGACGGAGATGGTCGTCACAAATCCGAAAAGATGCGATGAATTCAATTAGTTGAATATACCGAAAAGCGATATCCACATGGACTCCACCTCGAGCACCGTGCATTTGGCGCTCTTGTTTCGCAACAAGCTGGCGTTGGCCAGGTGATGGCGAAACTCGCGAAGCTTTTTGAAGACCTGGATCTTCTGCTGATAACGCTCGATCACGTCGCGGGTGGTATTCATTGTGCTGTAAAAGTAAAAAGGAAGCGTGTTACAAGAAAAAATCGAGTTAATTTACGTGCTTAGGGTCGTCAGGGGTGTTGTGGGTGTCAAAGATCAATCAAATTCGTAGTCGAGAAAACAAAATACAGCAATAGAGACCATTTTCTCAAAAATAAACAGACCACGTCCCTCGCCCGGAAGGACTGAACAGTCCTTCGAGGTCCGTGCCTGTATCCTACAGTTTCATTTTTGAATAAAGAAAATGGCTTTGAAAATGATAATGAAAATCCAAGAGTCATATTCTTGATCTGCAAGCCACGCCAGTTCGTAAAGATAAAGTGTCAGGCGATAATATAGAAGACTTCGTATATTATACGAAGTCTTCCTTACGAACAGGAGCGTCACTGACACCAGGAGCGAATTCAAAAAGTGCCCACGATCACCACGAGCGAAAAAGGATTCCAGACGATATTTTGGTCTGAAAGCTCCCATGGCTACGACGACGACAAAGGCGACTTGTTCACGATAAGTAAGCTGCTCTACCCGCCCACGAGTCGCGACGATAATCTAGTTCGAAACAACAAATGTACCGTTTGTTGTTCTACTTGTTCGTCGATGATAATGGCAAGACGCATATACAAGAAGTGCATCTAGAGAAGCACGATCCAGCTCGGACTTCGACTTCGAGGCCCCTTCTTTCATGTCTCCTGTGGCGTCTCCCGTCTTTGTAACCATGTGACGGAACAGTACTACGAATACATATATCGGAAGCAGGCACAAGGCCGCCACTCCTTCCGAGAATGTGCATTGCTTGCGTGTGGGATCTTGTCGATCCTAGTATTGACCTCGTCGACTTCTGTATTCTCAGTGGTGAATTCAAAACCGGGTAGGTCCTGCGCAGGGACAACTCCGATGCTCACTACCGACGCAAAAGACAAAAAATATTTTTGCATCGGATGTGAGGATCGAAAAAAAATGCGAGGAAACATACTAGCGGGGCTGCACGCGTTTCGTTGCTCCACTTGCAAAAGATTCGAATTCGAGTTGTAAGAAGAGGATAGCTAGTACGAACACTGTCCTGCTTTATCGCATACTTTACAATTATATTCTCATTCGGCGTCCTCATCTTTTTCAAAATTCGGATCGAGCGCGAACTCCTGCATGGGCCTGGGCACCAAGGGTACGTCGTTCGCCATCTCCATCAGATTGATGCAGGAGTCCTGGCGCTGCTTCTGCTGCCGGATCGACCGAATAAAGTCAACTTCGCCGAACCGCTCCACCTTGGTTCGCCGACGGGCCGGAATGGTTATGTATTGATGCATCCACTGTGGCAGCTCGTCGATTTCTGTAGGTGGATAATTATGTGCCCGTTGGCCCATACAACATGGGTAATCAGAAAAGCATTTTGCGCAAGAAGATCTTCTAGAAACCCATACTAGACGAGAAGGCAACTACCTTCGTAGGGACTGGCTATCGCATCGAGAACTAGGTCGATTGTCAGCTACCCTACTTTCTTGCCCTTAGTCTACTTCTGAGCATGGACAAAGAAATTCGGTCGTGCTTGACCTATACTAGCCCGAACCCATGTCTACCCAGCCGCTGTCTTCTTGTTTCAGGTGATACTGCTACTGGCATTTCATTGCTTGTAGAAGATAGATATAGTGGTAGTGCCTCTCTTACCGTTGGAAAAAGAAAAAGGAGACGAGATGACGAGAGAAACGACGAAAGCGTTCAGCGGCATCGACAGATAGCAGTCGCGGAGTATTGCGCAAGGCATGAGTGATGCGATATTAAAGCAGGCTCTACACCTATCTTCTACGGACATGAAATGAGAATGACATGAAACAAGAAGAAGCTTCGACTCTAGGAAGTTCTTTTTCACGACACACCCACGACCCAGACGAGGCAATTTTCTACTTGTAAGAGAGGCACTACACTACTTCATACTCGGGAATCTATGATGAGATTTCGCTCGTGCATTTGAATTCCCGCAGCCATTCATCTTCTACAGGCAATGAAACACAATCAAAGCAGACAAGAAGACAACAGCATGCTAGAAAATACATTGAAATTCCGATTTCTCTGGAATCGTCACGTAGCGCTGCATCCACTTTGGCAAGTCGCGTATGTCTGATCGCAAAAGATAAAGATTTCAACAGCATAAAACGCATGACAAAGTTCCAACTTTATCCTTTTTGACGCTGCAGCGGTGCATTCGCATAATTTCAGAAAAAAAATTTACGAAAACAAAATGACCACACATTCACTAATATACTTCCGACGTTGGGCGCGACCCGATCAGTGTACTGACCGGCGTAGGTCAAGCCAATGTTGTGCCGTATCTGTGCGTATCAAATGCAAATGTCTGGGTCTGGAAGAATGCATGTTTGTCATGCTTGTCTGGCATGACTCTTAAATCTGTCATGCTTAACAGACTGCGCAACTCTTAAATCTGTCACGCACGTTACCCAAGTAGAGCTCCACTTTTCTGTGATGCAGAAACGCAGTTTGTCATGCAGAATAGGCAACACCTAGAAGCTCAGAAACTTGTCATGCTGAGCCAGCACTTGTGGCCTCATCATGAGACGCCACCCAGCATCACAAGTTTCCAGACCCAGACATTTTTACATTTGATAGTGCGGACGTGATGTGTTGGGGTATTCTCGGGACGTTCTCGTCGTTAATGCCGTAGTTTGTTGGCTGCACGCCTAACCGCAGGTAATCGGGCACCTCGTTCACCGGGAGGGGTGGCGCAGCCATCATATTGCCAACTGGATCTGAGAGTGAGACATCGTCATCGATTGAGCTGTATTTCTCTCCTCTGTCTTTCACAAAACATGATATATCAAAATCTGATGGCATTTCCGTGCTTGCAACTGCGCGTGTGTACTAACACTAAGTGTAACAAAACAAGAACATAAACATTACTTCCATCCGCCCCCAACATGGGTCCACCGCCGCCGCCGCCCATCATGCCGGCGCCGCCCGGCATGCCCCCGCCGGGCATGCCCATCATGCCGCCGCCCATTCCCGCGTCGCCGTTCATGATCCGCGCCACCGTGGAGGACCCGTGGTTCATTAGGCTGGGATGGCCGACCAGGTTCGGTATGCTCTGTTGCTTGATCATCGCAGCTGTGTCTGGGTCGGCCATGTGGTCTATTGGAAGGGAACCCAGATCGGCGGCTTCGTCGCCCGGGTTCAGAGAGGCTGTGTTTCATTCGATAAGGATAGACAGTATTAGTATTTCTAATTTATATTTTGTTGTACGCGGGTCGTGTGGTGCCGGTGCGCAGCTCTGTTATACAGTCTGGCGTTCTTCGCATTCGGGCATTCATCGCGTTAGATTGTTGCGAAGTCACTTGAGTCCGGGGTACCCGGATATTTGAGAAAACAGACATCATCAAAAATCAAATATTGTCTTCGTCTTGAACTTCATGGCCGCATCGTGATCGTCTTACAAGAATATACGCAAAGTTTCATACAGTAAAGAGCTGTACCCTTCGCCTTTTCTTCGGCTTGTCTCCGGGCCTTTTCGAGGGTGAAGTCTGGCCAGACGCCCTGTTTGAAGTCGTAGTGACCCATCCTGCGCTGCCATATGGCGTTCTCAAACGTTACACTCTCAAGCTCAACTGTTACATGGATTTGTGATGCAAATTAGCCATGCATATCTACACGATCAAGCTGCTTCGCATGACAAGTTCGCGACTTGCTAGATAGCATGAGAATCTACGCCAAACCTGTAATGCAAAAGGCGCAATCTTCCCCCTTTCAATTTTGCCACTCTTGCATTACAAATTCACGTAACAGTTGAGAATGTAACATTTGAGAACTCCATATGCCACTGGTTCAGGTTCGCACGCTGGCCGCCAAAGGTGTCTGGAATGAGCAGGTCTATGGAAGCGTCAGGATTGAAATCCTCAAAGTTGAAATAATTTCTCATGCAGAAATTGCAAGGCATGAAGTGCCTCTGTTGCAGGGATTACAAATGAGGCCGATTGTAAGCCTGTTTCGGGTTTGGAATAGAGCTGCTAAAGTAGCATCACAAAAGGCGCCTTCTGTTCCTAAACAGCATGACAAACCGGTTTTAGACGGTGCCGAAATTTGTCATGCGCCGCTGGGAAATTGGGCTTCCGTCTGGTATCGATTTTATGCATTACAAATGATTTCAACTTTGACGATTTCAATCCTGACACTCCCATAAGGTCCGACACCTCCTTAAACGGCGGGTCGCCGCGGAGAAAGATGTTGGCGCGCTTCACGCGGAAAAACTCCAGGTTTATCCTGCGATTCACGGACTCGACGCGGTCGTAGTCGTTCCAGAAGGCGAGGGACGGGAATATCCAACAGAAAAAAGCAAGTATGATAGCATATCATCCGTATAAATGCAAAAATGAATACGCAAAAGTACATAAGGATAAGCTCTCTAGTGTATGCTAAGCAGCATTCCATGGGCTCCTGCAGACGTGTCTTGTATTGGTATTCGTATTTCTTTTTGCATTTACAATTGTGATACGCTGGCGGCTTTTTTGATGTGGGATAGGGAGCGAAGACTGCAGGGAGCGTTGGAGGTGGATCAAAGGGTTGATAAGTTGGGAATACCTGCAGTAGTTTGCCATGTCAGTAGAACAACCATTACGTGCCTCACCTTCATCATCATCTTGTCTTTGCAATACGAATAGGAAAGACGTAGAGCTGCGGACAACGACAAGGTTTTAACTACACGACTAGCATACCTGTGACAGAGCTCCACGAAGTCTGCGATGTAGTAGCGGTGCAGTGGGAGTGCCGCAAAATTGATCTCGCTGGTGGAAAACGACTCGACAGGGCAGTCATCGTACAGAGAGTAGTACTCCGAAAGCTGCGTGCACGTCAGGTAGTGGATGGTCCACGACTTCTATGCAAGAAAAAAAGACTGCTTTTGTGCATTACGCAAGGCGATTGCGTCTGTCATGCTGGTCATGCATTTTAGGGCTCATTCAAGCGCGTTTTCGTGTACTAGTTAAGCATGCCAGGTTTTTGCTGTCATGCCGGACAGATTTGTAATCATCATGATATCCCTGCACCGTCAAAACCAAAAAAGTATACACGTACAATCTCTTTTTCTTACGGTAACTTTACGTCCTTCACGATGATGTAGAACATGGCCTGGCAGAGCTCGACTTTGGAGAGACTGTTGAACTTCAAAAAGATGTACAAAAATTCATCCCAGTTGACCACGTCAAAGCAGCCCCCAAACTCGACCAGCCGCTCGAGACATCCTTCGACCCACTTTCTTCGGTGGGGGACCAGGGTCTTCAGACTACTGGTCGCGACCTCGGAGGCCGTGGTGATGGTGCGGTGCTTGTTTATCAGGTGGAAAAACATTTCCCACCCGGAAATACGAATACCTCATCTTCCGATGCAAAGTTGTTGTATCGATTTTTTTCATGCGCTCCAATCCGAAAAGTGGTGGCTTGCGCGAATTTTTTTTTTCGTTGATATATGTATACAGATTTTCCCTACTTCTTGGTATAGTGGCGTGGGAACGTTTTTCCTCAAGATCATATCCTTTTCCGCCTGTTTCAGCTCCGAGAACACCTTGTACAATTTCGCCAGGTGCTTGGGCATAATCTGCAACTGCATCAGCACTTCCTGCACCTCGGTGGACGGCTTCATCGGTGCGCCCCGCATCACCATCCGGAAAATGTTCCGGAGCGGCTTGGTGAGCGCCTCCATTTTCAAGCTGTTCTTTGTTCCTGGGGCAGCTAGAAGATGCGGGACGTAGTTTGCTCCTTTCGGTTCTCAGGATAAGCTTCGATCTCGATGGGAGAAGTGGAAGGAGACGCCGTGGTGTTGGTACCGGAGCAACGTCTTCAGAGGTGTTAGGAAAGACAGAGCAGCTGGTACTATTCTTCTTGATCTTGATGCCGGTTAGTAAGTACTACAAGGCCTTCTAGAAGATTGACGCGAAGTACGTCCTCGTGGCTCCCCTGGTTCAGATTCTTTATCTTTCCTCGTCTGTCTCATCGACGGTGTAGTTGTTGCTCCTCTTTCTGTTACTGTTCATGCAACCGCGCTGCCTGGTTGGACTTTGGACACGACGTATTCAGCAGTACCTGAATTACTTAGTCACCCCGAGGAGGCATAGAGAGGGGGCACTGACAAAACAACTACAGCGTCTTCTGCTATTTGTGTTGCGAGGCCAGTTGCTTTGTCCGATGGCCTTTGATGATTGATGGATTCGATGCTGCTACGCGTTCTCCAGGTGGCGCAGCACAAACCAAAATCCCGTCTTCCGCTCACTCAGAGTTCTCCATCAGCACGGTTCCGTATCGACGGTTCTCGAAACAGGGGCTCAGCTCTTTCCAATCACCCTGACCGCAGAAAAGAAAAGTCCGCAAGAAGTAGAAGAAGGCTTCCGAAACTACTTGAAGTCAACTACGGGTTCTTTATCAGGACTTCGGCGGGCACCAGAGTCAAGTTAGTTGTATTCTCGGGGAACTATATGATTCAGTTGTATTCTCGGGGAACAAGCGACAGCTATCTGTGCAGGTAAAACAAGCTTCTTCGTGTAGCGTAGTTTTGGTTTTAAGTACTACTGCAAAATTTAAATTGTCACGCTCGAGTTCGAGTGTCGATTGCTTGCACATTGCACGAAGATCGAAACTTTAGTAACTCATTCACGACATACTTAATTCAATGTTCCACTTTGCGCTCTTGTTGCGACAAAACAACTCCACAAAACGAAGAACTTCAACACTTAGCTCAAATTCAAGCGGGTACTCTCACCAACAACTGATAAATCACTCCATGATCGCTCATCATCATCTGTCCTCTCACTGTCACTCCAGCTCTCCGAAAATGAGAATGACACAATTATTCTGTCTTTATACTAGTCGAATTTCTCCTCGAGACCACATGGATTTTGCTTCATTGCGTTTTTTGAAGAATTGCACTTGTGCACGAGAGCGATTTTCTTTCTTGGTGTTGTATCCCTGTTGTGGCGGAAAAAACGATTTCATCCGCAGAAAAGACCTTTTTGAGATCTTCTTCCTGGGAACACGACAAGGGCACGATTACAATCTGCGCGAGAGGAAACATCGATCGAGCAAACTTCATCTAAATCTATGTATCTATCAAACCGTGTAGTGACGTCACTTAACAGCATCCGTGGCGTTGTCAGGTGGACCGCTACTTTTTATCACAACTGAGATTCATTTTTTGACGGCGCCTAATAGATTTCATCACTATCACTTAATTTCTCGCGTTTTTCCTATTTTGGTCATCCTTATTTCCCACGAGAGCAAAAGCATCGGAGTAGGCCCCGCCACCCTTTGCTTGCGTTAACTTGTTGGACATCATCGTTCTGTAGTCGGCTGAAAAGTCTTCCAGCCGTGCGTGGTCCACGTACCACGGTAAATGTCGGGCCTCAAACTTCGGACCAGCCACGCGTAACGTGTGCCGCACGCCGCGCACCCACTGCGGATTGTGGTAGCTGCATTTCGCCTGGTACATGACCGCCGCTGTGTCGACGGGGGACACATAGATGTCCAGCTCGTTGGCCGCGATCGCGGCCGCTACCTTCTCAACTTGCACTTGTCGTTCCGCCGGCGTCTTCGACCGCGTGCCGAAATCCTTTGGGTCCAGATGACCATCGAACCAGGTGGCGCCGTGGTTCAGCTGCCTCGCCCGCAGTAACGCCAGCTCGTACTCGAAGCTCTTCGCCTCGCCCCGACTGTTTCGCAGGCCCGCGAGATGCTTGCGGAGGGGCTCCAAAGCGGCCTCGTTTGTGGCTGCGAAAAGCTTGGACTGCTGCTGATAAGAGTTGACGCCGACTGCTCCATGTGTATTTGACGTAGTTGAGGCGCTGGTCGTTGTACTAGGGCTAGTGCTATCGGAAGGCAAAGCATTAACATGTTGATTCTCGTGAAGATACAATGTGTGAGTCTCGGGCTCGCGAGTCAGCGTGTCGTAGTGGCCGCGCAGCGTCTTCTCAATCGCCGTGTTCCAACTGATACGCGGCCTGAGAGACTTCTGCACGTCCTCGTGCAGAGAAGTTATTGCTGACGTTCCCTCCTCCACCTCGTTAGACCGTGGTACGCTTGCCGTGCCGTTCACCGCACTTGCGGCTGCAAAGTCCAGCTTTAGAAGCCAAAACCGGAGCTCTCGATCCAAGACGAGTTTTCGCTGCTTGTCAGATGGTTTTATCGGAAAAGAAACGGCGTTCTTACCAGGTGCCGCAGAACTGGTCTTCATCTGTGCCACCTCGGACTGGTCATCAAGTCGGAGAGTGACGTCTTCGGTCGCATACGAGCTGAGCTCTAGTGACCTTCTGCCCCCGATTGTCCGAGCGTATGGACGACCATTTCCACTTGTTGGATCCCCTTGCTCCGCATGATCAAGACCTTCTGCTGGCGCTCTTTGTCGACTATAAGTTGTATTCATATTCTCATGATCCCCATAGTCAAGAAGATCGCTTTTCCTTTTCGTGACCACCAGCTTTGTGGTGTCTAAATCGTCGAGCTTCAAGGCGGGCGCGACTTTGAGGATGTGCGGAAACAAGTCCAGCAGGTCGTTGAAGACGTAGAACCACTGCCTGCCCTCCGGAAAGAGCACATCCACGTCCGACACCACAAACCGCCTGCCGTGTATGTCTGCCGCGTGGGTGAGAACCCCACCGTAGGACTGCCACAAAGCGTAGCACCCGTCGTTGCGGTAGATGCGGTGCAGCGTGAAGTTCGCCGCTGCTTCCTTATCGCGAGAAAAAAGCGTTTACAGTTTGTTACACATTTGTTGGATTTTCTGCATCACAAAGTTGCTAGACATGGCAAATTATCAAACCTGTGATGCGCAGACTATAAGGGAAAACACGAATGACATGAGGTTGGCAAGCGTTTCCTGCATGACAGAGTTTGTCTGTCTTGCTTGTCTCCGATCAGAGTGTGTAACTGTAACACTTTTTTCTCAGGATATTCCTCGGAATTGTAGTAGTAGTCCAGAAGCGGCGGATACGAACTGTTGTTGTCAATCACGTGCAGGTTGTAAAAACCGTTCTTGACGAGGTTCCGAATTTTCAACTTCAAAAAATGCAACAAGTTGAAATTCGTCGTGATAATCGGAATGGACGCGGGGCGAGTGCGCTCGTGGAGAATGTGCTCATCGGCATGTCTGATACTGATGCCGGGGCCGGGTAAACCGCGGCGCCGACGTCGACGCTTGTTGCTTATTATCTCGTCTGCATCGCCTTGTTCATCTCCTGTCGTGACTGGAAGTAGATCTTCCTCGGGGTCGTGCTCCCTCTGCTCGTGGTCTTCATTCCCAGCTAGCAACCGCAATCGCTCGTCGTCTTCGTCATCTTCTTCTGCCGCTTTCGACACCTCCGCGATGGTTTTTGCCAGAGGGTGGTAGTTCTCGTGCAGTATGCTATCGATGCGGGCTTTCGGCGGTCGACCTTTGATAAAAACGGACTTATGTGCCCACACTACGGGTGGCGGGTGGCCGGCGCGAGGGTACGTGACAATGTGTTTCGTGATGCGATACCCACGGCGACGCTTGCGTCGTGTTGGAGGTAGGGGAGTAGACACATATGGATCATGTGACAGTTCTTGTGCTGCCGCGACCGGGGGCTTTGACGATGAGTAGAGTGCAAGCGCACATTCCACCAGACTGGTAAAAACAAATCTACCACGGCGACGAAGAAGGCAAAACCACGAAAAACATCGAAATATGACGACTGAGGACGTTGACAAGAACGTGGATGTTGCTCTTGACCTGGAGCGTCGCCGCCAATGACTGATGACATGACGATCACATTTGCCCGACGAGTACGAATTGACTTTCTCCATGGGACGATCGATCTTCACAAAACGGCCAAAGCTTGTTCTACCTCCAGTATGAAAATCGCACGTATCCATCGCATCATTTACTGGGGTTGAAAAATCAGCAGGGCGCTTGAACTGCACTGCTATATCCCAAATTGAACTCGAACATCACTAGCGAGGCCAGCCTCTGATAAAAAGATGACATCAAACGCGCTCAACATCTGCGGCGCAACCGTAGTTTCTTTCCTTCGTACTTACGAAATAGATCTTCATGTCGTCGTCGCGGCAAGGAGGGTACGAATGCAGGTTTTTGGGAATACGGATACAGTTTGTGAGGTAGAACTGAGAGTGGCCAGGGAGGAAACGTCGGGGACTCAAGAAGCTTTCTCTGGGCGTGGGAAGAGATGAAGTAGGAAATCACAGAAGGTTTTTCTTCTTTATCTTCTACTTGGGCTTTCAATTCTTTCCAGAAATTCTTACGCTTATTCAACACATCGCCAGGGGGCTCTTCGTCTTGGTGTTTCTGCATCTTCACTGTTCGCATGAAGAGAATATTAAACCGCGCCAGAAGTAGCCGGCCTTCAGCACATACTCGCTGTAGCTTCCTCGATTCTGTATTTGACCCGTGCCCGGTCCTTTTTCAGCTCGATTTTTCCGATGCTGACCTTCCCAATCTTGGCGATGGAATCCACGTGCGTGCCGCCGCAGTGGCACTCGATGCCGCAGGTGTCCACGTGTCGCACGCCAGCCTTGACGAAGGACTTGATGTTCGGATTTTCTTCCACCAGCGCCGTCTTGATCAGTTCGTTGCTCGCGTCCTCGATCTTCTGCTGGAGCCCGGCTTTGTCCTTGTTAATCTCGTCCTTCTCTTCCAGGGGGAAAACGTACTCGACGTAGGGCCCGTCAGGAAAGTGGTAACCTGCGAAAAGGAAGAGGTAAATAAGGTTAAGGAGTCGCGAGCTTATAGTTATAGAGTTTCCAGTTCTCGCAGACCAACATCATCGATCCGTCAATGGAACAAGTAGGTCCATGACGATGAAATTGAAATTATCACTCGGTACGGAAAATTTATTGTCGTAGGTATCTGTCACATTTTCTTCTAATGTAGTAAGTACCTTTTGCCGGTCGCCACGACTTCATCCCCACTCGCGAGACCGCGACGTCAATCAAATGGCCCGCCGTGTGGAGTCTGGCGTTCAAGAGGCGCGCTTGGCCGTCGATCTGGAACAGACAGGAGGTGCAGGATTTCCCGACCAGAGAAGTCAACAGGTCTCTCGAGGGGACGCCGGAAGATGAAGAACCGCCCGCTGCTGCAAGTTCCCCGTCGTGCCAGACGAGTCCAGTTTTCTCCTTGCAATTCCGCACCATGGAAACTGTGAACGTGAAGGTCGTGCCCGCTACACCCTCTACCTCCATTGTAATCGTGCCCACATCGGTCGGCTGTCCGCCGCCCTGCGCATGGAAAATGGATTCGGACAAAGCGATGCTGCACGACAGTGTAGAAGTGGGCGTGCCAGTCGCAGTAGTACTTGCTCCGGCTGGAAGCTGTACTCCTAAAATTTTCGCCGGGGCCGAAGAAGAATCGCTTTGGTACTCGTAAACTTCAGTCCACTTTAGGTCTTCCATGTAAAGGAGCCGCGTTTTCAGCGTCGACTCGTCCTTTTCCTCGGCCAGGAAAACTTCCGGCTGCTCCCCTGCTGGCTTTGCGGCAGGCTTGTTCTCACTCTCCGCTACGGGTGCGGCTGCAGTTGCGGGCTTGTCGCTCTTTGGCTTCTTGCCGTCGCTTTCCCCGTTTGGGGACGGTGAGGAATTCGGTTTCCGCGAACCCCCTTTTCCTGATTTCTGCTCTTGTTTCTCAGCATTGTTTCCTTTATTTTTGTCGTCGCCGGTTCCTGGCTGCTTCGACTCCTGACACGTTGTCCGTTTGCTCTGCTGCTTTTGCTGAGAAGCCGCCCCAGGTGCTGTCCCAGGTGTCGGAGGAGGCAAGCTTTCCACCAGACCGATAGTCTGCAAGTGGTCCTGCGTCAAGGCACCCATTTTGACAAAATTGAATTTGAAAGGTCTTACCGTCTCCCTTGCAGAACACTCTGGCTACGAGAAAGTACTGGTTCTCCTTGAATGTTGGCGCAAGTAAGTTGTAGAGCGAATAGGAATGTAGTATCCTGCTGGGAAGATTAAAAACAGGTCGTTGTAAAGTAAAGAATTGACTCGAAGCTGCATCAAACTAAACCGACAACACTAAAACCACACACCGGATCGTTGATTTGCATTTGATGTTTTTCCTTTTCTTCGACTTTTAAGAGTCTTGATCGCACGAGCAGAGCAGCGCCCTTGGCTTCTTCACTCAGACCGGCTACTTGCGTCAGTGGCGGCCGGGATCTCAAGAGCTATTTATCCGACAGTGACCACAGACGGGATCATTCATTTCCATTTGTATTGCTGAGTGCGTCAGAAGAAATAATAGAGTGTTCGTGTTGCGGTTCCGGACTCGACGTAAAACGTCGAAAGGGAAAGAGGAGGGCGACATCGCAAAGACGGGGGCGCTCCGTCGTTAAAACATGACTGAAGACCTTGTCAGTCGTTCACTTACCATGTACCGAAGATGAATAAGGCGTTTGGATTGCAAAACTCTTTCCCGTCCAGTCTCGACGGTAAAAAGCCGAGAAGTCTTTAGGCGCTTCCAAGGAATGATCACATGTTGATGCGCAAACAAATCAGATCTCGAGGGGCGGAAGCGGTTTTCTGCAGGTGGGACATTCCATCTTGACAGACATCCACTGTTCTAGGCAGGCATAATGGTACCAGTGCCCGCACGGAGCACAAACTGGCACCATACTTTTCCCGCCACCACTGCTCGTAGTCGTGGTTTCATCGGGGGGCTCCACGTCCTCTGCTTGTGGAGCTGCGGGTAGGTTTGCTCCGTCGGAACTTGCCGGACCGGCGGGGCGGTCCAGTGCAGGAGGTGTCGCAGAAGTGCTGCTATTTCCCTGCAGAGCCATTGCTCCAACACCTGGCGGGGCACCTGAAGACATACTTGCCGAGGGCGACGTCGTGTCTGCTCCTGAAGTATACGAAGAGGATCCGCCTCGTTCCGCAGTTATACTGCTCCCTCGAACAAAAATTCTGTTCGTCGCGTTCGAAATCGTGTTGAAGACCATGCTGCTGCTGGAGGGAAAAAGCGCTGCAACGCTGGCGGTCAGCTGCGACGAACTGCTGCTGCTTCCTCCTGCTCCGTAGTGTCCCGACAAAGCCCGAAAGTCCAGCCGCTCCATGCAAATCACACAATCGTAGTGCTTTTTCACAACTCTGCTCGACGTCGTCCTGGGTCGTGCGGGGCTCGGCGTCGAGTCCAGTTCGTGCCGCTTGTTACTTTCGGCGTTGCGGCTTGGCGAAGTAGCACCACCTCCAGAACTTCTCGTTCCTCCAGAAGTTCGCTCCTCCGCCGAGATGATCGGCTGTCGTTGCTCGCGCGTGAGGGCTTTGTTCGAATCCAGTCCAGTGCGCGTTGGTGAGAAATTTTCGCCAATGTGGTCATTTGCATTGGTGAAAGCGAGAGCTTGCTCGGTTTGGGCGCGCGGCCGAGACGTGGACGAAGAGGATGTTGTTGCACCAATGCCAGCGCGTATTTGTGTTGTGCTTTCGGATGTGGATCGGGGCTTCGCGTCGCGGGAGGGCAATTGCAGAGGAGCGCCACTGTTGCTTCTGGACACAGGAACGTCCAGAACATTATCCATCTCGATTGCGACCGTGTCAGACGAGCTTCTTCCTGAAATACTTGTCGTATGTCCGACAACACTGGCCGACACTGGACGACGGTCGATGTCGAGTGCAGAGGTATTTGTATTTCTCGCCTCGGTCACAGCCGCTTGGTGCTCCTCGTCTCCGCCGTCCGATATTGGCACGACATCCGGACTTTCCTCCCCACCCCCCGATGCCGTCTCCTCTTCATCCCCGACTAACGCGTCCTTGGGCGGCGCTCGGTGGTAGTTGTAGACGTGGGGCAGGCAGATCCAGGGAATGAACCACCGCGCGGACCACTTTCGTTGCGAGTAGAGAATGGACAACTGAACGACGTGCAAGAGGAGGAAGCAGGTGGACAAAAACGGGTTCCAACTCCCCCGGCTGTAGTACTCCTTTTCCAACAGCGGAAAGTGCGCGTTCCGCGGCCACATGTCGTTCTTGTCGCAGAACCAAGCACTCAAACCAGGCCCCACGCCGCCGATCCCGCCGTCTGCGGCCGCGAGGTAGAGCAAATCGCCGCTCAACCTCGGCAACACCTCCCCGGTGTACGCGTTGAAAGGGCAGCTGTAGGCGTAGAGGATGGGTAAAACCCGCAAGCAACTCACCCGGGACAAAAAGTTCCAATGAAACGCGTTTTTGTAGCCGTTCTTCACGTTCCAGTAGATCTGCGGGACCCAAAACAGCTGCGCGAGCAGCAGGTAGCAATGGTAGTAGTCCGCGAACAGGGAATTGACCAGAAAAATCGTAATCAGCAGAATGGAGTAGAAGCGCCAATACAGAACCGCGATTTCGCGGCGCAACACCCGCTCCTCCTCCATCACATTCAGATTCTCCGGCTGCCGTCTCCGCCGCTCCGCCCGCCACAAATGGAGGATCAGCCGCATCTGCATCGAGGCGAACAGGAGGAACTTGAGGAAGATCACGACGCAGAAGTTGTTGAAAACGTCCGTGTTGGAAGGCAGCCCTCGGGCGGAAAAGACCAAATACATAAAGGTCTCCACCATGGTGTGCAGTGCGAGGAAGAACAGCGTCGGCAGGTAGATCTGCTCGCTGTGCTGCAGGTTCGTTATCTGCTTCGCCCACACGGTCATCTCGATCAGGGTTAGGACGTTCAGGAATACGGACAAATTCCAACTTTTGTTCGACTGTCGGGTGCTGTCCACTTCGCGGAGCAGAAGTTTCAGCCGGACTTGGTTTAGGTTTTCTGCTGCTGTGTCACCTTTTTCCTTAGAAGTTGTATCCGCCAGCGGTCCGGAGGGTTGGTGGGCCAGGCAGTCGTAGGAGAAAAGCTCCGCCTTGACGATTTTTTCGTCCGTTTCGCTCCCCGGCGTGTTGGCAAAGCTCGCGGCTGGCCACAGCTTCATCTGAAAATTGCAGTCGTGCTTGTTCAGCCTCGGCGGTGCGTTACTGGCGATCGGGGTGGTGCCGTGGTCGCTGCTGGGCCGACTGAGAAAACCCCCCGAGGAGGCCGAAGACGAGGATCCGGAATCGCCAGAGCCATCGGAGGAAGATTTTTTCATGGGCTGGAAGAGCATGTGCCACAGCCAGGCGGTGAACGACGGCGGAGGATCGAGAAAGTCGATACGAGGCACCGTGCCGGAAAATAAGATGTACGGATAGGATTTGTTCTTTTCTGGACTAGTTGCACTGTCTTTCTCGTCCGCCCCGAGGACAGCGGTCTCATCTACCGTTCCGAACGCCGGCACGACTCGCCAGTCCGAGTCTTCGGTGGCGCTGCTGGTCGTAACTTTCCCATCTGCCGAGCTGATGACTTCCTTCGATGACGAATCTGGGTTCTTCGTTTCGAACTTGGCGCCTTTCAGTACCCCGGAGAGGATCAGCGTGCGTAGCGTATTTCCACTCCCGCCGTTCGTGTTCCCGTGGAGCATGAGTCGCATGTCCGCGGAGATCAAGCCTGGAAGCACCGAAGTTTTGTAAGCCACATCCATGCGCACGCTCTCGACCGAGTCGAAGATGTTCTTCGAGGAGGAAGCTGAACTTCCAGATGTTGAAGACGTCGAAAGGGGATGCGGGACGCTGCTGTCGTGGTAAATGCCCCGGTACTGCGCGCGCGGGTGAATGTGCTCCAGCGATTTCGTCTCTTTCGTGCCACCGTAGAGGAAAAAATCCAGGGCTTGCAGAATGAACAGGCAAATGAAAAAACAGGCCAGGGCGTTCATCGTCGGCGAGGCTATGTTGTAGTTTGGTGAAACCTTTACACAGACCTGATAGTCAACTCAGCACAACAGAGGAAAAATTAAAGAAGAGGCAGCTGGTCTAGTTGTACATCAAATCCTTTCAAAATCGGGAACGGAAGTTTTGAAGGGATCGCCGCGCTGCGGAAATCTTTCATGCATGCTACATCACTCCCTGTCGTCTTCGAGTCGTCAACATGGGGTGCAACCTTTTCCTTTCCGAGCCGATTTTTTCTGCGTGTGACGCGAACAACAAACTACTTCGTGCTTTCCTTTGAAGCAGAACTCGCGAGTAAAGAAAAAGCTGTTTGTTGAACCGTTACTGTTCATAGGCGGAAAAACACATAAAATTGTATGCAAAAACTTCAACTTGTTCTTGCGACAGCATTATGTCTTGGCGTGGTCCTTCTAAAAACGGGTGCGTGTGCCAAAGGAATTGTACAATATGTTGCACCTGCGCTTTCGACTATGTATCTCCATCAGTGAAAAAAAACCGACAGAAGTTTGAGTTCTTTTCTGAAACGATTCATACAACGAACGGACGGAGGGCACTAGGCAACGCCCCATTCAAAAAAATACAGTAGTACCGCACTTAGATCAAAACTCTTCAAAAGTTTCTTACAGATCACACAGCCACAGCAGCCACGACGGGCCCGCGTGCTTGTGATCAACTTGAACTTTCTCGTATGACTGACTAAGCTAACTTACCATAAATTGTGATTGTAGCTGCACGTTGTTATTCACTTTAGCTTCTTATTGACGCCAGGCTTTTAGTTCTAGAATAAAAGTTCCCTCCGGAATTCATGTATTAGTTGTGCACCCACCGACCCGCCGCCAGCGTGCTGGTGCTCCGGTTCAGCAGCTAAAACGCGCCACCTGCTTCCGCCGCTTCACCGCCCGAACTTTCGCTTGGCGCCGTAGCACAGGGCCAGTTTTTCCGGACGCACGATGTGGGGCCATTTCTCCTTCAGGTAATCCATGAGCTCTTCTTCCGCGTTGTGCAGGATTCCAATCTCGTACACGTTCCAGCCCTGCTTCGTCTCCTGCTGCAAGACTTCCTCCCGAAACTCGTCCCCGTCTTCGTATTGCAGGCGAATGGAGAGCAGAGTCACGGTCTCTCCGGACGACGCGGCAACGTGCGCCATCAACGGGTTCCAACCGTTCCGGTCCTGGATGGACACGTCCCCATGCGATTTCACCAACAGCTGCGTAATTTCGATCGCGGTGTCGACCCTGGGCGGTAGTGTTTGGTTCAAGAATAATATGGTTTTCATTTCATACTAGTGTCAAAAAGTGTGTCCGAAAAATTGCGGTCGTCTTGAACATCATGCGGTCACTGCTGCAATTATTTAGAGACAAATTTTTGGAAGCGTACAACTCGAAGTTGTTCGACTTGTAGAACATTTACAAATACATAGAAGCGAACAAGAACAAGCAGCCCCGCTACAAAAAATTACTGCAAGCTCGTGGGTTCCGCGGCCGTTGCGATGAGGTGCAGCAAGGTTCGGTTGTTGTACTCGGGGTACTGGTGATTGATCAAATCCACCCGCAAACACGCGGCATGCTGTCGGAAAGTGACAAAGTCGCACTTCAACACCGTCTGCAGTGCCGCCTTCTGGTAGTGCTCTTTCACCTTCGGGATGTGGTCGGTCAGCAACCGGATCGCCGCGTTGGACTTCGCGCCGTACGGCGAAAGTTTTGCGAGCTCCTCCTGCTCCTTCTCTTGCCGTCTCCGTTTTCGCTCCTGCTTCTCGTCGTCGTCCTCCTCCGGACCGGAGGTTTTTGACCCAGCGCCGTCGTCTTTGGAGCCTGCCTTGGAACTCGTCTGATCCTCGTCCTCGTCGGATTCGTTCAACAGAACTAGGTTGATACTTTTGTACAGGGACAATAACGCCGACCGTCCCTCGTCGTTGTTGTTCAAATGCACGCCACAGAGCACCGGGGTCAGCACGACCTTAAACTGCTCGTCGTGCTTGTTCCGCGACGATTCGGAGGAATTTTCCGTGGCTTCGCGGTTCTCCTTGGGCTTTGGCGGGACGTACTCGGCCAGTCGCATGTAAAAAATCGGCTGTCCGGAGAACTTCCGGTTGTACGCACGCATGGTGTAACGCACACTGTCGGTGTATCCAGGAAAAAACACCCATCCCCATCCAATTTGTCATGCAAAACGTGCATAAATTCCACTATTTTTCATGCAAAAAATGGATGGGGATGGGTGTTTTTTCCTGGATACGGTGGTGTACGCCTGGAGCCGCCCCAGGTCGCGGCAGACGAGGTGCGACGAGTCCGGAGAGTCGTAAAACTGGAGAGAGGATAAAAATAAAAAACGTTGAGCAGTGCATATCAAAAATAGAAAAGCGATCTATGGTATGATCATCATCATGTGCCTTTAGATGTTGAACAAAACCGCTAAGTAATTGTCACGACTAGCCCACACGTACCTTTTTCAATCTCTGCCTGGACCACGGTATGACGGATTCTTTGATCCCCTTCTCCTCCTCTTCTTCCGCTCCCTTCTCTTCCTCCGCTCCGGATTTGAGCAAATCCGCAATCAAGTCGCCGGATTTCTCCGAACCGCCATCTCCCTTGTTTTCCTCCTCTTCTTCCTCCAAATCTGCGGGGTCTTCCACCGTCTCGTCAGGAATGGTTTCTGACAGTATGTAGTCCGCCAACTCCTCCGGCGTGAGTTCTTCTTCGATAAAGTGCTGGGTCTGCTTCTCCTCTCCATTGCCACCTGCGGTCGTCCCATTGCCTCCAGCAGCTCCATTTTCAACGGAGCTGGCCGGGCTGGCGGACGCGATGACCGGGCTTGAGATATTGAGCGTGACTTTCGCCGGCGCACTGGTTCCCGTCCCGTCGTCCAGCATGGAAGCGAGCGCTTGCTGCTCTTCGGACATGTTTTTGTCGAAGTTTTTGTCCTCCACGGTCCGCGTCACGCGATCCGGGTCCCACCGCACGTCCAGCATCAACAAGCTATCCTGTGCAAAAGTATCGTACTCGTACTCATTGCAAATATGCATGACAAATGTTTTTCCGAAGCAGCAGCAGGGAAAACAGCATTACAAATTCCACTTCCCCTCTTGCCAGCAAAATTTGTGATGCAATTTATACTAGTACGATGCTTTTGCAATGCATACAAGTTCTCCGCGAACAACTTCGCGCACACCTGCTTCGGGTCCCATATCAAGTGCAAAAATGTCTGGGTCTGGAAGGTTGCAACTTGTGATGCTGTCTTTGGAAGGTAGGAGAAATCTGTATTGCATGACCAGCAAGAGGAGTTCAGTTTGTGCTACGCGCCGGAGTGGGCGTCTCGCATGCGGAATACGCATCAGAAGGCCCTTTAAAAATCTGTGATGCTAGGCCATGCATTACAGGCAGTATGGGTTATGCAAAATATGCATGACAACCCTGGCAATCTTCAAGACCCAGACATTTTTACATTTGATATCCCGGGGCGGGGGATTGAAGTAGGCCGCGGGCAGGCCGGTTTTCTCGAACTGTTTCCGGGCCTCCTCGCTATCCGGCGGTGGGACGGCGTTTGGAAAGTAGAAGTCGAAGGGCTCGAGCGGCACCGCGAAATTGCTCGCGGGAACGGAATATGAACTGCAAAAGTATCGTAGTCGTATAAATGCATTACAAATTTCCTCAGCATGAGACATAAAATTTGTAATGCGGGTTTGCTTGTAATGCATGATTGCAATACGAGTACGATGCTTTTGCACAGAATACGGAAAACTCCCGCTCGCTGGCGTTCACACAGTAATCGCTGACCCGGGTCAGCGACAGGTTCGTCATGCGGTCGACCATGAAAGTTTCCCCAATGCAGTTGAACTCGAAGTTGTACCGTCCGGCCGTTTGGAGCGAGGAAGGACCTTTTATTTATATTTGGTGTTGATATCGACTTTCTGGATTTCAACTCATTGCGTTGCTCTGCAGCGTACTTTTACGACCTCGCCCGCTAGCTCTCTATCTCGTTTCGGTTTCCTGGATCATGAAACAAGGATTAACGAGGAGGAGGAGGACGGAGGTGGGCGGAATCGGAAAATAAACTCTTATCTTGTCGTTGAAATAGATCTTCACGTTTCCTAGCTTCTAATATAAAAGCCTTACCACCGCGCAGCTTGACGATGCACTTGATTTTTTTCGCCTGTCGGTCGTTTATGATCGTGTGCGCAGAGGACAACACGTACACGTTGTCCGGATCGCAGGGGCAGTAGACCAGCGTCCCCACGCCGATGAGTTCGGTCTGCGCGTGGTTCGTCAACAGGGCCACCGCGGCGAAGGCCCGGTTGATCTCGCGCGCCTTCATCCTTACCGGCAACTGGTTCCGCGGATCCACGAAACTCCGGTCGTGCCAGGGCGTTTCGTTGATGCCCTGCACCCCCTCCAATTTCCGCCGCGTTTTCTTCTTGAGCCGACCGCTATGGCGTTCTCAAACGTTACATTATCAACTGTTACGATGAATTTCTCATGCAAAAGTGCCTGCAGCCGGCAGATGATCGAGCTGCTGCGCATGACAAACTTCGGAAGAGCTAAACAGCATCTAAATCTTCTGCGCCAAACTTGTAATGCAAAAGGCGCAATCTTCCTCCTGTCACTTTTGCCATTCTTGCATCACAAATTCATGTAACAGTTGAGAATGTAACGTCTGAGAACCCCATAACCGTACTGGTCAAACTCGGGCTCCGCGTCCGCCTGCTCCATATCCTGTGCAAAAGAAGTATCGCACTCGTAGTCGTACTAATTGCAGTATATGCATGACAAATCTTCTTTTCAAAGTAAAACAGCATGACAAATTCCATTTCTCAACATGCTGAGCAAATTTGTAATGCAATTTGTACTAGTACGATACTTTAACTTTTGCAGTTCATACTCCATCTCCGCCTGCCATTGCGCCATGCGCTTCATCTCCTCCTTCTTCGCCGCTTTCTCTGCCTCTTCCTGCTCAATCGCGAACTTCGAACCGAGAATCTCGGTGTTGTTCTTCGCATCCAGGTCGTAGTCCTTTTTCCAGTTTAACGACTTGTTGACTTCCGGCTCTTTTTCAACGTTTTCGTCCTCGTCGCTGCTGAACTCCGGCTTCGGTTTATTTGGCTTGAATCCGAATCCGTCGTCGACTTCTTTGTGACGTCGTGCATTTTCGTCTTCTTCGCCGGACGAGGTACCGATTTGGAACAGTTGCTGGATTTGCGCGCCCAAAACGTGCTCGGCAAAGTCGTTGCCGCTCGTGTTCGAAACGTTCGCGTTGAACACGTTGTCCACGGCGTTTTCGTACACATTTGTCAACTATCAAATGCAAAAATGTCTGGGTCTGGCAGAGTCATGCTGTTTTTGCATGACACAGAAGGTCTGGCATGAGAGCTCTAGCATCATAGGTTTCGAGAAGCTTCCGCAATGCCGAACCCGCATGAGAAGTCCCCTACTTTGGTGACAGAAAGTGGGCAGCTTTTGCTGCCCATGCATGAGAGACTTTTCTGCGTTTCAAAATACGCATCAGAAGTTCGGATCCTTCCAGACCCAGACACTTTTGCATTTGATATCAACCTGGCGATCTCCTGGTCTGCGTCCTGATCGAGGGTGGAGAGCGGCCCCATCATCTCCACGGCCTTTTCGAACTGGCCCTGGAGGACATTGTCAATGAACTCATCATCCACCTGGTACATCCTCTTCTTCGCCTCATCGATCGCCGCCTGCGTCTCAGCGGACACAATCACCTTCTCGCGCGGCTTGTGCTTGTCAACGTCGGCGTCGTCGTTTTTCGGGTCATTACTTTCATCCTTAGCCGCCGCGGCAGTGCCGAGCGCGGCTCCTGGGGTGGCGTTCCCTTCGCCGTCGCCCTCTGGTGCTGGCGCACCATTGGGGTCTTCTGCATTCGGGAGCGGAGCTTGTTCTGCGTCTCCTGGTGAAGACTCTGGCGCAGTTTTTTCCCCTTCTGCTGCACCACCCTCATCCGGGGCGGCTTCGTTTGTCGCCGCATCTGCGTTTTGCGTTTCTGGTGCAGCAGTTGTAGCACCACCGCCAAGAACTCCTGCATCATCTGGTGGTGATGCTGCTTGATCAGCACCAACATCATCCGCAGCTGGGACAGCTGCTGGCGCTGCTGATGCATCTTCCGCTTTTTCTTCGTCACCGCCCTCGTCAGCGCCAGCTTGCTCCTCCGACATGGTGGCAACAACTAGTACAAGTACTTTCTAGTTCTACCAAGAAAAAGATACGAGCATAATTGGTCGTAAAGAAAAGAGTGAGCAGATCACTTCATGATGATCTCTTGATTACACAAAACAATACGTTTTTGTCATGCTCAACAACAAGGCACGCTAACACATGATTTTTAGTAAAAGTGTTTCTAAATGCGATTTATCAAATTACACAGTATGCTGGTGGTCGTGATTCCTACGCGAACAACAAGCAGAATAAGACACCGGCCCGCGCAAAGGACTCTCAGTTTATTTCATTTTGTAGTTTTTCAATTTCCGGTGAAATTGGAAAAAACAATGCGCCAAACATATTCAGCTATGCTGTTCTTCCTATCCTGATCTGATGTTGATCATGTTCATCGCAAATATCTTGAACATCACCTTCAATCATGCCTCCGCCCCCACAAAGAGTTGCTTTTGGTTCTGCTGCGACAAAGCCGCGTAGTCTATGGGGACGTCTTTCTCCGCTTCCGGTACGAACACGGCGACCGCGACGAATATCAGCAGGTACGCGAAGACGAAGGTGATGCAACTCGTCCACCCCGTGGAGGAAAGTTGCGTGTACAGCGTGTCGATTTTCGACACCGGGTCTTGGACCCACGTAAAGAAGAGCGGGTGCTTGGACGGAAGCCCGAACTCGTTGCTCCACTGCTCGACGCCCAGCCGGTAAAAGGCGCGGTCCTCGTCTTTTATCAGCCGGAGACCTCAACAGGAACAGATTTACGTAGTTGCATTATGAGTTTCTCTCTACTAACTAGTGTTGGTTCTGACGGTATTACATATACACACACGACTTTGATCGAAAACACACACTTTGATTGCATGAAATCGAAATCCACGACGAACAAATCGAATTCCAACCTGCCTTCGCCACATTGTTGTCCACCTCGCCGCATTTGAATTGATCGCCGCTCGGCTGACAGCAGTCCGTCCCTATTGCCCAGAAGTCGAAGGTGCCGCTATTTGGCAAGACTAACCTCGTGGCCTCGCCCTGTAAAGGCTGCCCGACTATTGGAGCCACGCAATACGTCTTCGTATCTCGGAATGCGCGCGCGGATTCCGTTGCTACCTGACAGAAGTAAGTGACACTTGCGGTCATGAACTGAAGTGCTAAGGCCACTTCACGGGCATGGCCATCTTCTTCATGCTCCACCTTGTCATTTCAATTTCAGACTCACATGGACATTTCAATCCTGTTTTTTCAGGACCTGTAATCAACCTGTCGTAGTCAATCACCGAAGAAAATTCCAAAAACAAGCTGCAACATGTCACTTACCCGCGTTCCCTGTTTAAAGTACAGCACGCCAGCGTCCATGTAGCTTTGTCCTTGCGCGTTTGCAGGGTCGATCAGAACGTAATCCGCCAAATCCTGGTAGGTGTACCAGTCTTTTGCGTACAGCGAATACAGCGACCTCCCAACCGCGTAACCCCCGATCAACCCCGCGGTCATATCAAATGCAAAAATGTCTGGGTCTGGAAGAATTCATGTTTGTCATGCTTGTCTGGCGTGACTCGTAAATCTGTCATGCACGTTACCCAAGAGCTCCGTTTTTCTGTGATGCAGAAGCGCAGTTTGTCATGCAGAATAGGCAACACCTAGGAGCTTAGAAACTTGTCATGCTGAGCCAGCATCTGTAGCCTCATCATGAGACGCCACCCAGCATCACAAGTTTCCAGACCCAGACATTTTTACATTTGGTAGGTCAGGCCGAGCGACAGCACCGCGTGCCATTTCACGTTGAAGAGCCGGTTTCTGCGCCATTTGTACCCGACGAAGGAGAGGTGCCAGAGGTAGAAAAAGACGAACCAAAAGAGGATCACATCGGCGACATGCGGGAGTTCGTGGTAGAGTCGGAAGGCGAGGAGGTAGACACACGCGCAGAACACGATTGGCGGCAGAATAAAAACGACCAGAAGTGTCCCGTTGTCGACGGAAAGCTTAAAGAGTGATTTAGGTGGTGGTGGGGAGGGAGGTTGGGAGGCGCCGGGGGGTGCGGCGGTGGCGCTGTTACCTACAACTCCTGGGGCGGCGCCGTACAACATGGTAGTGGTGAAGGTGTTGCTGAGGTTGACAACGCGCTCTGCTAAGAGAAAGTCAAAGTTAGAGCTGAGGTGACATCAACACACTCAGTAGAGGTCGTGCCTCCATAATCAAGCAAGAAGTGCCCCCGCCCCACCAGCTTCAATTTGTGTCACGCTCCTTCTCATCCTCGAAAGCTCTCGACTGCTCATCGAGGTTGCGCCCTCAGACAGCATGCAGAGAGAATGCTGCTTGCAGAAGCGCAACGGTCACTCCCTATGGTGTCACATGAAGAACGACGCTTGCATAGTACTCGGCCGACCCCTATAATCGGCTGCTTCAATATCAATAGGAATGCGCTTCAACTTCTTGCACTTCGTCCTTGGTCGTCTTGCCTAGCTATTACCATCTTGCTTCTGTCCGCTCCACCGTCCGTCCAAAGAGCCGTCTGCGCCCTGCGACCGGTCACGCTCTGGCTCTCCAGAACAATGAGTCTTGTGGAAATGCACGACCAGAACCAGCTGAAGGGCTCTCATTCAAATTTTCTTACTGCGCCCTGCTGTGAGCAACAATTGGAAGATGATCTGTCTGGACTGGAACCCGGGCGGCGGGTCACCGGGGTGAAGTCGGGGCCCCTATTTCGCTGGCCACCCAATTATTAGCTACGACGCCGCGCCCGCCCGCGTGCCCCCCTGCGGAGGGGCGCCACGGCAGCCGGGCCGGCACCGAAAGGGGCGCGCGCGACTGACAGGCGCCGGCCCAGGCACGCGCCAAGCCGCTGCGTGCGGACAGGGGGGCTCGGCGCGCCTCGGCACCCGGCGCCACGCCGTCGAAAGATAGTTAGATGGGAGGCGCCCGGCAGACACTCACAACCAGTGGCGGCCACATTGGCAGAACACGCCCGGCGCCCCACCGGCGCTGCCTGGGCGTCGCCCAATCGCACGGAAACAAAACCGGCGCGCCGGGCACGGCCGACTCCCTTGGGTAGGCCACCACACACAGACAGAGAACGGGCCGCGGGGCCAAAGCCCACCGCCAAACACTGCGAGGCATTCGCATACCGCTGGCCGGTCTCCTTGTGCTCCGTCCGCGGGGGCCCAGTTCTGAAGCAGGTCGCTGGGTGGTCGTTTCTTGAGCCGGCCCGTGCCGGTCGGCCGTGAGCATCGCCAGGGGCGGGCTTGCGCCCGCGTCTAGGTCTACGCGAAGCTGCAGCCAGGCGCCCCGGCCGCCTTGGCGTCATGGCGGTGCATGCGCGCCGCTCGTCCTCGCGGCCCGTGAGTTCGGGCGCCGCAATCTGCGCAAAACCGTGTCAGAGTCAGCTCGACGGCCATGAATGCGCGAAGCCAAGAAGTCGCTTCATCATTTTCATTTTTGTCGATCGCAAAAAACTAGCAGACATGAGAGGAGATGGTCAGTATTCCATATAGTGAGACACAGAAGCAAGCAACGTTTTTCGCTCGGAGCGGGCGGTTGTTCTCTCCCGTACTGCTATGCGTCGCTCAACTTTGTTGAATTGGAAACGATAGCCTCTGACGACAAATGAAAAAGTTGTAAGTTTGTAAAGCACTTCGCATTAACAGAGCACTCTGCACTCCCTAAAATCAAAAGCACCTTTTCAAAATACCCGCAACGAAAAAATTGAGGAAGTCGAACAGAAAAAATTCCAGATCGGCAACAGCGACGGTCTGAAGCATTGCTGTTGAAACCGCAACTATACACATAAACCGTGAAAATTTGCATATCATACATGGTGGAGCAATGTTCCTAGCTGATTTTTTACTCTGAGACACAGAGACCCAGCGACTCTGTCACATCATCAAATTCAAATCGTCTTAAGAATCGTCCGCATTGGCCTTTATTTCCTCCTGAACAGCATCCAGCTCCTGTGGCGTCGTGAGCTGTGCGGTGACATGCTCCAGGAAAAAATCAGGGAACGGCACAACATCGTCCTCCATCGACGAAGATGATCGACAGGCATTCAAGTACTCTTCCTCCTGTATGATCACAACCTCGTCCCACTTCAACCTCTTCGCGAGCAACAGCTGTGCGAGCCGCTTGCCGTTGAGAGAGTAGAGCGACGCGTCGACGTCGTGCGCCTCTGGCGTTGTCTGGGCAGGATTTCTTCCAACACCACCTTGTTCAGCTGCTCCGGACAGTCCAGGTGTGGCCCACACAGGCTGAGGCACCGAACACGGCGGCAGCTTCTCTCGTTCGCTGACACAGAACACCAGGAAATGTTGCCCGTCTTGCGGTTCTGGTGTAGTGTCCGAGGCTTCCGGTGACGCTTCTGCACGATCATTCGTCACCGACGTGCTCCTGTCAACACCTCTCCTTATCCGCTTTTGCAACTCCAGAATGTTCACGGCAACAGCGCCAACTGTGGGCAGGTAGGTGGTGTTGCACCGCAGAGTTGATGATATTTGCCGCATGATTTCACTGGTCAAGGGAGACGGCGGTCCTTGCAATGCAGAGTAAGATGGAGATGAACCCCCGGGTTTTTGTTCTGGATGCAACAGGTCAACAATTTCCTCGCTTTCATCCTGCAACAGAGAATAATTCTCTGAATCCCCACGATTGTGGCACTTGGACTTCTCGAAATCCGCTGGTCGTGTATGGTCACTTGATTGAAAATGGTCTTCATGATGGAGCGACGATGATGCGTCGAGTGTGGAGCCGAAGCTGCTGAAGCTGCTACCTCGACTCCGATCTTCCTCGGGATGGTGATACAGCGAAGCTCTGAACTGCTCGAAAAACGCCCTCGATACCCGGCACTGCGCGAGGAGAAACGCAAATTTTCTTCTCGTTTCTGCACCCCAACCGGATACGCGGGTCCGCAATTGTGCAGTGACGGGCGACGAAGAGGCAGGTAATTCATCTTCCGCGTCAAAAACTTCCTGCAATAGTTCTTGCCCTGCGTGTTTTTCTTTCATCTCGTCTGGTGCTGGTGGCACTCCGTCTTTGTCTGCTGCATCTTTTAAGTCGTCGCGATCAGAAGCGTCCGCATCCCTTTCAAAATCAGGCACACATCCAAGCACGATATCCTCCAGATCGGTGCGTGAGAAAGGGTGCAAACCGAGATCGACGACAAAGTCGAAGTATCTCCGCAGTTCCTCCTCCCGCTGCTCGTTGCAGCTCAGCAAGCGCAAAAGCACAGTTCTCGCTTTCGCTTGCAGTGCGGTCTTCATGAGGCGGAAGAACTTTACCCCTGATGTTCCGCTGTTAGTCTCAATTTGTCCCGGTGTTGACGGAGAAGTTCTTGTGTGTACGGAAGCACGACCACGTGTCGCGTGCTCCTGCCGTCGCTGTGCTAGTAGACTAGCCAAATGCCACCACCACACGAGATCGTCGTCTTGACTGCTGGAAGTTGGGCTAATGGCCGACGCTCCTGCGAGAGAAGGATCGTCGGCGCTGCCGGTAGAAGTTCCGCCTCCGACCTTTGTGTAGTCGTGATTTGATGTTGACTTTACTTCAGGTGCTGGACCAATGCTGCGGAGCTTCACAACTTGCGCCAACAACTGCCAAAGAAGCGTGTTGACAATTTCGTCGCTTCTGACGCTGATGTTCGTGTGCTTTTCTCGTGTGTCCCAATTTTGATGTTCATCTTGCTCTGAAGACTCCGAAAGTAAGTGCTCAACCAACCGGACGCAATTTAGGGCGCGGAATTCCCGCGCGCGGTACTGCAGCTCGTACCAGAAGCGTCGCCAGAACCTCGCGGAGAAGGGAAGGTTTTTCTCTGAAATGCCGATCCTCACCATATCCGGCGGGGCGAGCTCGAAAAGACGGGTTACCAGGTGCCGTTCGAACCTCTGCATACCCTCTGCCGTTTCCAGCAGGGAGAGAGTGGTGGAAGATGCGCTCGCTGTAGAAGACCTCTTTGCTCTTGAAGATGAAGACATGCTATTGGTCGCTTCAGGATTAAGACGAGACGCCGCGCTGTTCGCTTCTACTGTTACAACGTGCTGTGTGGCTACAGGTCTTCCGAAGTTCCTTGTGCAAAGCAGCAGAACCAAATCCGAGCCGCGAAACTTCGACAGATTCTTCTCACACTGGCGCCACAAGGCTTGCACTATCGTTTTGTGGGGCACATGATCTACTTCGTCGTGGTGTGGCTCTTGACTTAGCGTCTGTGCTAGATCTTGCCCCTCTTCCTCGATGTCCTCACGCCTTACGTTCATTTTCTCACCGTTCCGTGTAGAGAACTGACCGCTCGCCGTAGTCGCGGCCAAATTCTGGTACACACAGAAGCTGTGCAGGAGCATGGAGACGGTTTGCGGATCATTCAGCGTCTCGATCCGCTCCCCTGCCAGGCAGCTAGCAACCCGCTCGAAACACAAGTCCAGCAGCGCAGGTGTGCAAATCTGCCTCGCTGTCGTGCGCTTAACGGACGATGTGGTGACATTTTTCCCGACGTCTGCTGCAGAAGCGCTCGAATTACCAGCTACATGCCGTTGTTGCTGCCTTACCAAAACGCTGCAGAGCAGTGCCAAATCCTTCGCGTGAGTCTTGGTATTGCATCGTCGCAGGATGGTGGTCTCGATCAATTTTTGCGTCCAAAAGGAAAGTTGTGAAACGCACATGGTAGTTGAAGGATGATTTTCAACAGATGAATCGTGACGACGTTCTTGATCTGCTTCATCTGTCGAAAGTCGTAAAACCTGTGACACGACATGTAGCTCCATCGGCAGTAATTTTGTGACCGCGTTGAGCAGAATGGCCACGTCCGAAATGCGGAAGGTGTGGAGTTTGCTACCGGAAACCATGTAGAAGACAAAGTCCTCGGCCCGTGTTGGGTTCGTAGAAGTTGAGCTTGCAGCAATACTAAAGGCACTGCGGCTACTATCCTTGTTGGCACAAGTCTCGTTGGTGGACGAAATTTGTTCATGTAGATAGTCGAGCACATGATTACTCGTAGTCGTGTCATTATTTGAAGAGTCTGCGCACCTGTCGCCCCCCATTGTGCTCGGTTCTGCCCCACCTGTTCCCTGGTCGCATGCCAGTTCTAGCAGGGATTTTCGCATGGTTCCCGTTTGCACCCGCTTCTGCAAAAACTTGGGCCGTACCTTCCCGAGCAAGTGGCAGAGACTGGCAATGTCCCCCGGCTCGAAATCTTCCTTCAACAGACTGCAGCGGTACAGGTACGCTTGCCAAATTTCGTCCGGCATCTCCTTGGCGTGGAGGATCTGCTCGCTCGTTTTCGTCTTGCGAAGCAGCGCCGCCCGGAGCTCTGGCATCTCCATCTTGTGAATCTGCCCGATGGTCGGAAGCCGCAATCTGCGGCATTTCCGCAATAGAGCCTGGTTCATCTGCGACGCTGACATTTTGATACAAGTTTTCACATTTTTGAACTTCGAGCAAGATGAAGAGCTTCACGATACTGAAAATTTAGCAACTGCCGCTGCCACGAGGACCGACGAAACATTGTTTGTTTTGAAGGTAGTTGAACGACGAGACAATTTTCACCAAGAACAGCAATCCCAAGCAAAATTCATGCAATACGCAGAAGGGGACCAGCAAGGCATCACCACACTGTAGGAACCATAAACAAATCTCGAGATGTTGATGACTAACCACTAAAATAAGTGTGATGCGCATAACCAAGTTCAAAAAGAGCAGCTTTGGCAACCTAGGTGCTGGATCCATCAACTTCAAGTAAGATTTTAGAACAGCAGCACCTGGATCTTCCGCACCTTGGAGTACCAATAATCGCACGACGTGATGATCTCTACTAGCGAGATGAAAAGCTGCCTCCATACTGCTCCATCATTGCATCATGAACGGATATGGAAAATCAAGGGCAATTTGCATCGCTCTAAAAACGCTGATCTAGCACTGAGCAGGAAAAGATAAAACGAAAGGTGTTCACAGAAACGAAAGACGACAGAGAAGCGAAGGGTACGACAAGGAAAAAACTAGACCCGAAGGAGTTGAAAGGCTGGCCGCATTCACTGACGATGCTGCGAGGCTACCCAAAAGCACGAAGAAAGTCGCACTGGTGGTAGTCATTGACTCTCGATTTTCTGATTCTGAAACTTGGTGTACAATTTTCTTCGTGCACGTTCATTCCTGTTGTAGTTGTACTACCAGGTCGTCACCAACAGTAAATGAAGAAAGTCGAAACTTTCGCAACATTTTTGGAATACAGGTTATTGCACAGACAGATTTTAAAAACACATCGAACGCTAGTAATGTACGCTCCTACTTCTCTTCCTAACTTCAATATCATTGCTTCTGTAGCACCAACAACGAGACTTTAACTTTGTCAACGCCAATTTTTTTGAAACGTAAGATACAGGCTAATTTCATGATCTGCATCCCTACCACGGGGGCGAGGCAAATCTTCGTTGTGTGAAAGTGAAAGGTCATTTTTAGTTGCCAACTTGTGAAACATATAATTTTAAACGTAAAGAGAAACCAGTCGATCAAAACCTACAACATTAGTCTCTTGTCGTAGTCGATAATGCTCGCATTCACAAAAATTGCTCCTTTCTTCCTCCATCTTCCCTCTCCTTTCCTCACTTGACGTCCCTCGCCACGGACCCGAAGTCCGGTGCGCCGCTTTGGCTCGCCGGCTCGACGGTCGTCGTCGTGCCTCGAGCAGCACTGACGACCGAATTGGGTGGATTTGCTATCATGGACTCCGAGGGTCTCGTGATCTTGCCGGGTCCCCGCAAACTCGGCGTCGCCCGGTCCACCAAGGAGCCAGGGGCGGGGGCCATCGTTGCCGTCGAGAACGCGTTTGCCATGGTAACCGAATGGCTCGTAATCTTCCCGGCATCGCCTGGTACCCGCACACTCGGCGTCGGTCGCTCCATCAGGGAGACCGGGGCCTGCGTCATCGTTGAAAAGGAGCTCCCGGTCGCCCCGCCGTCGGATTCCCGTACTACCGATCCTTCGGCCTGCTGCTGCGACGCCATCGCAGCCGAGCCGCGGGTCGTTTCGGCGCCGGCAAACGGCTGCTTTTCGCCCGCGACCCCGATGGAGGTCGGCTCCGGCACGCCCGCCTGGTCCGTATCGTACAAGTCTCCGTCCACGTCACCCTCGTCCGGCTGTGTCACCTCGGACGCGATCTATGCAGAGCAAAAATAACACCGTAACTCGTTCTTTCCATATTAATTATATTCATCAAATCCTTGTTCTACTGCACTGCTGCAGCCGCGATGTTGGGGCAACAGTGACGACTGAGTCTGACGCGCAGACACATGGGGAGGCTATCACTCAATTACTACCTAGTACAGTTTTATTTTTGCATGCCCAAATTTATAGTCGACATGAGTTGCCATGCTCGACAACAAGGCGGTCAAAATGGGAAGACGAACTAAGATGTTAATGTTTTCGCACAGGATACAATCTTCTGCCTGCTCAAGACGCAAAACAGCAGCCCGGCGATACACAGTACGATCACCCCGCCAATCACCGGGCAGAACACCAGACAACAGCACATGTTCCAGAAGAGCTTTTGCTTCTTCGTTGTCTGCGTGTCCACATTCTGGGAGATCGGCTCCGCATGGTGCTCGTTTTTGTTTTTGTCTATCACGACAACTCCGCCCCCGCGCAGACCGCTGTTCGCGCTCCCGTACTGCATAGTGTAGCCGTATTGGTCCGTGATCGGGTAGCCACTAGTGGGTGAGACGTGGCGCGCAGCCTGTGCGACGGCAGCCGCGCCGCCCAGATGCCCGTGGGTTGCCTCGTATTTTACCCATTCGATCGGAGCTGGGGTTTTGATCATTTACATTTATGGCTATAACAAAGTGCGGTCGTGTCTCCTCTTCACCCGAACGAATCGAATACCGACTACTACTTAGCTTGCCGCAGCAGGCATTTCGCTTTTGGTTATTTTCTCATAGTCACAAAACACGAACAGGCGGCAAGCTAGCTACAACTATCCCCGCAGTCGGCACCAGCCAACGAGGACCTCCACCTCCAGGAGGACCATGGCCATGCACTTTCAACATAATTCATAAAAGATAAACATATTTTGTACTTTCTTCCTTCTTGATTTCGCCCGACTTGCCGCGCCAGACAAAGCGACAACAAGGAAAACCGCTGGTGCCTTCCACGCGCTGTCCCCACGACTTGGCTCCGTGGACCGGGCAGTTCTGGAAGTTCGTGATGCTCACGGTTGGGCACATGTGCACCCCAGACCAATGACACCACTCCGGATTGTGCTCGCATTTCCCGTGAAAAGCGCCATCTGTATGTTGTATCATTTTTGTTTTTCGACGAGTTAATGGTCCTAGTTTGCTGCCTGCATCAATCATCAACACCGCAAAAGAATCAAAATTTACTTACATGGCAGTGGCGCCTGCGAGATGGCGTTTTCGTTTATGTCCAAATCGCAATCGAAACACTTCCCCGTTACGCCGATGGAAATCCCATGCAAAATTGCGGCCAACTGAAGCAGGTGGTGGGAAGAGCGTGAGCTATTAATGGGGGCGGATGAAAATGCAGCTTTCCGAACCGGTGATCCGCCTCGGAGAGGATCTGGTCTCCGTAGAAGAGATACTGCGCCACACATCTTCTTGGCGGCCGATTCGCTGACAAGGTACGACAGTTGGCGGTTGAAAAGCTCCAGGGTGATCGTGTAGTTCTTGTTTTAGCGGTTTTTTGCTTTCCAGTATGCGATTCACTATTTTTCCGTCGCGATCGTAATCGTCTGGTAGTTGTCGCACCGTCACCTCAGTGCTTTACAACAAGGGCCTGCAGCTGCAATACGCCGCGGGACACTAGTTACATCGGAACGCCGTAACGTCATTTGTTGTCTAGTTCGTGAGGAAACGTCCTGATTTTCGCGATACATAGATCAGGGGGGAACTCGTAACTTTTACTTATTTCTGCTGGCTGGTTTGTTCAGACTGAAGTTTCAACGATCACAACATTCGTCGGTGATGCTACAAGCACAATCTGCACCCAGTGTGGTTGCTAACGAAGCACGCTCCCAGACAAGGGAGGTCCACCCACAACTGAATTACGATTACGCCCAAAAGTCATCTTCGATCTCCAAAACGACTGAGAAATCCGACATCGATTGCAAAGCGATGGAAATAAATGGCGATCTTCACGATAACGAAAATTAGGTTCATCAAGTTGATTTTCACGAGGCGACACGAAACGACTTTGTAACGGCCCTGTCCCTGCAAAAACACCTGCTGGACGAAGATAGAAATAGAACGCAGAATCTTCATCTTCTACTTCTACCTAAATGTACTGACTTACTTACGTTTCTCGCTCAAGAACTTGCCGATACAGATGACAAGAACGAGGAGCGAGATCAGGAGGAGAACCTACTGTGAAGGCCCTAAAATATCCACCTTTTCGCCCATCTTTTCAAATTTTGGCCAGTTGATTGCTCGGCGCCCTCGCCGATTATCGGGTAGCGCCTCTTCGATGGCGGCTGCGCGTCCGCCTTTGCAAACGCGTCAAGCCGGGCTGCCCTATTTCTGCCCCGAGGCCCGGGGCAGAAACGCAAGCCAAACACCCCAAAGAGAAAAGCCACCCAAACGAGCCTCCCAATCATATGAGGCCATGGGCCCTGAGCGCGCCTCTGCTTGCGCAGGTAAGGAAAGGCACCCGGCAATAGCGACAAACGCGGAAAATGCCCCCGGCCAATTTACCCTCGACAAAGCGCAGCCGAGCGAAAGGCTGCGCCTCCCCTCTTATCTGCCCCGGCCTGGCTTGGGCCTGTTTCGGAAACAACGCCCGCCGCATCTTCTGCGCAGCTTCCCAAACCCCTAGCGGTTCAGGACTTGGCGCGCGCCCAGTAAAATGAGGACAGGCGGCGTAGGCTGGGAAACCCGGAAAAGCCAACTGGAATGGGAGGTCTAGGTAGAATAGGGAGGCGCGCACAGACCACAGCTGTCCGAGAAGCCAAAGGGGTCGAGAGATCTGGGAGACCTGAGGAGCGAGCAACCCCTGACGAGGTGGCTCGTGCTTCATGGCGCAACCTTTTCAAATGTGGACACGGCTGAAGCGGGGAAATATACCTCGGGGCGCATTTTTTCAAATCTGAAAACCAACAGGCGAAAAAGTTGCTGTGCTCTCCTGTGGTTCTTGAGATTTGAAAAGATGCCCTTTCAGCATTTTTTCAAATCTGAAGCGCGTGGCCTTTGGCCTGCAAAATTTGAAAAGATGCTGAAGGAGCATCTTTTCCATAACGAAGCCACAAGAGACCCGAGCAGTTTACTCTTCTGTGGTTTCCAGGATTTGAAAAGATGCTGAAGGAACATCTTTTCGAATTTCAAAAGGCGCAAAACAGGAGGGTCGCCTGCTCTTCTGTGCTTTTCAAACTTTGAAAAGATGCTGAAGGAGCATCTTTTCAATTTTTGAAGCCGCAGAAGACGGGGTCGGCTTACGCGTCTGTGGTTTTCAAAATTTGCAAAGATGCTAAAGGAGCATCTTTTCAATCTTCGAAGCCGCAGAAGAGCCGATCCGTTTTCTGTCCTGAGGTTGCCAAGATTCGAAAAGATGCTGAAGGAGCATCTTTTCAAATTTTACATGCCGCAGACGAGGAGAGCAGCTGGCTGTGCTGTGGTTTTCAGGATTTGAAAAGATGCAGAAGGACCATCTTTTCAAATTTGAGAAACCACGCAAAGGGAGGTCAGCTCAGTCTTCTGTGGCTTCCAAAATTTGAAAAGATACTACCAGCGCATCTTTTCAAATTTCGACAGCCGCGGAAAGGGTGAGCAGCCTACTCTTCTGCGTGGCTTTCAAAATTCGCAAACTTGCTGAGGGGGCATCTTCGCAATCTTCGGAGCCACAAAAGAGGCAAGCAAACAAATGTCGCCAGAGGCACGGCTTTGCTTACCATCTGGCGACCCGCCAGCTGGAGCGCAAGCCAAAGCCTTGGACTTTCGTCACCAATTCTCTGTCTAGGCGCACCAAAGAGGTTCCCAAACAGGTTCATCAAAATCCACCATACCATGCGGATTAGGTTAAGTTAATAGCCTCTTGGGAGACCTCATCAAAGGGGTTGTCAAAAAGGTTGTCAAATTTTGAAAAGATGCTGAAGGAAACATCTTTTCAAAATTTGACAACCTCAACAAAGCAAGTGCTTGCGTTTTTGAGGTTGTCAAATTTTGAAAAGATGTCTCCTTCAGCATCTTTTCAAAATTTGGAGAGTGAGCAGCCACCTATCAATCAAAATTTGAAAAGATGCAGAAAGAGCATCTTTTCAAAATTTGGTATTTGCGCTGTTCGGGTTGTCAAATTTTGAAAAGATGTCTCCTTCAACATCTTTTCAAAATTTGGAAAGTGAGCAGCCACTTATCAAAATTTGAAAAGATGCAGAAAGAGCATCTTTTCAAAATTTGATATTTGCGTTGTTCGGGTTGTCAAATTTTGAAAAGATGCTTCCTTCAGCATCTTTTCAAAATTTGGAGAGTGAGCAGCCACCTAGCAAAATTTGAAAAGATGCAGAGAGAGCATCTTTTCACAATTTGGTACTTGGGCTGTTCGGGTTGTCAAATTTTGAAAAGATGTTTCCTTAGGCATCTTTTCAAAATTTGGAGAGTGAGCAGCCAGGTATGACAAGAACGAGGAGCGAGATCAGGAGGAGAACCTACTGTGCAAACGAGGATCCAAATGTTACACAAGACAGCAGGAATCGGATTCTGATCAGAATCAGTATCAGATCGGCTTCACATACAAGCCACGGCGTTGTCTGTGCACAGCTGCAACAGGTGATGCCCTCACCACCTGAGACATCACCTCTCTGGTGTCTGATGTCACAAATAGTCCTGTTCCTGTAAGTATGTTGTTTCTTACAAGAGTCCGCGCTGGCTTTGGTTCATTCTTGCTCCTTCAAATGATCATTCACGGCGAGCTGTCCCACCTGCAGCAGTTGTTTCGATTTGCGTCCCACGATCGCATGTTCAGACACGCCACGCTGTCTGTGAAGGTCGGACACTTTCCGGCTGGGTCGCGAAAGCTCGAACACTTGTGATCGTCCTTGCAGGTCAGCGGGCGGTCGGGCGTGGGGTGGATGGTGGGTGGTGCGGCTTGTGTGGTCGCAGTGGGTGCAGCTGGTTGCTGTGGTGGGGGAGGAGGTACAGCTGGAGGAACAGCTTCGGGCGCTGGTTGGCCTCCGGCCGGAGGCGTCGTTGTAGCAGCGACAGAGGCCTGCGGCGGCTGTGCAATCTGAGGAGCGCCGGGGGGCGCTGCTGGTGTTTGTTGGGCGACGGGCGGGGGTGCTCCAACAGCTGGTGATGAAACCGCGGGTGCTGGTTGCGCTTGCGTTGCCGCATTACTAGCATCATCTGGTCCCGCAGCGCCGGGAGGTAGTGCAGGCAACAGTGGTGGAACCACTCCACTTGATGGCGCGCCTGCGTTTGCAGAGCCGTGATCATCGGCTGAGGTTCCAGCTGTTCCCACAATGCCGTCCTTGGCGGCGGTGGCTGCCGCACCGAGTACCGCGCCGATGTCTTGCAGCACGCTACCGGCTGATTGCTGTGGTGGTGTCGGTGCGGCGGGTCCTGGGGGTGCACCGCTGCCATGCCACACGCAGCAGTGCGTGTATTGCGATTCCGTGAATATCTTGTTCGGTTTCCGCTCCAAGCAGCTCTCCGCGTCGCGGAACTCCTCGCAGTTCGATTTGGGCCACCACGTACTGCAGACTCGGCTGCCATCCTCTTTCACCGCAAAAGTGCAAGCATCTGGAATGAAGTATCGAAGAAAAGCATTGTTTGTAGTCAGTTTATTTATGCGCGGGTTGTAGTAGAAGTAGAACCAATCTAAACCTACTAGTACTACACAGTCTCGTCGTGAAGAAGTCACTGTGCGAGTTCATGTGTAACCTATTGCTATACTGTATCCGGATAGCGTCCCCGGTGGTGCTTGCGCAGGAGGAGGAAGGCCTTGAGGACCGGCTGCTACGCCACCACTGCCAGCCCCGGCCGGGCTGGCTGGCGGTCCCGCAACCAATTGGCAGCACGGCTGGCCGAACGTGGTCAGTCCCTTGCTCTTGGGCCCGCTGTCGACGCACTGTAGTTGGTTACCTGGCAGCTGCGCGCAGGCCGTCCCGAAGCTCGTCCGAAGCCAGCTCGCACACACGCCAGGGCTGTCCGCGCAGAGAAGTGTAGCAGGTGTCGGTGTCGCGACCGACGGTTGCGCCAGCATCCCGGCATTGTAACCGCCGACATTTGCTAGTCCCGCAGCGCCTGTCGCGTACGGATTCGCGTGGGCGTCCAGCAGGTTTTGTTGCTGCATATACTGGTAAGTTTCTGCGCTCGTGGGGTTGGCGTTGTTGTACCCACCGATCATATTAGAGCCAGCCGGCGGCTGCAGCTGCATTCCGGGCTGCATTGCGAATTGCGCATTCGGATCCATCACGCCTGGATTATACTGCATCGCTGCGCCGGGCATCATCGCCGCTGCGGCGCCACCGACCGCGGCTGCGGGCGGCAGCAACGGCAAAGATTCTTGCATTGCGTTGTAGTTCTCGCCACCGGCGCCAGCGTCTTGCTCCTCAGCGCCTGGCGTCCATTTGCAGCAGTTCCACCCCGTCCAACGATCCTTCGGTCCACCCGGGCCCACACAGCTAAGCTCGTCGAAAAACTGCGGACAGTTCGCGCCCTGTCCCCAGCACTGCGTCATCGAACCACTGCACTCCCCATTAAACGCGGAATGCACGGAAACTCTAGCGCCCCCAGGCGGAAGAGCTCCACCTCCAGCAGAGCCAGAACCTGGTTTATTTGATGTGTCATTTGGCGCAATTTTTTTTTGATTTGCCTACTTCTCTGGGTTTGCGTTTGTGGAAAAATCATTGTCCGCGAGATCGTGGTGGCGGAGTCTACGCCGGGGACGTGAAACAACTTTCGAAAAGGGAAATCAATCAAGCTGAGAATATTAAAACTGGACGCCAAGTTGTGGCTTCTAAATACTTTCAGGTCTATCCGCGTTGCCACCATCTGCGTCTCTCCTCTCTCGGTTTGGTTGCCTGCTCCGGCCCCTTCCGCAGCACCCGCCCCGCTTCAATTGCAGCATGCTTCTCGATTGTTGGTCTCTGTCTCGACGCCCAGGGACCGGGGCTGCTCCCTGCGGGGCATGGTTCTGCTCTTCGCCCGGAAACTCTTCCTCGTCTTCGCAATCGCATTCCTCGAATCCGCTGGGCGATGAAACAGATTCTTCTAGCGCAAGCTCCGTTATACTATCGGACGCAGACACTGCCTCATCCGCAAAAGTTGTGCTGCCATCGTGGGCTACATCAGAGCTCCGCCTATCTTCTTGTTCTTCAAGATGAGCATCTAGTAGTCCAGGCAGGACAACATCTGGTAAGTGGTGCTCTACTTGTTGATTTTGAACATGTTCGCCAAGAACGATATCGTCGCTGCTGGACTGCTGTTGCTGTATGGCTTCGGCGTACTCTGAGAGAACAATCGTCGACAAGAAAAGGCCCAAGTACACCGCTAGGACGATCTCCTGCCGCAGAAAATTGAGAAGCAAACGGAACCCCGTGCGTGTTGAAATAGCTGCCTTCTCGACGACTTTTTCGTCGTTCACTTTGTTCGCAGCCCTGGCTGCTGAAGAAGGGACCACTAAAATTTCTGCTCGTGATGTTTGTTGCGCGTCAACGCGGCCGCCCCGCTGCTGCAGTTGCTTCCCATTCTTGAGCTCTCCTCGCGCTCGCCGCCTCGTTCTATGTCGTATCATCGTTTCGACAAGAACTTTCAGCCCAGCGGTAGAATGATTTTGCAATCGACGAAGACCACGTCGAAGACCACCTATTTATAAGGACGTCGAGACTTCGACGCACCTCCTGATCGCGACGGGAGGACAGATCCAGGTTGTGTGGTTGCAGTGACCACAGGAAGCGCAGCTGCAATCTTCCGGGCCACGCACTGGTGGAAAGAGGACGATCGCATGATCATGAGACTTTGATCGTATCAATGTGGGGACGACCTCCACCTCTAGCATTTGGCAAGTAGTCGGTGTCTTTTTCTTCAGCAAAAACTATAATCCCTAATGTGTCTGAATTGAGAAGCAGCAGCTGCTAAAGAAGAAAACAAAACTAGAGCGTAGCATAAAGTATCGATATTAACAGACATCACCAACAGATACTTACTGTTATTTCTCGAAAAGCTGCGATGTGAATTCATGTACCGAGAGCGAGAAGTAAGGCAGATTGCAAAGAGACCACTATCTCTATCTACACGATGAGCAGGCAGGTAATAGACCCCCAAACGCGATCGCAATCCCTGTGTGACGATGTTTATCACTTTATTCGCTTCTTTTCAGTTTATTACACCCATACTCTTCACCAGATCATATTGAAACTTCTTCACGACGATCAGGAGTTGGGAGATAGCGTCCATTAAAAGGAGGAGCATCTGTACCTGTAGTTCGACCATCTTCTCCACACCGACGTCTTGCAACGAAATACGCCCTTCCATTCTTATTTGCCTTTACATTTACATAGCACGACCCAAATACACGTATACCGACAATTCCGTGGGTGAGACTGAGGGGATAAAGAGAAAGATGTCGAATAGACGAGTCAACAGCGAAGGCGAACAGGGGCCCATTAAAGGACCATAACGGTGACATTCAATGCACGCCAACAACGGTGGTTGACCGAAGTTTCTATCAAAGCCGGAGGATATCATACAAACAGGCAGATGGCAAGCTCAAGGCCGACGCTTTCGGAACTATAGCTTGCCACCCATTTCTGATAATTCCTGTTCTTGTTTCACTTTCATCTTCTTGCTTCTACTACTCCTTTGTCGGTGTACTACTTACAAAAAATGAAAAAAAATCTTACAGGGGAGGCGATAAAATAATGCAAAAAAAAAGAAAAGCGAGTATGTGTTTTAGTGTACTGAGTGCTACTGCTAGCTTCTGCGAAAAAGATACGGACTCGAAGGGATCATATCTTGGTTATTGTAGGTAGGCTTTCAGAACTGCGTAGGAAATAGTCGTGGGTGTGTGTGCTTTTTCCGGTTTTTTTTTTTGTTGTACTACATCGCTGAGCATATGATCATACACCAACGAAAATATGAATATCTGAGCGACCTGAGTAAGGTTACGCTACATTCTCAACAAGAAAGCTACAGCACTAGGCGAAGCGTCGCATCACACAACAGCTTTCCTTCGATCTTCTGTCCAGACCACAATCGTGTTCTATTAGATACGCGCAGGCCTTGTGAAGATTTTTGCGGGAAACGCAAAAGGCCGTCTTTTATGCAGTGTACTGGACTTTTTTTTTCTTCCGCTTCGTTTTAATTTCGATTTCTTTATGTCGTCGGCGTCATCCTCTTCGAGAAAAGGACACTTGTTCTTGATCTCCTCATGCTTGTGCGACATAATGTGCGGCTTGTCAAAGTAAAAGAGCTCCACTTCTGTTTTTGTAGAAGGTCATATATTTTTTTTTTGGTTTTTTGTGAGGGGGTCAGGGAAAAATTTTAGGTTTACTACCTAGTTCTACTTTTATTACGAGTCAAAGCAGTGCGACCATCAGGAACAAACCCGGTTTATTTTATCCCGGTCGCGCCTTCGGTATTGGCTTTGGTGTACTTCGTGCACTTGTGACGACCTCGGTCGAAACATTTGTGCTGTCCGTGGACACGCCGGGCGAGGGGTTGTGTGTGCTGAGTTTCGCACTAGACTTGCGCACAGGCAAGTTGCTCATCAGGTGCAGGTCCGTGTCCATGTGGTGGACGCGCGGCACGGAGTCGCTGTCCTCGGTGTTGAAAGCCGCCGAGGTCCGGTTTGTGGTTTTGTTCTTCAACCCCGTGGTCGGTTCCTCGGGGTTGAAAGCCGCCGAGGTCCGGTTTGTTGTTTTATTCTTCAAGCCCGTCGTTGACGTAGCCGGAGAAACTGGTCCACCAACGGCTCCGGGCCTGCCTTTGTTGATGAAATAGCTCTCCGCCTGGTCATCACCGGGATTTTGAAACGCCGCAACGTCCACGTCATCGATCTCTGCCGTTTCTATGGCCGATCCGGATCCCCGGCGGTTGATGACTTTGGAATTCTTCTGTGTGCTCTGGCGGTTCAGCCTTTTCGCCGGGTTCGGGTTAATAGAACCTCCTATGGAAGGCCCGTCATAATTGCTTGGACTTCGATCACCATCCAAGTCCATGCCTACATCTCCGCCTTGATCTGTTGATGTTCTATGTTCAAACTTCGCCTGAAAGTCTTGGTATTCCACTTTGGTCATCGGTTTCCTCGGTGCGTTCGGGTCCTCCCCGGCCAGCAGCAAATCTTCCTTGGTGAGCACCCCGCTGCCGTCGTGGTCTAGTTCGTGGAACTTCTCGAAAATGGGGTCCAGATCCTCCCGCGTCACCTTCTCCATGGCCACCAGCGTGCCCAGACAGAACTCGAACTCGTCCACCCCGTCGCCGTTGGTGTCCATCTGCGCGAGGAGCTCGGGCGTCAGTTTGCGGGACTTCAGTTCGAACTCCTTGATTTTCGACTTCACGTCGACCTTCAGACTCGCCAAATTCGTCAGCGCGGCTGCGACCATGCCGCACCCAATCATCAGGAAGAAGACGCAGAACATCCGGGTTTTTCCGTCCTTGATGTCCACGTCGCCGTACCCCACTGTGGTAACCGACACCGTGGACCAGTACAACGCGTCCACAAACGTCACGCCCTCCACACTGCTAACCACGATCATGCCCAGGATGATCGGGAAAAAGATCAGGCAGGCGGACTCCAGCACCTTCGTGTAGGTCAGACGCGAAATCTTTCGCTGGAGCTCCGTTTCGCCCACGATCCACATGTCCGCCTTGCGAAACAAAGACGAGTTGTTCTGGAGCCACTGGTAGGTCCCGGTCCTCGGCCGCAACTGAGGTTCAAAAATTGATAATCGCTTCTTGGCGATCAGGGAAGTAGAAAAGCGAAAACTTTAGTACATTAGGACTTCAGAGCAAAACTCAACATAAGTTTATGTTCAAGTGCGAACTTCATTATTATATCGAGACGCGGTTCATCTTCTGGTGGATCACCTTCATACTCCTCCTGCCAAGGGCGAGTAGAACAGAATAGAACATCAACAGAACGCATGGACATGGTCGAGCTTGCCCACGCAACGATCAAAAATCAAAAAAACCTAAATTCGACTATACATGTCTGGTCAGGTCGCCGGCACGGTGCAATTGGTCGCCAAATCTCTGCGTACTACCTTTTGTCTGCAGCATGCGGACGCCTCCGCCGGCCATGTTTAGCATCGACTTTATCTGCCCCTGCACGTCACTGACAAACGCCTCCTTGCGCTTGCGCTCCCGCTCGTTCTGCTCTGCCAGATCTAATTTACCGCTACCGAAAGTGACGCTCTTGCTGCCGCTGGGGCTGCCCCCTCCGCGAAGATTTTGATCATCTCCGTCGTCGCCAGGCCGCGGGCTGTAGAGCTTTTCCGCCCGGTCCGCAACGTCGATCGCTGCCTTCTCGATCAGCTCGTCACTGACGCCCTTGCGACTTTGGTGCAGCGCCAATTTTGCACCGGGCATCGCGTGGTCTCCCTCACAATAGAAATTCCTGTAGACATTTGGCGGGTCGTCCTTGGATGCAGAGCCGGGTAAAGGTCCTCGTCTTGAAGATGCAGATGAGGCTGCAGTGTAATCCTTGTTTTCATCGAGAGAAGAACGTCGAGAAATATGCCTCTTCGACTGCCGCTGTTGCACCGGCTGCCCCCCCGCAGCGGGGCCAAAATACCCCGGCCTATTTCGCCACCTACGGAAACCGGATTCTGCAAGGTAGGCGTTCGCAATCTCGCGCTGGCTGCTGGCCCTGCTGGAGGTGAGGGACGAGTTATCGCTTTTGTTATCGTCAAACCTATGATCGTCCTCAGCACCCTCGGCGATGAAGTTCACTCGCTCGGTGGAATACGGGCCTAACAGTCGGACTAGCCGCGGTGGGTTATCAACATCGTCGTCGAAATCAAGACAATCTCTTGTTGTACTGTTGCCGTCCTCTGAGTCGACGTCCAGTCGGCTGCAAGAGGCGCGTCCTCGTGCGCTGGACGGGGTAGATGAAAAGTGGTCTAGTTCGTCGCTAGCGCAGTCAATACTCTGGTCGCGACGAATATCGCCCTGCTCTATTATGCTCGACGTAGTTGCTATTTCGTTTCCACTGGCTTCTGTTAAAGAGAAGGCTAATGCGGCCTGCTGGTCTAGAAAGTCTCTTCTTCTACTTCGATCTCGGTCTCGACGCACTCGCACATCACCAAAAGGGAGCGATGTTGATGAAGCTGTGTGATTTCTAGCAGAAGTTCTCGACGTTGTGCGTCCCCTGAAGATTGTTCTATCGCCAGTAGATGTTGACCTGTTCCAAAGTTCCTGACTCCCCTCGTGCTCGTCGTCGTCCTCGCCTACAATTACAATCTGCGCGTGCTGCCCCTCAACCTCCGGTGCATCAAGAGCACTGACTCGGTCTTCCTGTGCGTTCTTGAATTCCAGCTCGATCTCGCTTTCAGCAGAGATCATCCCACCTCCGGCGCCGAGCGGGCTCGACGGCGTCACGAAGGACATGGCCGAGTTTGTGGACATGGTCGCCGACCGATTCAGTGCGATCTTCGGCTTTTTGTCGTTTTTCTGCAGACTCATCCCGTCGTCTTCGTCCTCGTCGAGCAGCGCCACCGTGTTGAAGCGGCCGAACTTCGGGCTCGCCCCGTCCGGGCTGGCTTTGCTGCTCTTTTTCGAGAGAAAGTCGTCCTCTTGCTCGCGTCTCTTTTTCTCAGCCGCCTCCAGCCGGTCCGCGTACCACTCCAGCACGTCGGCCATGGCATCCATGATCGCGTTGGCCACCAAGCCCAATCCGACGAAAATGTACACGCAGGTGAAGACCTTGGCGCTGTCGCTCATGGGCACCACGTCGCCGTAGCCGACGGTGGTCAGGGTGACCGCCGCGAAGTAAAAGGCCTTGGTGAGGCCACTGGAGTACTGGTCGTTGGTGCAAACCCCCTCCGCGTTCATGTCGTCGTTCGAGCCGACGCAGTAGAAGAACGGGCCGACCGAGAAGAACGCGAGGATGATGAGTCCCTTCCACGCCAGGCGGTGCCGCTCCACCCACGAGGGGGAGGTGGAGGTCCAGGTGTCCAGAAATTCCTCGTAGTCCAGCAGTTCCCGCTCGGATTCGATCCCCTTGTCCATGTGCTGTTCGATCTGTCGGATCATCATCTGGTACAGTCTCTTCACCTTGTGCTCGTCCGTCGTCTCGCCTTGCTTTTGCAGCTCGATCGCGGCCCGCTGCAGTTTCGCGTCTTCCAGCGCTTGTCTCTTCGCGTGCTGTTCCTCTTCATCCGTCAGGTCGGGCTCCTGTTCGACCACAACATCCCCCTCACGGCGGAACGCCTCGGCCATTGCCACGCGCGCCGCCTCCTGCTCCAGGGTGTCCTCCTCCGCGTCCAGGGCGGCCAGCGTCACGGACCGCAGCGGGGCGGACAGCTTGCGGAGTTCGCCCTCAATCCAGTGGATGTCAATGAAGTTCTTGTCGAGCCGTTCCACGTAGGTGCTGTTGTCGCGCAGTTCCGTCCGCAGCTTTATCATCGTCTCGTGGCCGAACACCAAACGTGCCGCCTTGCGCTGCTCCAGCAAATCGAAAAACTGAGACAGCGGCATCGTCGTGGCGCTGCAGTTCTTCGTGAAATAAATCAAGGCGGGACTCTACGAACGATCAAAAGTAGAAGGCTCTTCCCTTTATTGTTGTATAGCTACGCTTTTTCATTTTTTCGCAACACTCAACGGGAACTAGCAAGAAGGGCTTCGGGCGCACGCCCACAGCCTAGTGATGCTGATGTTGCCGTACGAAAGGTAAAGAAGAAATGCGTATGCGTCATGATGTGAATAAAATTGATTTCTTTGAGCAGAATAAATGCAGACTACACCCTACCATAGGTTTCTTGTTACGCGCAATATTAATAGGACGAATGGGTCCATGATATCGGCTCGTAAATAGACACTCATGATGCAGCAACACTATATTGAAACAGAAAACATTTCCAATTTCAACTAGTCATAAGTACTGCGAATATACGGTAATTTGTCAGTAGCAGGTTTGCATATACATTCAAACTTTTGGGTCCTGGAAGCAAGTACGACGTAGCAATGAAATTATTATTATTTCAATACACGACGAAAGCAGCAGTAGCACGACCACGAATGATGTTGCGATGCTTACTTGACCGCTGTACCTGTACGAATTGACGAGTACTATGTTTGTACGATTTTTCATCTCTAGCACTAAGTCTAAGGGAAATTGCACGACTGATTATAGATGATAGGACACATCATGTCTTGCACGCACCGAATTGTCGCAAGGAGGACGACTTTGACTTACTTTCTGTTTCTACGTTCCAATATGTCCTTCATTATTTTCCACACCGACATTAGGCACTCCAAGACTAGAAATAACGTAGCGTTTTTTTTTTTTCCCGAAACAGGCAACATGTCCTTATAAATTTACCGATTGAACAAGTCATCTATCAAGAAATCTCGTCCAAGCTGACCGACGATGGAAGAACGCTCGATGCAGCGGTAGGGGGAGCCTGCGTCACCAACTCTAGCCGGCTCAAGGTCAAGGAAGCCTGAGCCTGTGCATGGTTGATTAGACAACAACTTCCCTTTTTTTAGCATACAAATCCACATTTTTTTTTTTGTGAAAGAGTCATTAGCCGAAAATAAAGGTAGGTGAAGATAATCATGCTTAAATGCTTTGTTTGTGTATGCATATATCGGAATTCGAATTTTCCTTGTTTCGGTTTTTCGATTCTTTAGGAGAAACGTTCCTTCGATTCCATAGGAAGGTATAATCATGATCGAGACGGATAGCAGGGAAATAAACCACAAAAGTTTCGCTGATCGCTCCGGTCGTCTTCCCATTTGTTGCGCTCAACATCGCGCTTCTACCCGTCTCGTTGCAAAATGTGTTCAATGTGGTAGAAGTAGTTGTGAAGCTATTCATGATCCTTCTCAGATCTATGTATCTTATTTCGAGTCCATGTTGTTGTTGATAGATTCTTCTGGAAAATTTTTTCCATTGGGGGCAGAAGAGCAGCCTGTTGCTGTTGCCTTTTTTAAAAAATAGAGCACGACGACCAACATCAACATTGCGGTTCATTTGTGTTGGAATTGTGCGTAGCTATCAGGTACATCAAACGTCAACATATACAACCATGAGTTCTTTCGTGGAGCAAAATGTATCAGATCATTAATTGCGGAAAAAGTCTTCGACCAGTAGTACCACTTAACTACAGTTTAAAAAAATTTGAGGTTTTCAACGCGGTCAGTCGGTAGTAGCTTATCAGGATGGTAGCTTCTTCACAGGGCTGAGCATCACCCCTCATCCTGCGAGCCGCCCAGTAGATAGCACATAGATTTGAATCTCGTCAGATAGGCGCAACTACTTGGTAGGCCTAGGCCATCAACAAAAATATCGGTGTTAGTCAGCACCTGCAATGGTACCTTCTTTTTCGAACAAAGACAACCTAAAAGCGACTAGCGAGACCGCCGCGGACGAAACATTTTTTTTTGTCATCATTCAGCAAGTTCAACGAGAGATAAAAGTTAAAGGTGTCTAAAGCAAATGTCATCTAAAAATACGAAAACTCAGCACGACTCCCTCCCAGTCGCTACCTCATCGCCACGCGTGATCGATGATCGTCTTCATTTTTGTTTCTTCATCTCAGGCGCTTTGGCCACATTGAGAAACTCCGCATCAGTTTGTTCGAGCAGCGTGGTGCTCTTCGAGGGGTTCATAACAGAGGAAGACTCGTTGCTGATCGTGGTCGAAATTCCTTCGCGGTTCTTCGAAATGGACGACTCTCCGCTGCCGCGCACCAGCAGTCCCTGGTCCTGCAAGTACTGGTTTACCATTTTCGGCAGAAACACAGATTGCAGCTTGAACACGACATTGCAAACCACCTTCGGCACGCCGAACAAGGTCCAAATTGAGCCGTTCTTGTGGTATTTCTTGGAGAAAAACGCTAGGAATAGGAAGAAGTACGAGAAGCAGAGAAACGCGTTCAAGGCCGAGTAGGTGAGCAGACAGGACGTGGTTGCTTGGTCGATTGGGCGGACGAATACGGAGTCGTACCAGAACGGCTTGCTGGCTAGTGTTTTACCGCTCTGCGAAGTAGGTCCAGCCAGCGCGCAGGTGAAGGGCCGGTAGGATGATGTTTTTTTACTAATCTGACCCGCAGCTGCACCGTCAATACTGTCCTCGTCGTAGTACTGCGAAAAGGTGATCAGATTCCAAACGAAGCCGCCGAACAGGTGGAAGATCTGCATGCTGGTAATGTACTTCGCAATCTTGGCCATGCCGGGAATTTTCGCGTAATAGAGGTACATGACCACGTGGATGAAGGAGTTCAGCATACCAATCCAAAACCCGGCGCCGGTGAAAAGACCAGTGTAAAAGGCGAGGTAGGTGGTGGCATGGTGCCAGACGTGCAGCATCAGCAGCGGCTTCCCATTCAAAATCAGGATCACCTGTTTATTCGTGATAACGGAGGCGATGGGTTCAGTTCATCTCCAAGCATTTTTAGCATAGGTGATAATTTTGTCCGCACCTACATCAACGCAGGTAACAGCAGGTTCCTAGTTTAAGCAAATACCACTGGTGCTAGTTGTGACGAAAGATGTCCACAACTACATCAAACAGAACTGTGGCATTTTTTTACCGTATCCAGCGTCTCGTACAGTTTTGACGCCAGAAACGCAACCAGAGCGACGGGAAAAATCTGGGATTGCCGCCGCATTTCCGACTGCGTCATCACGGTGTAGAAACTTGGGTCCTTGTTCCCGTTCTTCTCTATGAGGATCTGCGTATCCTTGTAAAGAAGCACAATCACGTACATCAGAAACGCGGACTGCAAGGCCAGAAACACATTGTGCGCAAATTGGATCGGTTGGGAAACCAGCGAAATTTTCGACGACGGCGCACCATCCTCACCTCCTTTTGCTTTGCTCACCAGCCCGCAGCAGGCGCTGCGCACTAGCCCGGCACCCGCAAGCGCGATGAAGTAGGCCGGAAAGGAGTAGGGAACGTATTCTTCCAGTGCCGCAGCATGCGGCGAGAGCAAGTCGATCAGACTTGCTTCATCCAGCAACAGTGCGCTCATTATTCTTGATTTTTACAACAGGGCCTCACTCTCTACTCCAAGTCTGCCACTTCCGCCAGGGTTGATGGCGCAAAGAGTACAATTTCTCTCTGACTGCACCGTCGAATGCCCTACGAATTTATTTGGAGAGAATTTTGCCGATGGCAATATAAAGTGCGAGGCTTTTGACTTTGTTTTTATACGTAATCTTTCCACACAGGTGAGGCATTTTTGACTCGTAGCGCGTCTCTCGTATACTCTTTCTACTCACCAGGAGCTGAAGGTGAAGGCAGGGGCAACAATTCCTTTTGAAGCTTAGACCTTTAAGGATTGGCAGCGAAGCTTCTTCATGTCGCGGGTATTCTTTCAACCCAAACTTCCATAACACATAGGATCTTTCTCGGTGTAAGCTACACAAAATGAGACACGAGAAAGCCAGCACCGGGTAGATTTTGTCTCGGTCTCCAAGAGCTTACATTTTGTTTTTTTTTTTCTGAACCTGATGGAGAGGTTCTCCGCCTGGTCGTAAGTTTTTCGGAGAGTAGCAGCCGCGCATGAGCATCAATTTCAATAAATCAAAAGATGCGAAGAACAAATTCATCTCGGATGGATCAATAGACGATCTCCGACTGCTACTGAATGTAAATTTCCCTTCGGTCCTGTATTATACTATGAGAAGCAAGTCTTTATTTCTAACACCTACACAGCGCTATCCCCAATGGTCGCGACGCAAGTCGTCCGCTTGTACAACGAGGGCATCATAGCAAAATAAACTGCCAAAAACTACTAAAAAAGTACCGTGCTGATGCTTCTGCTACCATCTTCTACTCCATACGCATCAAGTCGGTGAAAATACGCATTTGAGTGGTGAGCCAGGAGCGTAAACAAGTAAGTACAGAAAAATGAAACTTTATCTGCAGCTATGGTTACACAAAGAACACAGTGGTGCTCTTCAAGAACATGTCAAGGATGCATGAACGCGAGAAAGCCTAAGTACAGTAGTCTACCACGTACCTCTCTGCTACCGATGATGCCCGTGGTGCGAGGCGGCACCTCCCCCGTGGTACGGCCCCCCGCCCCCACCCATAGCGTCTCGCGCCTTTGCCCGACGTTCCGCCTCTTCCCTCTCCTTCTTCGCGTCGGCCTGTTGTTTCTCTAACCGGGCGAGCCGCGCGTCTTTCTGGCGCTGCATCTCGGCCTCGGAGGGGGCCGCTCCCAGCGCCGTCCCACTGCCAGAAGAGCCCCCCGTGGTTCCGCCAGCAGTTGACCAGGTGATTCGTGCCTGTTGCTGCCCAGCACCACCGGTCGGTTGCTGCTGGTGCTGCCCCCCCGCTCCACCGCTCGTGTATTCGCCGCTGGTTCCTCGCGGAATGCCCGTTTCCCCAGCTGCAGCTCCTCCAAGTGGGTTGTTTACCGGGTGCGTGGCGTCGCCCCGCTTTATCAGGTAGGATTTCGGTGCGGTGTCCTGCTCTCCAGAGGCTGCATTTTGGCTGGCTCGCTGCAGTGCGCTGGCGGTCGAGCTGAAAACCGGCTCTCGTTCCTCGAGTCCCTGCGTCTTTGCCAGCACGTGGTCGATCGTAGCCAGGACTTGGAGGTTGTGGAAGTTCTGCGAATGCGCCTTGACGTAGCCGATCTGCAGCTGCGTTTTCTCCTCCTCCAGGTCGCGAATCTTCATCGCCGCGCCCACCAGCATGTCGGAGATCTTACTCGCGTCCACGTGTTCTCCCGAACTCACACGCCGGGCCAGGTCCTCCAGCAGGTCCGGCGCAATGTGAGCCGTCGGCCGCTGGGACTGGGATTGCGCCCCTGCGGCTGCTGCTGGCGTACCACCTCCTCCGGGGCTTTTATTCACCGACGGTATTGGCTGGTTGCCTGCGGTCGGAGAGCCAGAACCTACGCAAGGAAAAGATGAGGAGCTAAAAACTACAAGCAAGTGAGCCACGACATCACGGCCTGTGTCCTGTATGTCTGCGAAGGAACAGGAGGTAATATTTTATATTCCTCATTTCTGGAACGAAACAGGACGAGAAGCAGAAGCACAAACATTCGTTGAGCAGGCACGCAGTTCTACTTTTCACTCGGATGAATAAGCAATAGGAATAGGAACGAATGTATGACGTCCTACTGAAGAAAACGCGATCAAAATTGAAGATGTTGTACCTGGTACTAATTGCTCCGCAGCAAGAGCACCACCTCCCTCCTGCCCGGTCGCGGCAAGCGCGCCGCCAGTAGAAGACACGAAACTCGACGGCTGCGCACCACCGGCCGCTGCTGCGGCGGGTGTGGAACCCACGCTCGCGGTTGCCCGTTCCTTGACGAGCACGCCGTGCTTCAAGACAGTTCTTGTTTCTACGTCTTCCATTTCCGCGTCTTCGGTGCTGAGCGCGAGCAGTTCGTCCACGGTCAGCTTGTTGGGGCCAAGCTTCGCCTGTCCTTCCTGGTTCTGACTGGCGGAGGAGCGGCCAGCCGTATTGTGCTCCCAGTCGCGCTTCTTGAAATTGCCAGACTCCACCTGAACAGTGTGAGTGTGTCTGTGTGCTATGATTTTGTTGCATTCAAAGTCCATCCTCTTCTTTGACTTCCCCTTGACCCGGCAAAAGCAAAATAAACACTCAAATTGCAGTCCTACAAGGTTACGGCATTGATTTCATTATCAACCTTCGTAGCAGCAAGCTGCTGGCTTTTCTCCCTTTGCTTCGCTTCCAGCATCTCTAAGCGTTTTTGCCTGATATTCTCCGCGTCTGCAGGCCCACCAGCGCCATGAGAAGTAGTGCCTAAACTCCTGGCCACTGGCTGGAATCGACCACTTGAAGCTGCTGCAGTTGCTGTCCCCCCAAGAACAGCCGCGCCGCCGGCAACGACCCCGCCCGATGTTGGTGTAGCCGAGCTTGTTGCGTCCTCTGCAGGTGGCATCGGGCTGTCTTCGTTGGGATCCAGCAACGCAGGTCCTCCGGGCATATTTCCACCGGTAGAAGTGGTGCTCATCGTCGCTGCATTCAGGGCTTTCAACCTATGGAAAGTTCTCGCCGTCAGCTCGGTCTCGTCCATATTTGGGTTCAGTGCCCGCTCTCGCGCCAGGGCCTCGCGAAACCGCTTTTTCGCCTGGTCCTGCTGCTCGCTCGTGGTGTTCATTTTCGAATAGTAGGGGGGGTAATGGTAAAGCAAGTTGTAAAAGTACCTAATTATGAAGAAGATAAATCATACGGGCCGCTTTCGATGGTTCCGATTGTTTCTGCGCTGGTGCGCGTCGAGGTGGAAATCCAGCCGGAAATACAAATTAAAAAAAGTAAGACTGTTACCGGATGCGTTCGAAAGGTTGTACCAAATTTCGACTAAGTTGTTAGCTTCTTTCTTTTTTTTTCGGTGTAGCAATATGCACCTTGGTCAGCAGTTTTGGCAACAACTTCATTTGGCCAACTCGTCAAGGCACTCGCAATAATCCTCACACTCAAACCAAAACATCAGGATTTCGTTGAAACACCTGTACTTTCCTTCTCACTGTCATTCTGGAGGCAGGCTAGACGCTCACAGAAAATTTCATTCGGAAGCACCACAACTCATGGGTTCTGGTCCAGGCAAGAAAAGCACGAAAAAAAAACCTAATGAGTCACTCTAGTCACGCAGGCGGGTGCGGCCGCGGCGAAGAAAAAAATTCAAATTTTTCCAACATCATGAAAAATGGACATCAAAAACAAAAAAAGTGAGATTCATTGGTTCGTTGCACCTCTCTCATTGCTATTCAAGCTAGATGCTCATTGATGATCGCGAGTAGTTGGACTCAGGCTCACAAAGTGGCTTGAGGCCTCATGTTAATCAGCATGTGGTAATGTTAGTCTTTGTTTTTTACTCAGAATAGCTTGCCCTTGAGGCATCATTTTGGTGACCATGTTGTGGAAGAAACCTTTGCTGCTCGGTGTTCATTGCTTTCTTTGCATACTCCGCTATTGGTTTTGATACTTTAGTAGTTGGAGTATGTAGCTATGTATCAATGGGTCAATTTCAATTAGTCATTTCATGGCTTGTTTTTTTAATTACAGTATTCATTTCATTGATTTGACGACGTAAAAAGACAACTTGAATTTCTTCATGTTCATTTTGCTTTTGATATTCTACTTTACGAAATAGATGCCCACGGACTTCGCTCAAATAGGTGCGAGCTTTTACCACGTTGCTTTGCAACAGTTTATTTTTTAGGGACGAGCCATCCAGCACGTCGCGTTCCTATTTTCTAAAAAGACAGAAGGGAGGAGCATTCTGACTTGGATTTTTCCAAAAACCAAATCTAGTCGCTCCTGTGAATAATTTGCTAAAAATCAAAACTTTGAGTAAGGAAGCTATCAAACAACAGATTCTGTATTCTCAACAAACAAATTTGATATTTCTTGGAAACGGCCTTCGCACAAGCATGGTCCAAGACCAAGCAAGCGTAGGCGTACTATTGTCATGTCAGACTTCAATTTATTACGACTTGCATTCGAGCCCGAATTTTTCATTCACCTATTTCTTTGCTTTTTTCTTCTTCAGCTCCGGTTTGGGTCCCGCACCCGCGGCCGATCGCGTGACGAGTTCGGCTCGCTCCTGCTGCGCTTGTGCCGAGGCGGAAGAAGACGAGCGGTCGCTTCGGCTCGCTGAAGAAGTTGATGCGCCTTGTTGTTCTTCACCGTCCCTTGTGGTTGGCTGTGCAAACGCGATGTTTTTTGACACTCCCGCCCTCGGCGTTAGCTTCCGCTTGGCCTGAGCATTCTGGTGGCCGAGTAGAGATGATGGCTCCTGCTCGATGTTGCTTCTCGCCGTCTTGGTCTTTGCCTTTGTCCCGTCATCCTCCGGGGTGATACTGAACTCGTCCACGGGAGTGTCCAGGTCTACAGCAATAGCTCGTGTTGTTGGCGACGACGCGGGGACCTGCGTTCGGTTCTGCTGGTTTTGTGATTGATACCCGAGTTGCGGAGGTGGCGGTCGGACTACCGACTTGGGCGCGACAGGTCGCAATACAAAGTCGCCAGTTGTATTTGTTCCTCCCGTAGCTCCCACTCCGTACATCGGGGATCGATGGTCGTCGGGGGACACATCGACAGAACTGCTAGTAGTAAACTCCTGTAGCTCTCCTGGACCACCTTCACCTGGAGGCTCTTGCGTCTTTACCACTTCTGGCGGCTCGCCGGGAGACACTGAGCCTCCGCTCGACGACGAAGACTTCGAGGAGGAAGAGTACACTGCAAGGATGGGGTTACCATTTGCATCCGGGTCATCGGAAGAATACAATGGACTGGAAATCATTTCTCCGTCGCGCCCCTTGAACAGAGGCACCTTGGTCATCGGCACTCCAGCTCTCGCACCGTCACTTTCAGGGTTCTTGTGCCTGCCCTTCGTGTAGTAGTGCGGCCTGAGTTCATCTTTCGCTGTGGTCTCGTGATCGTCGTAAGGCGCCGCCCCAGACTTCTGCGACAAAGTAGTAGTAGCAGAAACTTCAGTTGCTTTGAAGTTAGTTAAGTCCGGAGCGGCCTGATATTTTGACGACGCGGATGATTCTTTCGACGATGGTGGCGCGTTGAAGTGCTCGCCGTCCCTTGTGGGGGGACTACGACCTCCTCCAGGAGCTCCTTCACGACTCGAAGATGCAGTTGCTGCAGCTGCGTTATTTTTTGCCGACTTCTTCTCTTCTTTCACCACTTGTTTTCCCCCTTGTTGCGCTTCTTGCCCCAACAATAGCTCTTGCTGTGCCGTCGCCAAATTCTGGTCGAGGTACGCACGGGCCTTCTGCGATAATTTCTGCTTGTTTGATGCGGGTTTCGACGACGTCGCAAAATCTTCTTCCTGCGATTCGGATTCTTGCTCCACCTCCGTGTTGCTGAGAGAAGTGTTGTAGTCCAACGGGTGCCTTCGCGATTTGCCGTATTCCGCGTTCCCCTCCGCCAGCTCCCTCTGCACCGCGGTGACGGCTGTGTTCAAGAAGTCCAAGACTTTTTTCTGCTTTTCCTGCTCTTGCTTCTTCTCCCTCAGCAGCTCTTCTTTCTCCATCGGTAGTTGCTTCTTCGTCGGCAACACTGCATTCTCGTACAGCGAATCTTCATGTTGCAGGTACAGCTCCTGCGCTGTCTTCACCGCGTTCTTCAGTGCCGCAAGCGCGTTCTGCCGCCGCTCCACGTCGACCGCCGAGTCGGACGGGAGAACTTCGGTGTCAAACAACTTCTCATTCGGGTGCCCAACAAGATAGTGGTCTTTCGCTTCCTGCACCGCTTGCTCGAGCGCTTTCAGCGCGTTGCGCCGGTTTTCCACGTCCTTCGCAGCCTCATTTGGCCTCACTTCGTCGTCATACAGCTCATCCGGGAACTGCAAATAATGCGCTTTCGCCTCGCTCACCGTCCGCTGCAGGAACAGCAGCGCGTCGCGCTTCCGCTGGTCAGCGATCGCGCCCTGGCTGAAGCCGAATTCGTTGCTGTGCAGCGCATCCTGGTCTTGCACAAACAATTCCTTCGCATCGTTAATCGTGTCGTTCAGTGCGGCCTGTGCGTCCTGTTTCCGTTGCTGCTCAATGGCGGCTTTGCTGCGGTGGACTTCGTTGCTGTGCAGGGCGTCTTGGTCCTGGACAAACAGCTCCTTCGCATCCTTGATCGCGTCACGGAGCGCGTCTTCCGCGTCCTGTTTTCTCTGCCGCGCGAGCGCGGATTGGCTCCGCAGCACCTCCTTGCTGTGCAACTCGTCTTGATCTTGGACAAAAAGCTCCTTCCCATCCACAATTGCGTCCCGGAGGGCGCTTTCTGCGTCTTGCTTCCGCTGGGCTGCGATCGCGGATTGGCTCGGCAGCACCTCTTTCCTGTGCAGCTCATCTTGATCTTGCAAAAACAATTCTTTTCCGTCAACGATCGCGTCGCGCAGGGCCGCAGCCGCGTCCTGCTGTCGCTGGGCTTCAATCGCGGATCGGCTGCGCAAGACCTCGTTGCTGTGCAGCACGTCTTGGTGCTGAACGAACAGCTCCAACGCATCCGTTACCGCGTCCCTTAACGCTTGCCCCGCGTCCTGCGTTCGTTGTGCTTCGATCGCGGACTGGCTCCTCAACACCTCTTTGCTGTGCAGTCTGTCCTGATCTTGCACAAACAGCTCCTTCGCGTCCACAAGTGCGTCGCGCAACGCCTGCTCTGCGTCTTGCGTCCGCTGCGCCGCCGTCGCCGCGCGACTCCGCGTTACTTCTTTGCTGTGCAACTCGTCTTGATGTTGCACGAACAACTCCCTCCCGTCGACGATCGCGTCCCGCAGCGCTTGTGCCGCGTCTTGTTTTCTCTGCGCTTCAATCGCGGACCGGCATCGTTGCACTTCCTGGCTGTGCAAGGCATCTTGGTCCTGGACGAACAACTCTTGCGCGTCCGCTATCGCGTCCCGCAGCGCTTCCCGCGCATCCTGGGCCCGCTGCGCCTCGATCGCGGACTGGCTGCGTTCCACCTCCTTGCTGTGCAACTCATCCTGACCCTGGACAAACAGCTCTTTCGCGTCCTTGATAGCATCCCGCAACGCGTCCCGTGCGTCCTGTTGTCTCTGATCTTCCAGCGCACCCTTGCTGCGGAGCACTTCGTCACTGTGAAGCCGGTCGTTATCCTGGACAAAAATCTCCCGGGTATCCCGCATCGCCTGCGCCACCGCTCCGCGCGCGTCCTTGCGCCGCTGCAGGTCCTTCGCGTACTGCGACAAGCGGACACTGTCGTCAAACAGTTCATCCTTGCTGCCGACAAACAGCGCCTGGGCGTCGACCACGGCCTGGCGGAGCACCGCGAGCGCGTTTTGCTCCCGTTCCAGCGTCACGGCTGCCTGGCTCTGCAGAATTTCGTTGCTGTACACCGTCACCTCCTTTTCGTGCAGCAGCTGTTCGCGCGCTGCTTCCACCGCCACGCCCAGCACGGCGAGCGCCTCCTTCTGCTTGCCGTAGGCGTGGGCGGACATGCTCGGCTGCACCAGATTGTCGTGCAGGTCGTCGCGGGCTTGCACGACGTGCTCCTGTGCGTCGGCGACGGTCTGCCCCAGGACCGCCAGGGCGTCCTTGCGCCGCTCGGCATCCAGTGCGTCCTTCGTGGGCAGCACCTCCTCGTGCGATTCCTCCTCATACTCGATCTTCACATCTGACACGGTCTGCCCCAACATCGAGGAAGCCATCAAGGAGCTGGTGTCGTGGTTGTCGTTTTAAAATGACATGTGGAATTTGCAGAAATGAATTCCAAGTCGCAAGGGAGTAGCAAGAGTGTCAGTCATGTCACCCTTCTTCCTTCACAGTATTACTAGTCTCAGCCCAATTGTATGTTGTTCATGTTCTAGACGAAAAGAAAAGAAAACATCCTATACTGCGTCAGACTCTGGCGGGATTCCATCAACGATTGCATTTGACTGGAGGCTAGCAGCTCCCGGGCCTCACCCTCTGCCAGCACCGGTTTTTCGGTCGACGCCGCCAGCACCTCGTCCGGTCCACTCGCGCCAGCGGGTTGGGATTCTACTTGCCGCGCTGTACTGGTTCCGCCTGCGGCTCCGACTCCGGCTTGCGCATCGCCACCTCCAGCAACTAGTATCCCTCGCTCAGCGGTCACGCCGCCCTCTGCTCCCACTACCGCGCGCTCCTGTTGCTTGCTTGTCGTGTACGTATCCAGTGCGACAGCCATGCCGGGGATCTCCGGTGGCCCGCGACTGGACACCGCGGCAGACGACTGCGCCGCGACCGATTCCTGCAGAGACGGGGGCTCGTCCCGCTTGCCTGACGAAGGTGCTTGCGCTTGGTCCTCCGCCGCCTGCCCTGTCGTAATTTGTCCCCCCATCGCATCGGGATCGCCTCCTGGCCCTGCTGCGGTGGGCAGCGCGCCCGCGGTCCGCATGGCTTGGGTGGTGACCACATTCAACTCGGATTTCTGGGAGACAATCGTCTCCACCGTTTTGTCGATCCCCGCGCCCGTGTATTTGTCTTGCGACACGACGGTCTCGATGCTCCTGTCGGGCGGCGCGACGGCGTCGGCGGCCAGCCCGCGGGTGAAGGTAACTGCCGGCTCCTGGCCGGCGCGGCCGTACTGCGGCGGCTGCGCCTTGTACAGAGCTTCGTCGCCCTCTTCTTCCATCACGACCCCATCTCCAGCCGCCTCGCCCTCTCCCGTTGCAGCGATTTGTTGTTGCCGCGCTCTCGCACTTGACGTAGTACCAGTGAGCGGAACACCAACTCCGGCCTCGTCCGCGTTGTCGATGTCGCCGAGCTCCGCCGGTGGTAAGTCGCGGGCGGAGGGCAGCGTGCTCGGCGGCGGTGACGGCTTTTCGTCCTTGACACGGAAGTTCCAGGGCGCCGCCCCCCGAACCGGCTCGTCGGTGTCTGCGTCCGAGTCCGCCTCGACCAGCGCAATACCCGCCATCTCCTTCAGGTGCGCCTGTCGCAGCACCAGACCGGAAAGCGCGTAAAGGATCAAAACCACGATGTAGAACAGCCTGTTTGTTGATGGAATAGAGCGACTCGAGTAGTAGTAGTGATTCCCAGGAAGGGGAGAGAAATCTTTTCACTGTTTCTTGACATTTTCTAGCTTGAGAAGCTCTATCTCGTACCTTCTGGACCCAGAACCTCTATCACAATAGAGGTTCTGGAGTCAGAACGTCTATTGCAATAGAGCTTCTGACCCCAGAACGTCTATTGGGATAGCGGTTCTGGGTTCCGTAGCCTCTAGATTTGTTTCTAGACTTTGGCGGCCAAGAATCTAGAAACTAGATTTCTAGAAATCTAGAAATCTAGAAGTCTGGAAATCTAGATTTCTAGGTTCTAGAAATCTAGAAATCTAGCTTCTAGATTCTGGCAGCCAGAACGCCAGCACTCCTGCTCCGAGCAGCTAACAGTCCAGCTTCCCTGGTTGCGAGAAGCCGGCAGCTCAGCCTCCCCGGCTCTACGAGAAGCTGGAAGTCCAGCTTCCCCGGCTCTACGAGAAGCTGGAAGTCCAGCTGCCCCGGCTCTACGAGAAGCTGGGCGCCCAGCTTCCCCGGCTCTACGAGACGCTGGAAGTCCAGCTTCCCCGGCTCTACAAGAAGCTGAAAGCCCAGCTTCCCCGGCTCTACGACAAGCTGAAAGTCCAGCTTCCCCGGCTCTACGAGAAGCTGAAAGTCCATCTTCCCCGGCTCTACGAGAAGCTGACAGTCCAGCTTCCCCGGGCGGCTCTACGAGAAGCTGGAAGGCCAGCTTCTCCGGCTACGAGAAGCTGGAAGTCCAGCTTCTCCGGCTACGAGAAGCCGGACGCTTAGGCCCCCCGAGGAGCTGGGCGCTCACCTACAGTGAAAAGATGCGAAAAAAGGACGGCGAGGCCCTTGCTCTTTGCAGGTAAGGCATAAGGGTCAGTCTGCCTGCGTGCGCGCCCCCGGGCCAGTCTGCCTGCGTGCGCGCAGTGCGCGATCTTTTTTTCCGACCGGCAAGCCAGCAACGGCCGGACGCGAAAAAAACGCCCCGCGCCCCCGGGGCAATGTGCCTGCGTGCGCGCAGCGCGCAAAATTTTTTTTCCCCTGCGGGCCTCCAAGGAAAGGCTGGACGCGGAAAAAACACTCCGGCCGGGCCCGCAGGCCAAGGAAGTTACGCACAAAAAGTTTTTCCAGGCCGGCCGCAGGCTGCTAGGCGCGAAAAAAACGCCCCGGGCCCGGAGGCCAAGGAGGTTGCGTGCGCGCAGCGCGCGAACAATTTACTTTATTCTTTCTTTCAGCCGGGCCGGCCCCGGAAGGGGGGCGGGTCCGCAAAAAGTCCCCAACCGCGCCCCCGGGCCAACATGTGCGCGCGCGCGCGCGAAAAATTTTCGCCAGCCCGCCCCCGAATGCCGGGCGGAGAGAAAGGCTCCGCACAAAGGCTTGCGCGCGCGGAGCGCGCGGAATTTTTTTTCCGGCAAACCCCCAATCGTGGACACGAAAGAAGCGGCCCCGCCCACCCTCTAACGCCACGGCCACTATGCGCACGCAGCGCGCGGTAAGTTTTTTTCCGGCCAACACCCGGTAGCCGCGCGCGATTCATCACCATCGTCATCACCTTGCTAGCAGGCGAACAGCTTTCCTCATATTGAAGAAAAACTTTCTGCGCCCATCTCAAGCTAAGGCGGCTGCGCGCGCGCGGCGCGCGAAAGTCGTTTCCGGGACTGCCCGGACGCCGGACGCAAGCAAAAGCGCGCCAGAACAAGGCGCCTGCGCGCCGCGAATATTTTCCCGGCAAGACCCCGAGGGGGCGGCGCGAAAAAAACCTCCGCGCCCGCCCGCAGACCAAGGCCGGCGCCTGCGGGCGGGCAGGGGGCGGTGGCGAAAATTTGCTCTATTTCTTCCGGCAGCCCCGGTTGCCGGGTGCAAGCAACACCTCGCCGCGCCCCCTGGCCAACATGTGTGCGCGCACAGCGCGCGATATTTTTTTTCCAGCAAGCCCCCGGCCGCCGGGCGTGAAAAAAAGTCTCAAGCCACTGACTCACCCACGCAAAGAAAGGCGCGCGCGCGCACGCAGCGCGCTAAAGTTTTTTTTCAGCCGGCCCCCGGTTGCGGAAAAAAATTTCTTACGGAAAAAAATTTCCTCGCCTACGGGCCGGAAGAAAACTAATGCGCCCGCGCGCGCGCAGCGCGCGAAAATATTTTCTCGACAAGCCCCCGACCTCCGGGTGAGAGGAAAACCTTCCAAGCACGCCCTCAGGCCAAGGAAGGCGCGCGAGCGCTGTGCGCGCGCGCGAAAATTTTTTCTCAGCTGGTCCCCGGTTGCGGAAACAAAATTTCTTGCGGAAAAAAATTTCCTCGCCTACGGGCCAAAAGAAAACTAACGCGTCCGCGCGCGCGCAGCGCGCGGGAATTTTTTCTCGACAAGCCCCCGACCTCCGGGTGAGAAGAAAACCTTCCACGCAGGCACGCCCTCGGGCCAAGGAAGGCGCGCGCGCGCAGCGCGCGCGCGCTAAAGTTTTTTTTCAGCTGGCCCCCGGTTGCGGAAAAAAATTTCTTCGCCTACGGGCCAAAAGAAAACTAATGCGTCCGCGCGCGCGCAGCGCGCGAAAATTTTTTCTCGACAAGCCCCCGACCTCCGGGTGAGAAGAAAACCTTCCACGCACGCCCGCGGGCCAAGGAAGGCGCGCGCGCGCGCTAAAGTCTTTTTTCAGCTTGCCCCCGGTTGCGGAAAAAAAATTCCTCGTCTACGGGCCAAAAGAAAACTAATGTGCCCGCGCGCGCGCAACGCGCGAAAATATTTTCTCGACAGGCCCCCGGCCGCCGGGCGTGAAGAAGAGCGCCCAGGCACGCCCTCAGGCCAAGGAAGACGCGCGCGCTCCGCGCGCGCGCGCGAAAATTTTTTTTCAGCTGGCCCCCGGTTGCGAGAAAAAATTTCATCGCCTACGGGCCAAAAGAAAACTAATGTGCCCGCGCGCGCGCAACGCGCGATAATTTTTTCTCGACAGGCCCCCGACCCCCGCCGGGCGTGAAAAAGAGCGTCTACGCACGCCCTCAGGCCAAGGAAGACGCGCGCGCAGGCGCGCGCGCGCGAAAATTTGTTTTCAACTGGCGCCCGGTTGCGGAAAAGACTTTCCTCGCCTGTGGGCCAAAAGAAAACTACTGTGCGCGCGCGGCTCGCGAAAAATTTTTCTCGACAAGCCCCCGACCACCGGGCGAGCAAAAGATCTTCTACACCCTCGGGCCAAGGCGTGCGCGCGCTGTGCGCGCGGAAAATTTTTTACCGGCCGGCCCCCGATCGCGGGGCGCGAAAAAAATAAAACAGCCCACACCCTGACGCCGTACATGGTGAGGATGCGCGCGGCGCACCCACGCGAGGTTTTTTCCGGTCAACGCCTTTTAGCCGGCCATGGAGAGGCACCTCCCTCCCACGCTCACCCAAGGCCAGGGCGGTCTGCGTGCGCGCAACACGCGCAAACTTTTTCCCGGACGGCCCCCGACTGCCGAACGCACCGAAAACCTTCCGCGCCCCGAGGCCGAGGCGCCTGCGCGCGCGCAGCGAGCGCACGACAAATATTTGCCGCCGAGGCCCCGCCTGGAGGACGCGAAAAAAACCCAACCGCCCTCAGACAGGCAAAGGCGTCTGCGGGCGCGCAACGGGCGAAAGACTTTTTTCGATCGGGCGGCCCTCGATAGCTGGGAACGACCAAAGGCTTCCGCGCCTTCAGGTCGGGGCGCATGCGCATGCGCGCGCGCGCAACTTTTTTTTTTCCGGCGCGCCGCCCTCGCTGCTGGACGCGCAAAAAACATTCGCTCCGCGCCCCCCCGCCAAGGCGTCTGCGCACACGCAGCGCGCGCTCGCAGAATATTTTTCCGGCCCGCCCCGGGTTTCCGGACACGAAAGAATACCTTCCACGCCCTCAGGCCAAAGCGCTTGCGCATGCGCTGTGCACGAAAAAAAATTCTCGGCAAGCGCGCGGCTACCGGGCACGCATAGGGAAGGGCCTCTACGCCTGCCCGGTCATGGCGCGCGCCTGAGTGGGCGCGGCGCGCGCGAAAATTTTTTTTCGGCCGGCCCCTGATAGCAAAAGGAAATAAGGAAGCATCCGCCCCCTGCTCGGGCCAGGGTGTCTGCGTGCGCGCGGCGCTCCAAATTTTTCTCCCGGCCACAGAGCAATACAGAATGGGCACGCGCATACCATCACCACTGTCAGCGACGGCGCCTAGGGAAGCGCGCGCGGTAGGCGCAATGCCATTTTCCCGGCGCCAAGCGCAGGCAGAATACGAGAGGACGCCCGCGCCCCTCCAAAACAAAAATCCGAAGCGCGCACCGTGTGCCAATTATTGTTTTCAACAAAGAGCAGCGAGAACATCTATGAGAGTCAGAATGTCTATGCGTGAGAATCTCTATAGCGTTTTTAGAAGTTCTATAATATTTTTTTTTTCTAGACATCCACTCCAACATCTCGTAAAAAAACACTCAAAAATTTCGTGCGGAGTTGAAGATACAGTGAGAGTGTGGGTGACAGGTTTTAGTACAAAATCGTCAGATCCTTGCGCTCTCAAGATAAAAAAACGAAACTCAGGTACAGTGGCCATATGGTCATGCAGAGCTCGTAGGCGATCGGCGCGGACAGGGCCCCCAAACGGCCGACGGCCATGCAGGTGGCCGCCCCGCAGGTGCGGATTTCCGTCGGGTACAGTTCGCAGCTGAAAACGTACAGCACCGCGAACCCGAGATGTACGGAGAATTTGGAGACGATGAAGCCAAGCTGCAGGAGCCACTCCAAATGAAACGGCCGGTTGTCGATCTCCTCAGTATCCGGGTCCGGCTCCACGAATTCCTGCCGCGTGGCCTCGCGGATGTGGCCCCCGACGTTTTTCGCCCCGTCTATGGCGTAGTCCGCGACCTCCTTCGTTTTGTACCCAACCGCGTACGCCCCGTGCTCGATTTTGCTCCCCAGCGACGCGGCGCCCGCCCGCGCGCTAGCGTAGTACTGCCCGATCGTCGAGCTGTTAGTGGTTCCATTCGTGCTCGCGGCACTAGCGGTCGCACCTCCTGCAGCTGCAGTTGATGTCCCTCCACCAGCCGCTGCGGCTGGCGCCTGTCCCTGTCGCTGAAGTAGGTTCAGCTGTCTGGTGCCTGGGGCCCGCTTCTTCATCGTGTTCTTCATCTCGTCGGCCTTGTGCAACAAGGACGCCCGCGCCCGACCGACAAAGGCCTCCTCGGTGTTGAGGCCAGTAAAGGAGGCTCCCAAACCGGACGCCAGGCCAACTTCAAAATCAGAGGTGGTGATGGAGGACGGAGCGAGACGGACGCGCGGCTCTTTTTGGTGGCTCCGAACCGACTTCATTTGTCCAAGTTCACCGGCTCGATGCTCCGCTGCGGCTGCAGAAAACTCAGGAAAATCTAAATCTTCCTGCAGAAGGGAATACTAGCAAAAGCAGAACCTTCCTTGGTTGTGAGCTGAATGAGTCATAAATGCTCAGTGTTGATCATGGGCGATGACGAACAAAGAACCCAGTATTTCTTTTACTTTTTTCATTTCTCATCAAAACCATAAAATGCAACACTCAGCCCGATCGAGGTCGCTTAGCTGTATTTTTTCTACGAGGATAGAAAGCAGTGCCACTTCCGCCCTCGGTTTTTTTGCCCTCCTGTAGTTCCCGTTCGCCGCCCGGAGCAGACGAATCCTCTTCGTCCGCCTCCTCGCCGGCGCTGTCCTCTCCGTCAGCCTCCTCCTCCTTTCTTGCCTCCGCTTCCTGTTCCGGGTCGTGGTGCTTATCCGACTTGTAGGACCTGCGTCCGGCCAAGTCTTGCCTGTCTTCGTCGTTCTCCATGCGGTCCAGCGCCGTCTCCCGTCTGTACGCGTTCGCCATGGCGTGCACCTCCGGGCCGTCTGGATCGTAGTTTTGATTTTGCTCTTGTTGTTCATCCGACCGCCGAACAGAAGAACTGATCTGACGATTCTCATCCCGCTGCTGCTCTCGTTGTCGTTCGTCATCTTCGGCCGCCAGACCCTGCTGTTGCTCCTCGTCCTGCTGGTGCTGGATCAGGTTCAGGCTCTTCACGTCTTCGCGCAGCTCCGACGCTTTTTCGGGATCGACCTCAGCTTGTGCGGCTGCAGCAGCTTCGTCTACTTGAGACAACTCTTCATCATCCTCGTCGTTGTAGAGCATTTCGGAACCGACGGAATCGTCTTCCTCCGCTTCGGCGGCAGAGAGAGCGCCACTCTTTCTGTTCGCCACCATCTCTTCCTGGAGAAACATGTACGTTCCTTGCCCCAGCCCCGCCGGTCCGTTGCGGCCGAAGGCGTTGCGCGCGTGAAGGCGGTCAAAGTTGATGTCTGAGAGCTGCTGAAGCTCTTGCAGCTCTACCGGTGCGGCCTGTGGAACATCTACATCTGCATCGTCGGTGGGATAATCTTGAATTCCTCGAAGTAGAGTGCTAGGAGTCGTGCCGCCTGTATTTTTTGGCACTTCCAACAGAGAGATTCTGTTCTTCTGCAGCTGAGATGTATGATCAACACCGTGCTCTCTGTCAACGCCACGACCACCGCCTACAACTTGGTTGTGCGCGTCGCTGTCAGGCTTAGCTTCCTGTTGCGCTAGCTTGTTCCACGCGGAACTCTGCTTCCGCTGGTTGTCTCCCCGCCTGTCCCAAATCAGGGTGGTTCCGAAGTCCGTATCCGCACCCAAGTCCGCGTTGCTCTCGGGCCGCAGGTCGAGGAAAGACAGAAAGGGGCTCGGATCATGTTGGTGCAGGTTCGTGGCTGATGAAGATGGACCACTGCCTCTTGTGGTCTCAACCTCCTCTCGTTGGGTGACGGGCGCCGGAGGAGGCTTACTGTAGATGATAGTGGTTCCCAGTGCTGTGTTGAAGTCGATAATCTTCGCGTTCTTATTTGTGGAAGCAGGGCCAAAACGAGATGAACTGGCAACAGTTCTTGCACTGTCATCTGCAGCAGCAGCACTCTGGTCGACTACTTGATCTTCTGCTGTGAGCACCTCCAGGCCCCGGTTTTGCAGCAAGGACAGCAGGCGGCCTTTTTCGCCCTTCTTCTCGTCGACGATGATCTTGTAGGGGTTCACGGGCGAAAACGACAACGCGGTGAGGAACAGGAGCACCCCGAGAAAAGCCAACATCAAGTAGACACACACGCCCGCCTTCCGCGTCATGCGCGAGACGAACATGGTGCCGGCGATGCAGCCCAGCAAGTCCACAAACGCGCCCACCATCAGGCTGGTCCCCGGCCGGATCCACAGCGACTCCTGTACGTCCGACATGTTCTGCGGCGCCGCGTACATGAACCCGTAAAACCCAAAATTCACCACGAAGGCGAGAAAGCACAGGAAACTCGTGATCGGCCAGTACCGCGTGGTCAGCAGCCCGCAGCAAATGCCGATCTTTTTCCGCGGGTTCTCGGCTGACAAATCCGGGGGCAGGTGCAAATCCGACGTGTTGCTGCGGAAGGACCACTTCTCGTGCGTGTAAAACAGGTCCTCGTTGGGCTCGTACACCTCGATCTGGCAACGCCACCAGAAAGGCAGATTTTCCTCCGGCGCTGGAGTCTCAAGAACATCACCCACTGCGAGAGCGCCACTAGCTGCGCCGTCTTGGACCACTTCTTCGCTCGCAACGAGCTGGCCTGCGTCCTTGTTCTGCTGAATTGGCGATGGCGGGCTCTCAACCACTATGTCTACTTGTTGTTCCGGCGGAGCACCTGGCTGTTGTACCGGGGCGGCAGGGGCCCCGGCGCTCTCCTCGACGACCGCCAGCGACCCCTGTAGTTCATCAGCGCCCCCTGCCGCCTCGCCCTCCGCCTCGACCTGTTTTGGCGCGGCAGCAGCGCTTCTATTGCCTGCCGCCGACGTCGCTGCAGCTTCTTCCACCACGTCTTCGTCCACCGTTGCACCTTCTCCCGGTCCCGCCGCTTCGCCCTCTGCGACAACAGTCGCAACTTTTGCGGCCTTCTCCGAGCGGTGCGCCCCTTCCAAGATCTGCCCCGGTAGGCGGAAAGACCGACCCGGATAATCGCTAGACGAGCTGCTCTGCAGTTGATCCAAGACCTGCCCCACGCGGTTCACCGAATACAGCAAATCCTGGACCACGTTGTCCGTCAAGGACGCGTTCACATCCAGCCGGGCCTCCGCGTGCTCCAAAAGTTGGTGCATAAACTGCAGTTCGCGCCCGCTCAGGTCCAACTCGCTGTTGGCAATCAACTCGTTCGATGCCGCTCTACTACCGACGGCCGCGTTCGCGATCAGGTCGTGGGTCAGCTGCTGGGCCCGGCCGGACAGGTCCAGCTGGGTGTTTCCAACCAGTTCATTGTTGCTGATTGTAGCGCCGGCTCCTTCTCCAGCAGCTCGCTGGAGCAGCTGGTCCACGGCACGCTGTGCTGGGTCTCGGGCGCTGTCGGCGGCGCTGTGTAGGAGCGTGTCGTGCACCTGCTCATTCCCCGAGCTGTCAACATCGGACTCCTGTTGTTCATCCTCACCGTAAAAGTAAAACAAAGGGCGCCCATACTCCGTGTTCGGGTGCCCGTCCAAGTCCTCCCGTTGCGACGACGCCAGGGCCACCGACCGCGAAACGCCATCGCGCGGGCCGTACGGCTGCGTCGGGTTTTGCTGCAGCTGCGGGTCGGACCGCGCTGACGTACCTGTGGTCAAGGTGCAGCTTGATGTTAGCGACGTCAACGTTTCGTGTTACGTTCGTTGCAGTTTTATTTTTGTACGACAAAATCGAAATAGAAAGATTGACGATCGCGACCGGAGATTTTTGATGTTATTTGGTACACTATTGAATCACACTAACAGGAGACGCTGCTGATGAAGTCATTTCATTCATAGCGGGTCGTGGTTACCTCCAATGACGTGCAGCGGACGCGGATCCACGGTTCGCACTGAGGACGGGCGTGCCGACGAAATGACCGTCGGCACGTCGGACGAGGCATCCCCTGTGTCCGGTTGCTGTGCGGCCGCGCTTACAAAGCGCTGCGCGAACGGAACCGAGCGCGTGGGCCGGAGGTTGTTGTAGGTGGACCGCGAAGCAGCAGCTCCCGCGCCGACTGCTAGCGGCTGCGACGCGGTGCCATCGGTTGTGATCACGCGGCCGCTCGCTCGTGCGTCGCCGTGGTACCCCGCCAGCACGTGCAGCATGCGCTGCTTCATCTGCGTGAGGGCAGCCTCCATGTCGTTGTCATTTTCCAAATCTTCGACGATCTCGACCGAAGACGCGGACTCCCCGGCCGAGCCCTCGCCACTCCGCATCGCTTGCTGGGAAGCTGCAGATTTGTTTCGGCGTGCGGCGTTGATTCTTTTCTTCAGCGCCGGGTCGAGCATATGCCGGTGCCCTGCCTCATCTTCCCCTTCAATCGAGGAACTGGACGACGTTGCGTACTGCGTCAGAGTGCCTGGTGATGTAGTGTTGAGAGGATCTTGCGGTAAGCACTTCATTGTTGTCGAAGTTGCAGTCCTTGAATGCGAATGGCCCGGAAAAGGCCACACAAGTGTCGAACAAAAGATAGCATCAGAAACCGAAATAAAGAAGGCGCAGGAGCAGGAATCCAGCTGCATGCACCATGCTCGTGGTTGAAACGCGCCTAGTGATTTTCTTTTAGCAAGAAACAGGACACCGGGATCAGCTACTCGGTACCGGTAGTAGAAACATAATGACAAGGTCGGAAAGTACAAAAAATCAGCATCCTACCATACAGCCGGTTGACGCTCCGTGTCAGGAAATCTGAGCTTCTGGGATCGTGGAAGTAAAGCATGCTGCCGGGCTGCGACCGCGTTGTGGTGTTGTTGTTTTTCCGTCCCTCGTCCATTCCCCCGAGCACGTGCAGCTGCGGGTTGTCGTCGAAGAGCGAGCGGGGCTTCTGGATCTTGATCCGCAGCGCCTTCTGATCCACGCCGACCAAGCGGCACATGCCCATGTCGGGAATGCCGAAATTTGGCCGGTTCATGTCCCGGAAGTAGTTCAGCGCCTCACTCGCCTCGCCCAGCCGGTTGTGGTAAGCGAGCAGAGTATGCAGGTGGGGAAAAGGAAAACAAAAATTTTCAATAGTTTCCAATAAATTCTTGTACTCAACGATAGCTCTTGCTTTTCTGTCACACATGCTTTTACTTCGGAAAACTTCAAATGTTGTTGTCCATTTTCCACTGCGAATGACGGAAGTTGCTTGTACTGACATGGAACATTCTTTGATCCTCAGTCATCTGACGCGCAACGCATGGTGTACTATTGTCGTGTAGATTTGTTTCACACATCGTAACAGCGCGGAGACTCCTGCAGGTTGAGGTATCCGTAGACGATGGCGAAAAAGGCGGGAAGACTGTTTGAAAAAAATTTCACGAGGTATTATTTGCAAGGAAATTTGTCACAAGCGTTTTTAGATTGCATCCGAAGATCAGGCTCTTGAAGTGTTGTAGATCGAATGACAGACATCATGACCACAGGTACGTTCCGAGAATGGTGAGCGCGCGCCAATCCAGCTGCAGCATGTTGTCATCGTCCCACCAGACCAGGAAGGCCGCGTAGAGCTCCCCCACCGCGAAGCTGCACTGCGTCAAAACCACCGTGGCGCGCCAGTCCGTCGGCACGACCTCGGAGATGAACACCGTGGCGACGGGCTGCCCGATGCCGAACGCGACGCCCATGAGGAAGCGGAAAAAGACGAGCAGCGAGTAGCTTTTGCTCATCACGGACAGGAGCGAAACGAAAAAGACGGAGAGGTAGGCGATGCTGAGCACGGGTTTCCGGCCCAGCGTGTCCCCGAGAAACCCCCCGAGCAGGTTGCCGAAGAACATCCCGAGGAACACGACGGCGACCACCAGCCCCCGCTGCCGGCCGTCCAAGTCCCACTCATCCGCGATGGAACGCGTCACCGCGACCAGCAGCAAAATCTGCGCTCCGGCCGCCAGCCACACGTTGGAGGCACAATTAGTCTGCGTGGCCTGCGCCGGCCCGTACCCGAACAGGTCCAGCCACGCGTGCGTGGGCAGCCGGCGCGTGCCGGAGTAGATCGGATCGATCTCGTACTCATCCGGGCTGTCCTGGTACCGCTTGCGCCGCCGGTAATCCCTCGCCCGGTCCGGGTCCTTCGTCGTCAGGGCCACCCGGTCGGCCATAGTGTAAGAACTATAAATGAAACCTTCAAAAGCCGGTATTTCTATGACCTCCTGATGATTATTTCGAGTTCCTGGTCGACGTCGTGCCAATACTAAATCTAAATCGAAATACAAACCAACGCAACCAAATCAAAATCGCCTTGGTGACTGTGGCGCCTGTGCACGCTTGCTTTTTGCACCAGGCATCAGAAACCCCTGGATAACAAGATGCTCGATCAACTCCCTAAGGTCCGAGTGAGCTCCTCACCATCTCCCTAGGCCCTGAAACCGCACCGCTGCCCGCGCGTGGATTTGTCACGCAAAAGTCTTTATTTCTTTGTATTTCTGCTGTTGTTTGTGATTGTGATGATGCTAGATGCCAATGCTGATACCTCCGGTCGTCGCGCGAAAGCATCTCAAGCAGACCACCAGTCGGATGAAACACGCCCCAGTAGAAGTCGTTCCCGACGATATTTATCCAACACATCATCCCCAGCCGGTAATGATCGGTGGTATTCTTACTCTTGGTTCCACTCGGCGCGCTGCTCTCGTTCTGCTAGGAGCGACAACGCTTTCGTTTTGCTTTTGTTACAGAAGTAAACAAGGAATAACCTACGACAATTTGGCCTATTTTCTTTTCCCTCCTTCGATTTCTTTACACCTGTCACTCCGCAAGCCTCGGACCAACATGATCCGCGACTTAGTCCCCATCCCAACCCAAGGAAAAGAACATGTGAAGAGTCCAGGAAAACGCCTCACAGAACAGAAAAAGGATGTTGAGGAACAGTAAAAATTTTGTTGCTGTGCTTCATGTTCATAGATATTGATATGGCTGCTCGCGTTCCCTGCCTTGTGCCACGCTCAGAGTCAGATCTTGTAGCTGCTTCATACATTACTGATCGTGAAAGTCGCACTTTATTTCATCCAGGATGGGGTTCGCACCCTAAATCGAAGATGTAGAGCTGAGTGACCAAGAATATCGCTCGGTTGACTACTTACGCCGCAGGTGCAAGAGGAGCGCTTCCAGAGGCGCCAAAACTCTCGAACATCCGAGAAAGGCTCCGCGCGGAAGCCGCGTCTTTATCTTGATCGTCTCCGTCCTCCATGATCCCGGCTAGTTCTTGGAAACCCGTTCTTGCGTCATGTTGTTCGCCTTCGCCCGCAGCGGCATCCAAGTCGAAGTCCGGCATGTCCGCTCCGAGCGTAGCGTCGAGTACGGCAGGGGCGTCCGGGCCGAAGGTGTACAACATGAGCAGGTGGTAGTCCTGCACGTGATGCACCAGGTTCCGCCACGCATCCACGATCATTTCGTTGTTCGATAGTGTCACAAATTTTTGCACGATGTTCTCCAGCTCCTCCTGCTCGAACACCTGACGACTGGCGCCGAACCAGATTTTCGGGTGCGAATCCACCGGCGGAGGTAGCAAGTGCTGTTGGGCGGCGGGGAGAGATGAAAGTTGATGGCCTTGAAGATGATGCCCCTTCAAGGAGGAAAGCTCCAGCGGTGGAGGCTGTTCGACGAGCGCAGCTGTACTAGTGGCGCCGGGGCCGGCTGAGGAGAGCGCAGGTGTAATTTTTCCAGCGTTTTTATTCTCGCCCGTAGTTGTACTACTTTCCGCATCCCCCACAGCGGCGATTGAAGATGTGGAGGTGGTCGCAGTCAGTAGAGTGGTCGTGATGACGCTTTTGTGCTTCCTACTCGTGGAGGTAGACATTTGGTGTTTCAAGACCAGGTTGGTGGTCGTGCCGGCTTGTGCTGATTGATGTTGTGCTGCACCACCTGGATATTGAGGCTCCTGTAGCGGTGTTTTATTCCGAGAAAAATCACCTTCTCCAAAGGACAAGGATAATTTATCCTCTGTAACGATTTTTTCGTCGTCGAAACGGTCGACGCGTGTCGTTGTAGTAGAGGTGGTGCTGGTGGTCGTTGTGATTCCGTCGAGACTTTTGTCACGGCCGCTCACCAGTTCCGCCGGCGGAGCACTTTGCTCGGCTCCTCGCCCACCGCCGGTCGCCGAGGACGATGCGACTGCGGCTGTTGGCGTGCGAAGGTCTACCACTTGTGCACCAGACGGGGGAGGTAGTCCCCCGGTGTCGGCAGCATTACTGTCGAGCACGAACAAATCTCCCACATCGTCCGGCGGGTCAACAAAGTCGGCCGCCGTCACGCGGGGACTCTTCCGCACGCTCTCCTCAATCCGGGACACATGCTCGGACAATGAATCGCATGCTGTGCAAAAGCATCGCAGTCCTCGTTTCGTAGTAATTGCGATCTTGAACGACAAGTGCTGTGGATTTTTCTTTTCCTGAAAAAAATTGTAATTTGCAATCACGACTACTTCCACGACTACGCTTTTGCAATGCATAATTCAGATCCAAAGAACAGCCCCGGCACCACACCGGACGCGTTCTTGCCGGTGCCGTGCGTGTCTGTCGGCGTCGAAATCCCGGACGCTGGGCTGTCCGTGTGGTTGCTCCTGCCGGAGGAAAACCGCTGGCTGGGGTGCGGAAGATGCGCCCCAGGAGCGTGGAAGAGCAGACTGTTGTTGATATTGAATGAAACATTGGTGTTCGCCCCGGTAGAAGACGTATCACCCGGTGCGGCACTTCCGAGTAGACCGCCGGCTGCACCACCCTGGTTCAATACGACCTGTTGTGCCTGGTGTCCCACTTGCAACTCCTGGAACAGCCGCGGAATCGCCTCGGGGCGGCCGATCTGGTCTTTGTTTCCAAACAGCCGCCGCAGAAACCGGCGCCCCGTCATTCGCGACGGGTGGTGGTGCTTCTCCCTCTTCCTCTTGCTATGGTGCGCCGATTGTGCTGCACCTTGGTGAAACTGGGCGCCTCCCGGTGTGCTGCCCGAACCCGACCGCTGCTGATCCAGCATATTAGATGAAGCATGCTGATTGCCATGCTGCTGTGCAGGTGGCAGAACTGCGGCTCCGCTTGCGCTTTCCCCGGGCATCAAGGTAGCTCCCGTCGGTGCGGAGCTATTGCCAGGGCGAGAAATGTTGAAAAAGCTTTCTTGCTTGCTGGGATCCCACGCGTTCTCCAGAACCGTTGCGTCAAGCGGGTATGCATCGCAAAGACACGACAACCATGTTAAGTCTCTCGGCCTTGATTTTCTTTTGCTGTGTCTACTTGGAAGACGTCTGAAGGACAGGTAGATACAGGGTTGGTGTTGCAGGAAGTAGACATATAGACTTCTAAATATCGGTACTGCACCAGGACAACATATGACTTCTGGAATGACGCAACATGCACAAAATGCTACAAGCATTACCTCTTCTTGTCATCTTCAAAGGACCCAGAGCCTGAACCAAAAACACGTCTTTGCTTCATCCCATAGCACACATTCTCGGATGACGTGCTCCAAAGATTTCCCGGTCGAGGAATCTCCAAGCATCATGGTTTTGTTGATATCCATCAAAATCAACAGCTCCACCGCTGATGAGTCAAGTTGTCCATTTGTGTTCCCATGGTCTTTAGCTTTACCAGTGGTCATCTGCTGCTCAACCTCCAAAGCGTCGAAATCGTCCCCATCGTGGTCTTCTTCGTCCTGCAAGCTGTACTGCGGGACCGGGTACAGGGGGGAGCTCAGGCCGCCGCCGCGTCCGAGCGGGTCCGCAAGCGGACTGGTGTGATCCACCACCACGCCAGTCAACCGGGGCGACAGAGGGCCGTCGACGGCATCCAGGGCCGCGAGGGAGGTGACCGCGTCCTCCAGTGAGGGTTTGCGGTCGCGGGACAGTGACCGGTGCTCCCGCGACAGCGAACGGTGCTCCCGCGACACAGACCGGCTGCTGGTTCGCTCGAAACGAGGCGGGTGCGGCGGCGGGGGCATCTTCGACGACTGGTGCAGGTGCTTGTTGCTACTCGGCTCCTGCTGCAGCTGCGGCTCCAGAGACGAAAACTTACCGTCTTGCTCTTGGTGCTTGCCATGCGTCTTTTCCTCAGTCCTCTTTACTGCTCGCCCACCAGAACTTCTACTTTCATTCTCCACGGCCCCGCCGGGCTTGCTTCCGACGTGCTCGTTATTTTGGTGCAGTGGTTCTAGCTTCTTTCCCCCTCCAGCGCCATCGGAACTTTGCTTCATGCTGTCGCCGCTGGAGGTGGTACCAGAACCGCGCTGGTCGTCGTGCCCCGTATTGTTCTCTCGACTTCTGTGCTTGTTCGTCGTAGCTTCTTTTTCATCTTGCAGACCAAGAATGTGTTCTGGCTTTCTCGTCTTTAGCTGCGACGCTTCCACCTCTTCTTTGTTCGAGGTGAAGGAAAACAGTACTTTGTGGTAGAGCCCCTCCTTAAAAAAGGCGATGATGCGAATGAAAAAAAAAGGGTCGGAAACCGCGTCCAAAATCGACACTTTGACCAGCACCGTGCCGGTCACTTGCCGCTTCTGTCGCGAGACGGAAAACCGTACCTCGGAAAACAAAATTTCCGGGTCGATGTGCTCAATTCGCTGCGTGAACCCGTAGTTTCGCGACGCGTCCCCGACCGCGAGAAAGTTGCGGTACTTCGTCGCCTTGAAAATCGTCGCGAAATCCACGCGCTCGAATCTAGTTTTATGTTCGTTTCATTTTGTTCCGAAAATGCTTCAAAATGGTGTCAAGTACGATATACCAGCAGCAGCAGGAGCTGGTGCACAAACACAAAGATGAGCATGAAGATTATAATTTACATACAAGATATAACTCCTATTGCTGAGCGGTGTGAGTTAAAACTTTGCGACGGGGACGAAAATCGTCCACGCCGAGTATTTTTTTACAATTTGCAAACTTTCCAAAGCTGTCGCGGTTTGGGAAGTCGCCCAACGCCCAACGCCCAACGCCCAACGGCTTCAAATGTTTATTGGCTTCGAGTGTTTATTTTGCGGCTTCAAATATTTCGCGGCTTCAGATATTTCGCGGCTTCAAATATTTCGCGGCTGCAAATGTTTTGCGGCTGCAAATGTTTTGCGGCTTCAAATATTTCGCAGCTCGAAATATTCTGCAGCCCGAAATATTTTCCAGCTCGAAACATTTTCCAGCTCGAAATATTTTCCAGCTCGAAATATTTTCCAGCTCGAAATATTTTCCAGCTCGAAATATTTTCCAGCTCGAAATATTTTCCAGCTCGAAATATTTTCTAGCTCGAAAATATTTCGCAACGCAAAATATTCTGCAGGGAGGGTCACTCGGATCTGCGTGATCGCGTGGCACTTCCTTACTGAAGTCCCGAAGGAAAAAAAAACCTCAGCTGATCGCGCGTCCGAGGAGAGCAACGCGATCAGGCAGCCGAAGGTGGCGATCGCAGCCCTGCAAGCTGTACATGGATTGCCACCTATCCTACTGGGAAATCTTTCCCCTGGGTAGCCAGAATTGCTGCGCTAAACACAGCAAGTCGGGGAATACAAGCAAAATTCTCCCTCGCCGAGCCAGTACCTTCCCGCTTTCCCAATATCCCCTCACTATCCTGATACCCTCCCAGCACCCTACTGGGAAATCTTTCCCCTGGGTAGCCGCACAGCAATTCGGGGAAAACCAGCAAAATTCTCCCACCGCGAACCCGTACTCTACAAATGCCCCAATATCCCCTCATTATCCTGATACCCTCCCAGTACCCTACTGGGAGGGAAATCTTTCCCCTGGGTAGCCAGAATTGCTGTGCTAAACACAGCAACTCGGGCAAAAAAGCAAACTTTCCCCAGCCGTTGCCAATATCCTCCACATACCCTGAAGATACCCTCCCAGTATCCTACTGAAAACCCTCTCCCCGGGTAGCCAGAATATCTATGCTGAGCGCGCCAATTCGTAAGACTAAAGAGAAGCAAACCTCTATCATCCGTTCCCAATATCCTGTCAATAGACCGGTAGCCCCCAACTATCCCAATCCCTTCCCGTTAGCTCAATGTCTTCCCCGGGTAGCCAGAATAGCTGTGCTAAACACAGCAACTCGCGAAAAAAACCGAAAAGCCCCGAAATCTCCCCCGAAAATGCCCTTGGGCATCTCCAACCGAAATTCCGCCTGGATATGCCTTGGGGCGTCTTGCTTCGCCTGAAATTGCAGCAAAGCCCGCTCCGCAGATGCCTTCTCAATGTGTTTCCAGCTGGATTTCCAGATAGAAATGGAACAGGCCTCTTCAGCTGGAAATCCAGCTGGAAACACTTTGAACAGGCCAGGTGGGAAATGCATTGAGAAGGCGTCTGCAGCTGCATTTCCAGGTGGAAATGCGCTGCATCAGATGCCTTTTCCAAATGTTTCCAGCTGGATTCCCAGCTGGAAATGCATTGAAAACGTCTGCCGCCGTCTGGGGAACGCCGCCGGCGGCCAAGCACCAGGCGAGCAGCTGCCCACCACCCTCCCCCGGCGCCCTCCCTCCGTTCGCGAAGGGAAAGTCGCGCCCCAGCGCCAGGCTTGCGCGCGAGCAGCTGCCCACCACCCTCCCCCGGCGCCCTCCCTCTGTTCACGAAGAGGCCGGCAGAGGGCGCCACCGTCCGCCGTCTCTGTCTTGGAGGGTGCGCGCGAGGGAAGCAGGCGGGGGCGAAACAGATTGCATGCGGGCTAACACGGGAGGCGCCGTTGCTGTCCGGGGGTGCTGGGGGAGAATGGTGGGCCCCTGCGCCTGGGAGGGAGGCAATGAATGCCCCGCCCCGGCGCCCGTCTATCTTCCATCCACACGCGCGGCAGGGGCCCCAGCGCGCCCCCGTTCTGCAAAGCCGCGCGCGGGAGCAGGGCGGGGGGCACCAAGGCGCACAGGGGCGGGGCACACAGGCAGGCGGCACGAACGGGCCACACCACAAACGCGCGGGCGGGGCGTCACGCGCCAGCGCCTCGCATGGCGCGGACTGTTCCCCTGCTTCCTTCCCCCGTCCACTGGCGGCCGCCCGCTGCCGCGCTTTGCGTTGTTGCTTGGGCCTAAGGCTTGCCGCCACGCAAACGCGCGCCCAGTGCGGGCGGGGTCCTCGCGCTCGCACAACGACGGGAACCACGGGCGCCATGGCGCTCCGCCTTCGTTCTTTCAGCAAGAGGGGCGCAGATGCCTGGCCCCGCCCTGCGTCAAAAATTTTCTCCCTTGCCCCTCTGGCGTTTTTCTTTCCCCCCCGTCCACTCGTTCACCCTCCCACTGCGCGACATAAGTTGCGGCCTTGTAGAATTGTCCCTAAGATCGTCCTGCGACACAGAGCATTTCTTTCTTGACCTCCGCGAAGAAAAAAACATTGATATGGTACTGCGAAAAATTGACGAACTCCCCCGTTCGAACGTCTCGCAAATTCGCGCATCCTCGGGACTGGGGTGCGCCGCAGCGGCCAGGCTCGAAATCGATGTTATCGTCAAAGAAAAACACGAGCTTGTTGCAGTTTTCTTTTGTAGTGGTCCCACGAGTTGGATAATTGTTGGCGTCGCGGTTTCCAGCAAATTCACTGCTCCCTCCTCTTGACGGCAAAGGACTTCTTCCGCTATCGTCCACTTTTTGCCGCTTTCTCGCGTGAGATATGCATGTGCCAAGACCCAGTTTTACCGCACACGCAGGAGATACAAAATAGAACAAAGAACGAACAACGATACTGTCACTACTACGGTCGGAGCGGACTGATCTTCGTGTTTATGTTCATCGGCACTGTTGGCACAATTCCATTTCTGTGTACTACGTGGACGACAAAATAAATTTTCCAGTGGGTATGGGACGACGGCGACGCTGGGTCTCTTTCCAGTTCATCTGCAGCTTTGCTGTTTTTCTCTCCCGTGCCCTCATTCCGGCCCACTTCAACCGGTCTGGTACTACTTGTAGGACCCGAAGGACTGAAGCCGGGCGAGGAAGGAGCGGGAGTAGCGAAAACTGGGACAAATTTTCCATAGCCGTTCCGCTCGTGGTGCTGGTGCCAAGTGTGGTAGTCGAAGACGGTGGTGTGCAAGCCCCGCAGGGGCCCGATCTGCTCCAAATACTCAGCGATGGCAGGTTGCAGCTCAGCGACATCCTCGTGTTGTAAGGAGAAAGCTTTCTTCTCCGCCGAGAGCGAGGCTCCTGCCGCGCCCGCGGACATGATATTTAGCAAAAACAATCCGCCTGCAGTTCTTCCCGCCTGTTCGATTATCAACTAACGAAAACCGACTTACTACGTGAAGAAAGTCCAGCCAAGAAAAAGCGAGCCTACACTTGTTGTTTTCACCCGGATAAAAAAGCGAGTTTCCGACTTGGTGCACCTTCATTTTGGAAGAATTGTCTTGAGGCTTTCAGATTTGAATTTGATTGTCTTAAGCCATGCTTTTCAATTCAACTTGGCACTTCTAGCTTTCCTTCGCCTTTCGCACGTGATCAAAATACTTTTCTTGCAGCTCTGTTTATTGCACCAACAAGGCTGCACTTTGGTTCATGGTGCGTGCTGCAGTAGTATTTGCGTTGGGAAATGCAACTACAACGGCCATATTACTGGAGCTCCAAGAACACCTTTGGTGAGAGCCACAACTTCATTCAGTACCAGTGGTGCGGCCTCATGTTCTAGTCATTGAAAGCAATACAGGTGACCTGCTGAATCAGGCTCGATGTATCAGCGGTGGCGAACACAAACAGACCAGGAACAAATTACCACCTCCACAGGAAGCAGAAGAGCAAGCTACAACAAACCAGCTGCGCATGATGCTTCACTGATTTATTGATGATGAGCATCAGCTGCTAATTTACATTTTCTTGCTGTCATCAAAACAAAGAACAAAATCGATGACAACTTGTTGTCGGCCTTCGCCTTCTTCTTCGCGTCGCAATTAAAATAACTGATGAGGAAAGTACTATGGTAAAAAAACAATGACTCCGGATTGGGATACCGATCGAGATGGCTCTATCACAATGAATCATAAAGCGCACAAGTGCCAAGTCGAAATAAATATTTTCGCGAAGCAAAAGCTCCTCTCCAAGTCCAACTTCAAATAAAAGAATCGTACATGAAATCTTTGAAGATCTTGTAGCGGGAGCTAGCAGGCGCATATGATGTGAGGAGGACACCTGCGTGCTGTAGTGCCCTTCTAGTTTTTGCCCACTGATCAGGGAGGTACTAGTGTGCCATGATGGTTCATTTCACTTCATCGGTAGTTAGATGCCTGTCGTCTTGGTTGTATTAAGGCCGCTTGGTGCGGCCCGCGTTCGTGCAAAATTTGCGGACCCTGCCGCCTTCTTCCCTGGCAATTGCAGACGATTGGACTCGCGCAAGTTCTGCTGCATGGCGTTCCACCGAGATTGGTACTCCTTCACCGTCATGGTCCGCCCGAGCCCCCGTGGAGGCGCTCCGCCAGACCCCGCTCGGAAAGTTGTAATGCTCCCCGCCGCGCCACCCTGCTGAGGTGGTAGATCACGAGCAGCATCGTCGCCTTGAATGGTTTGTACCGCTGATCCCTCCCCCAGCGCGCGGGGAGATGTGGTTGCGCCGAAGGGTGGCTCTCCTCCTAAAGGTGCAGGTGATGACAACGGGTAGGACTCGTTGTTCTCTGCTGCGTTACCAACCCTGGCTCGCCTCTCCTGCCCTCCGCGCTGTAGTTCCTCCTCCACCGCCGTGGCGAACCTCACTCCCGTCTCTCGCTGGGCTCCCACGGCACGCGCGGACGGACGAGATGTTTTGGTGACGAGAGGGCTGTTTTCAACATTTCCCCCTACAACTGGGTCGCCTGGGTCGCCAGTCGCCGCACCAGGCGGCAGAGTGTAGTTGCTTTTGGCAAAGACTCTATTACTCTTTGTGCTTGTCTCGTCCTCTACGATAGCTGCATTGTCCTCGGCAACGTCGTTGTCCTCATCTTCATCCACTTGCTGTTCTTCTTGCGAGCTGGCTACCGGCTCTACTTCCTGCTCGTCCCGCCCCGACGAGTAGGCGGTGGCTTCCGCGGCCGAACCTCTTGACAGCGGCCCGTGATCGCGCAAAAGCTTGTCCACCCCCTGCATCAAAGTCTCATCGTCTTCTTGCTCCTCGCCGTCCGGGGACGACGAGGTTGCCGATGCGACGCCCAGCTTCTTCAGTTTAGTCAGCGGACCTACGTCCTGATTCAGGATTTGCAGCATGTCCTCCATGTCGTAGCGACGGAGCACCTCCCGCTCCTGCGGCGACAGCACCGGATTTGCCTCGCTTGAGGCCGCACTAGCAGTCTCATTCTCTTCTCCTTCGCCATCCTGTTGCGCAACATCGCGGAGCGGACCACCTTCTCTTCGTGGTCGACCTGGAGCAGGGCTGCTTGCGCTACTGCTCCCTGCCGCTACCCTTAGCTGCGCCGTTTCCGGCGTGGATTGCGGCACATTTGGCGGTGTGACGGGCTCGACGACTTGTTCCCTGCGCTCTTGTTGCGAGGCGGATCGCAGAAGATCCCCGATCTGCTCTTCCAGCGCCTCCTGCTCCTTCCCGCTGGGCCGCGCCTTCAACTGCAGCAGCAGAGAGGTATCTTGCGAGGGAGACGCAGATGATCCAGGAGACGCCTTGTGATGATGTTGGTGAGCACCATCTTCCTCTTCTTCTTGCTTACTAGTCAGCATGGTCTTACTTTCTGCCGGAGTAGTTTGCTTACTGAATGCGCTGATGCGCTTCGTACCATCGCCGCTGCCGCGGTCGTCGGAGAGTGTACTTTCCGCATCATCAGCAGCTCTTTCCGTTGTAGCAGTTCCAGCATTTCCGCTACCGTAGTAAACTTTTTTCCCGTAGTCGATAGCCGTCTTGACGATTTTGTGTCCCTTTTCGTACATTTCCCGCGGAGTGGGCAGCTTCTGTGGCATGTAATCTATAACGTAGTCCCTGCTGTAGTAGTTTTTGTTCTGACCACCGTAGTTGTCGTAGTTGTGATTCGCGCCACCACGACCCCGTCCTCCCCGTCTGCGTCGCCGGGATCTTGTTCCACTTCCTGATTCCTGACTGTTGCTGCTCGACAGCTCTCCACTGCTCTCCACGGAGCTCGCCCCGCTCATTTGCGACGCGGCCTCGTCCTCTTCCAGCTCGTCAACCTTGCTCCTGTTGGTGATTTCGATCGCGGGTAACAGGCCACTCTTCAAATCATCCTCGTCGTCCTCCTTCGGACGCGACGAGGCTGCTACAACAACGTCGCGTTCTTCGTAGTCATAAGAATCGCTTTTCTCCTTCTTTTTCTTCTTTTTGGAATAATTTTCGTCATAATTGTAGGACGAATTCGAATCGTAGTCGTAGTCCTTCTTCTTCTTTTTCTTTTTGATTTTGTCTCCACCTTCGCCCTTTGTTCCGGCCTCTATTCGTACGGTCTTGGCTGCTTTCGTCGAACTCGATCCTGGTGGTGGTGCACCACCTCCGTCGGAGTCATATTTTTGTTCCTCGCGGTAGTCTACCTCATCGGTGTTCTCGACTCGATTCGCCTCCTTCTTGTTCTTTTTCAACTCTTTCGCGCTTTTTCTGTATCCAAGGGAAAGCGATCTTGGGAATGGACTCATCGAAGCAAAATAACTCTATTCTGTATCAAATGTCCTCCGGTGGATGGACGAGACTTCTTGGTATGCCCGTTGACACGATCCACTTTTTCTCAGTTCGTTGAACAGTTGAGAGCTGAAGGAACGAAAAAGATTCCGCTGCATCATCAAGCTCACGTAAAGATTACATGGGGGCAGGGCGGGGCAGCAGGCTGACAACAAAGCATACTAATCGAGACAACCTCGCGAAATATGAGCGGTACAACATGCAAAGCAACAGACAAACTCATCTTCTAGGTTCCGGTTTTGTCTGATCTTGATCTTCTCGGTGATGAATCAGTATCAGCGAGCTGTTTTCTATGGATACCCTACGCCAGTATAGTACTATTGATGTGCTTCGATTCAATCCCCCCCGAGACCACGACGTTGCGCTCGCTTAGGATCCGCTCCAGCTGCTGCTCCACGCGGTCGAAGCGGGCAAGCAATTTTTCCAGATCCGACGGCGAAATCTTCACTGCCTCGTGTTTGTTCCGGCTTACCACTTCCTCGGCGAGGTCCTTCGCGTTGGGTATCTTCTTCTCGTGCTCCTGCACCAAGCGCTCGTGCAGCGACTCCGCCTGCTTCTTGAACTCCTCGCTGCGCAGGTAGTGATGGTGCTTGTGCACCTGCTCCTGCAGGTACTCGGCCCGCTCCTTGTGGATGTGCAGCTCGTGCTCGTGCACATTCTCCTGCTTTTCCAGCACCAGCTCCACCGTTTCCACCAGAAACGAGTGCAGTTCTTGCTCTTTCTGCTTCAGCAACTTGAGCAAAATGGCGAGCTCTGTGTCGGACTCCTGCTTTTCGGTGTACAGACGCTCCAAAGCGTCGACCAATTCCTTTTGAAACTCCTCCTGGTAGTTAAGCTGTTGCAGGCTGAATCGCTGCATGATCTCGTCCTTGGCCACCTGCTCGCGCTGGTAGGACTGCTTGTGCAGCAGAGCCACCTCAGCGTGGTCCTGCTTTTCCAAATAGCACTTGGTGAGCAGCAAATAGTGTTCGAGCAGCATCCGCGCCGCGATCCCGGTTTCGGTGTCAGCCTGCAGCACAAAAGGCAGGATGTCTTCTACAACTGACTTCGCCAGCCGCTCGTCCGCGGCCTTCAGCAGTGCCAAGTCCGCAAGCAGCGCGAGCGGAATCTCTGCTTCTCCGAATAAATGCAGCGGTGGCGCGCCGGTGCTATTGTAGAACGAGCCGGGTGCCGGAGCTGCGATCGTGGAAGATACGGCTGGTGCGACTCCGCCCCCAGTGGATACTGGACCTGAAGATGATACATTTGCGGTCGTAGTTCAGTCTGTAAACACGCTCATCCTCGTTCTCCTTCTCTTTCATATTCGTCGGTTCCAAAAAAGTACATTAAACACATGCAAATAGATCAATCACAATGACCTTGTCCAGCAACAGGAACGTCGCACTGGTGGAGACAAGTCAGTCGCTAGCCGTAGTCTGTCTTTCCAAAAAATTTCTAGGCGTAGTCAAGTCTTTTGTCTGCACACGGACCGTATAACATTCTCATTGATCGGTGAAAGTGCGCTCGATGCTTCTACGTCTTCTATCTAGGCCTACAACGATTGATCAATTAGCCCTAGTGGAGTACCTCCATGATGGTAATTTTCCTCCCCCGCGCCACTAGCAACGCCGGCATCGTGGTCGCTGTAGAAAAGTTGCAGTCCCGTCGACGAGGACCCGACATGCGCCGTCCGTTCGTGTTCAGGTATCATCACGTTGCTCTCTGCGCCACTTCTGCCTCCCCTTTCGCCGCGCAGATGGTAACCCAAGTCCTCTCTGCGCCCCAGAATGCGGTCGATGCTGCGGCGGGTGTCTCGATCCAGAATATCGTCCTCCTCGAAATCCTCTTCGGCGGACGAGGAACCGGAGGTAGAGTAGTCGGCGTCCTCCCCGTCGTCGGATGAAAGCAAGTCCGCATCGCTGTCGTCGCCGCCCTCTACTTTCAACAGAAAATCACTGCCTTCCGCCGCCTCGCCCTCCGCGGTAACTGGTTGATGTTGATATTGCTCTTGCTGGCTTCCCACCTGCTTAGGAACCCAGTACATTTTCTTGCGATTCTTGTTGCGCCGCCGCCTTCGCCGCCCGCCCGCCCCGCTTCGCGGGGTACTGCTTGTGGACTCTGCGCCAGAGGAAAGAGCGTCGGAGGACAAGAGATCCTCGCCCTCCTCGTGGTCCCCCGAGCCAGCAAGTTGGTCGGTATTTTCGCCACGAGAGCCCACTCGCTTCCCCTCTAAAGCGGCCATCGCGGCTTGGCGCCTCGCGTTCGCAGCCTTCCTTCGCTTCCGCCCAGGTCGCCCGCGCGAACGCTGCGGTGTCATTGTCCCTTCGAGGGGCTTTGCGGTGGAGGAAAAGTCGCCTTGTTGGCCTGACATCGCTGCACTTCGACCGGTGCGTTCGGCGGCTGAGGACCTGCGGTGCGGAGCAGAAAGCGCTCGACCACTGCCCCCCGCAACAAGGTGGCGAGAAGATCGGGCTACGTTCTGTTCCGCCGCTTGCAAACTTTCGGCCAGCCGCGATTCGATGGTGTCTAGGCTCATTTGCTGCGTGACGAAGTCCAACGCCTCTGGCGTGAGGTGCTCCAGCCACCGGAGCGTGACCGCGTGCTCCTGCCCCGCCAGCTTCGCCAGGATGCCCTTGTGCCGCGCCTGCTGCTCGCACAGCACCAGAAACTCCCGCCGCCGGTTGGTGACCAACTGCTGGTGGTTGCGAATCTCCTCGCCCTGCTGCCGCAACTGCTGCAGCCCATCTTGCACGAAGTCAATACCCATGGTTTTTTAGACGCTGTTCCTTCAGCCGCCAGCGGCCTTTTCCGCAAAAAATTGTAGAGACCTACTTGTTTCTTACGAGATCGTCGGAGCGGTGGCTGTTTCGCTGGTGAATCCAAGCCTCCGCACCTTCCGCTTCCTTTTCGGTTTCGTACAAGGTGGCCTTGCTGTCGTTCCTTTCCGCCGGCCTTAGTGCTAGTTCAACACCCCAACGGCTCCTGGCGAGGGGTACTCCAGTCCGGAAGAAACCTATCACTTCTGTGTACCACGCAAGGAAAGTGAAAGTGTTACGCAAACGCGATCATACTTGTAGAGACAACTCAGATTCCCGCTTCGGGTCCGGGGGCAGATCGCTGAGTATGTCATTTGAAATTGAAAATCTTAGCAGCTTACGGCTGAGACGAAACTAGAACTGCGCGCTCCGCTTTGATTGAATCGTAGTACAATTGAATTGTAGAAGACTATAAGGACAAAGCTCTTCTACTTCAAAAAAGGGGAGGAGTGTTTCAAATTGAAATTGCGCTAAAAGTGGATCTGCAACTGCAAACAAAGTCGGTCAGTAGCGCACGAAAATTAACTGTTGATTGGCATGGATTTGGATGGGGCCCGTCATCTTCGAAGTTCAATAAAAACGTTTGTACATGTAATTAGATATCAGGTAGCTGTAAAAACTGATTGGTTTGTAGTTGTGCAACACGACATTTGGAAGAGTTCAGAGTTCCAGTCAGCAACCCGTTGCCATGGTCAAGAGCAGATCACCACTCCCCGTGCACAAGTAGAGCGCTGCTTTCAAACTCAGCCCGTTGCTCGCAACTGATTGTGTGCGAGTTCCTGTCTAAGGTATGCAGCTAATCCTAATTGCTCTATCGCACGAAAAATTTGTAGAACGGCACGAAAGAGGATAATAACTCGAACGTGGGAAACTGTCACCGAGGACGTCGCGCTTCCTTCATCTAGTACGAAGATCGTGCACGATACCAACAACGATGACGAGAAGTAAATTCAAGCACGGACGAAAAGTCACGAAACGTCGAACGAAACAAAACTGGACGAGAACAAAGAGCCACTTCTTTCTTGCAGCCCGAAGAAAGGTCAGTGAACCACGAAACGCAGGTGGAAGAGGAGACGCTACACACAGTCTGTGGTTGCAGCAGGAATTACAGCTACAAAATCGAAATTGATATTGCACTTCAAATTTCTGAGGGAATTCGATCGACGTTTTTGAAACGCGGCCGCTTGGAAGTCGGAATCACAAAGCTGTCTTAGTCTTTGACCTGAAAGAATGTATGATCCCTGTGAAGCAAGAGAATGTAGATGTACAACTACAATCTGCCAACATAAACATTTGGATTCGCCTGTCAACGTACTTTGTCGTGTGCAGCTCTCCTGCGCAACGGTGAATTACTTCTCGTTTGCACACTCGGTCCCAGCGTCATGATACTGCTTTGGCTCTCTGGAGAGCCCCATACTCAGGTAGTGTACCTGATTGAATTTTGTTTTTTCACCAGTCAGTGCTTCTATTTAATCTGGATTGTCGTTCCTTCATCTGTTTTAGTCAGGCGAACTCTTCAAAAAATCGACACGATCTCACCGATCCGTGCCTCTCTTGGTGTTCTGCGGGGGTACACGCGAAGTTTCTTCGGCGCGCCGATGACAGCCGGCGTGGTGCGAAAATAATGCTTCCCCAAAATCGGCGGCTTGTAACACATGCACGCGTAGAGGCCCACCAGGATCCACCTGTTGGGTTACAGTTTCAGTATTTCTATTTGCTTGCATATGCTACAACTCGATTGGTCGTTAAAGAAGACGAACTGCAAGTACTTTTCATCAAATCAATTACAATTTAGAAATACGCTCCAAAGACGACGCCGAGCGCCCAGCTGACATAGCTCTTCAATGTACACCCCTCGTAGTTGCAGATGATACAGGGCCCGCAGAATAGTGCAGTGCAGTTGCACTGTGGAATCGGCCTCGTCTTTTCGCTATCAACTGTAAAAATGTCTGGGTCTGGAAGATTCTGACACTTGTCATGCACGTTTTGCATGAGCCACGATGTCTGTGATGCATACCCTAGCAATACAGATTTTTTGAAAGCTTCTTGATGCGTATTCCCAATGACAAATGCCTTCTCAGCGTAGCAAAAATTGCATTTCCTTTGGTACTCGTGCAATACAGATTTTTTTGGAATCCAAATGCAGCATCACAAGTTGCAATCTTCCAGACCCAGACATTTTTACGTTTGATATTCGCAGCCCCAAAATCCAAACTCCGTGTCGTCGTTCCGACACAAAATCGGTCGCTCCAGTTTTATCAAGTGTAAAAGTGTCTGGGTCTGGAAGAGTGCATGTTTGTCATGCTTGTCTGGCATGACTCTCAAATCTGTCATGCACGTTACCCAAGAGCGCCATTTTTCTGTCATGTAGAAACGCAGTTTGTCATGCAGAATAGGCAACATCTAGAAGCTCAGAAACTTGTCATGCTGAGCGAGCACTTGTGGCCTCCTCATGATACGCCACCCAGCATCACAAGTTTCCAGACCCAGACATTTTTACAGTTGATAAGTTTCGCAGCCGCCTGATTTTCCGCTTCCAGGTCTGCGGGCGACTTCGCGTCCTCGTCTTCGTCCTCTCTGTCGAAGCACCAGAAAAGCGACTCTTCTTCTGGGGCTGGGTCCGTTGTGGAGCTATGGCGTGCAAAAGTAGCATTAGCGACACCGTTGCTTCCAATGTTAATGCAGTATCCTTGATGAAAGATCTCACAATATTTTATGGCTATGTATACAACTTTGGTTACCAGATTATGCCTTTACACAACTTCTTCTCCTCGTTTACAGTAGATTTGACATCACGATCACGACTTCGTAGCATTTTATTATCAGCTGCTGATGTCATTTGCACCTCGTACTACCCGAAATTGAACATCTCCCGGCGCCCGACGACAGCGCGCGTGGTCGCCCGCAGCTTCGTAGTACTATCGTCCCGCGGCTCCGCTCCGGGGTCGCAGCCTTCGACCCTGCTCCCCGGGTCCATCTTCTTTGGCGGCGGTGGCTGCCCGATATCAGTAGCCTCTCCTGCACCACGAGACCACAGCCGTTCATCCTCGTTTCCCTTGTTGCCCGCCCCGGAATAAATACCGCTTCTCCTTCGTCCCGCTTGCGCTGCAAAACTGGACTCGGTATCAAGGGCCTTGCCGTTCTTGCCCCCCGGCGCTCCGCTCTGCGTGCCCCCCGACGAGGGTCCTCTAGAGGATCTACTTTTGGAGGCGGAGGTGATGACTTCCTTCACCTTTTTCTCTTCCTGGTTCTGGCCGCGTCTGATTTCCCCCAGCTGTAATCCTGGAACAACCGTCCCTGTCGTTCCGGCTGCTGCAGTGCCGTTTTTCCGTACCTCGTCCGCGACGTCCTCTCTTGGCGTCCTCGGCCCCGCAACATCAGACGGCGTAGCAGCTGCAACATCGTCGGGAAATTGGAAATCCATCTGCAGCGGTTTACTTGTCCTACTCTTCAGCACGGCTTGCGAGGACTCGTTATCAAATGGGTCCGGGTCCTGCCCGGCTTCCACCACGACCGGCCGACTCTGTTGTTGCACCTGTCGTTCCCCTTCCGGGCGAGGCGCGCCGCGCGCTCTCGCCGCTTCGCCCCGTGCGACGTCCCCCGGGAATGCGAACATGGAGGTGTTATTCACAGTCTGTGCCGACGAATTCTCCGTGCTTTCTTCCGGTGGTGCTTCATCCGGAAAAGAAAATACCGGCGGTGTCGTCGTGGACTGTTGGCCAACTGGTCGTGCCCGGGTCTGCTCGTCCCGAGGTACTACTCCTAACCTTGCGGTAGAGGAGGAAGAGGAATTGCCACTTTCCTCGCCCGGAAACCGGAATTTTTCGCCTTTCCCACTCGTCATCCTCGGGTGTCTCTGTTATTTCTCTCGTCGCGCTCAACCAGATTATTTCACACCCAACCAATGCGTTCCTCGCCTCTGCATTTAAGATTTCTACTTTGTTTTGCATAGGCATACATATCATAAAGTAGTGCTCAGGATCGCAACCTGCCCCTTTGCGTGCTTGTAGTTTGCTGGTGTCAACCTTGAACTTGATCTGCGCTGACGCTTGTCGCTACAATTCATTGTGTCTGACGGAAACGAAACAAAGAAAGGAGGACAAAATCAGCGTACCAAATGCGAATACGATAGAATAATTGGCGTCAGTTTTTTGAAGCGGATAAGCCTGCTACTTTATTTTGTTTTTGTTTTTCCCCCACTATGATTCCTCACCCCCCAGTTCCAGTTCCTTGAAGATGTACTACCCTACTGAATGCTACTACTTCGATTTTGGCTTCAACTCTCGTACGCTTTTCGCTCTCTACAATGTAGACCGATATCAAGCGACTTCCGAAACAACTTGATGAACGACAATAGCGGTGCAAGAACAAATCGCACTGCCCCCGCAAGAGAAAAGAGTTTTCTACCAAGACGGGTAGGCAGTGTATTGACAACGGAAACTACGGTGATCCCGCAAACGTCAGACGGCGGGCCAAAATCAAACCTTCGACCCAGAAGACCGAGGTAAAGTCGTTCTTCATGATTTAATCCTTCTGGTTGTGCAATGATTATATCTCGTCCTCAAGCTCGACAATCAGTATCAAATTTGTACACGGCAGGTCGAACAACAAATTTGTTCGGGTATTTTTATCTTAGGAGGAGGATATTTTCAGGTGGAGGAGCATTCCCATTCGCAGGATCCGTACCACGAACAATTGTAAACAGTACAACGCACCATGACTACAAGTTTTAGTCCACCTCCACTGGAACTTCTTCATGCACTTTCTATCCTACTAATACGCGATAGAAAAAAGCTTGAAGAAAGAATAAAAGCAAACGAGGATATCGATGTTGTTGCTCCGGTCGCGGCACCGTCGTTGTTCGGGAGAACGCTGAAGGACGACTGCTATCCGCTGTAGTAGCACCACCCAGATGGATCACTATCCTATATCATAATCCGAGTTCTCGAAATATATCCTGCAAAGTGCGACAGCGCTCCATCAGTGAAATGGTGTGATGAAAGGTACAAGTAGTACCTCTAGGGTTGCAAACAGTTCTGTTCAATGTGCTCATCGCTTCCATAAAATAGCCTTTGATGTGCATATCACGTGGCGCAAAAAAGAAAGCCGCCTCATTCGTCGCGTGTAGCCTTACGATTCCCAGCGCGCGCGCCTGCACGGCAGTAGAATCCGAAGGAGGCTACGTACTGTAGTCCTCGACTAAAGCTTTTGCTTCAAATGGGCGATGATGATCCTGATCCTGATCTTCTAGCGGTGAATGATATTGAGTCGGGGCGAGCTCAGCATTACAGCAAGAAAGTAACACAGCTACGTGGGTAGTAGTGTATGATGGAGGTCTGCGAAACAGGAGTGGAAAAAGTGCGAAACAAGAAAATGGGAGACTATTTTACGTACGGCTACACTGCCCGCAAGCACGCTTTTTGCATCAAGAACGAGTCCCGAAACTTGTAGAAGTCGTCGTAGGGCCGCTTGTGTTTGCGATCCCGGTTGCGCTTCTTCCGGCTTTTCCAAAAAAAATCGGCACGGTTGGTGGTTGTGAAAAGTGCGTCGCCGGCAAATGTCGGTATTTCGTTCTGCTTCAGCTCCCGACATATGTACGGCTTACCACCTGAAGTTTTCATTTTGTTCGATGTGCACCTTGCATCATCATAATTTTCAATAAAACCTCGACGACGACGACAAGCAGAACAGAACTACAGGAAAAGATAACGAAAGTCTTCATCGGAAACGCCTGTCCTCGATAAAGCGAATCAGACCGAGCTACCATGTGCCAGCTGTTGCTTGGGGAAGAATTCCGTCGTGTTACCGGCTGTGTTCGCTAGCACCTCTACTGTTACCTTTGTTTTTCGGTTTGCAAGTTTCTGTAAGTACGACTAGACCCACCGCAATCGATAATCCGCAAATGGAACTGCGTCTGTCTGTGGATTCGCTTTGCTTTTACTTCTAATTTGTGTGCTGCAATGACTTGCATTGCTCCCACATAGCAAATGCTTCAATGTAAGTTCAAGTTGTATTATCGCTTCCAACATTACCGAAAAAAACACGATCTTACCGCCCTCTTTCCGATTCCCATGCTAGATCGGTTTATTCTGGCGAGCCGTTCTTCCTGCACTGCCAGAGCTCGGTCCACGCGGTCCAGACGCAGGGTTGCCCGGGGATCTTCATCCGCTATCCCGGGTATACTCATCGGCGGAACGGTGCAGACGCCGGCGCGCTGTGTGGTTGTGGGAATCTTTTTTGAGGGGTTCTTGAGTTGCGCCCGCATTCAAAATTCTGAAGTTGCACAGCTCACACATGAGATCAACATGTACTATTTCCAACTTCTTACCGTCGCGGTCCCTGATTGTAGCTCATTCTTTATTCTCCGCGGCGCTTTAGCGGTGCTGGAAGACGCGACTTCCGCGGCTCCTGGTGGCACCAGAGCGGGCAGAGAAACGGAACGCTCCGCGGGCATACTTTCGCGATGCTTTTCGTATTTGGTAGCTGTACCTTATGAACGAATCTAATGTGGAATTCTCCAGATACGTGTCTTTCGGGCCTGTTTGCGATCCTCGCTACTACACCCCGATCTGCCAGTAACCTAATCTATCATGAGAACCAACACTCGCTTCAGGTCCGATCTGCTTACCCCGAGGCACTCGCCCAACATGTGTATGAATCGTACGTACCACTCTCCGAGACGACAAAACTAACGAAGAAGACAATGAAGGTGAGGACACTACCGACCATACGATATACGACGCCTGTCGATCACCCTGTTACGAGAGAAGACCCCGAACAGCAACAGACTGCCTTCGATCTGATACGAAATAAATCTTCGAAATGCCACCATGCCTGTCTCCATCGATCGATGCTTAACTTTGATATGACCCCAAGAAGAAACGCACTACTTCGACGAAGAGCTCCAACCACGGCATCATCAAGTTTTCACGGGATCCCTGAATTAGTGAATCACTACGACCACCGACCAATGAGTTACAGATGCGCGCGTACGCACCGACCAGTCGGATACGCGCGCGCGGACTTTTCTTCTACAGGCGAAATAGCGACACTGATGCTTGACTATTTGAAAAAAGAACACACGTGGCTCTGGCGCTGCCTCGTTTGCCTCCGGATCTGTTCGTGGCGTGTGCGTGCCAGTTAATCTTTTGATTGCTCTTGTTTGATTTATTTCAGATGATGTTTACGCTTTAATTGATTTTGGTGGTCCTTTAAGCAATCATTCTACGTATAATGCGCCCTCGAAAAGTTGTGGTGAAATACATACTGTGCTACTTGAGCGCTGTAGTAGCTACAGACAGCTCTTACTACGCTCTTTTTGATGGCGCGTACCAATCCTTCGTGCAACATCAGCAGTTTTTTGGTAGATAGGAAGTATACAGTTGAAAAGTTTACAGCGTCCCTTCAGTGATGTCGATGTTCATTTTCAGTGTGTGAAACGTGACGTGTCTGAGTAGACACGCTAGAGGATCCGGTAGCGCAGGGCGAACGCACCAGTCCTCAAAACACCTAAGCGAACCTTCCAGACAAGAGGTGCGTCCTGGGCTGCAGTAATTTCCGGCCGTGCTCACTCTTGTCCGTCAGGTGGGTGTGCACGACTACAACGATACTCGTCTTCATGGGACATTCCAATATTCTAACTGCGATACGTATTCTCGTATTTTACCAAAAGAAGATTTTAGTGTGAAAATAGCTATAGTACATTCGATAAATCATACCTGAACAAAGCCAACATGATGACCCTACTTTGTGTTTTTCTCAATAGCAAAATACGACTCAGAACTTCTCTGTGCGTCATTCCACCAATTGGCTGGTCATATCAAGTACAGTGCGACTGCGGCAGCTCCAGCTTACGAAGCAACTGGAGATGACAGCACAACGAGACGGAAGCAGTACAACGGCCTGCTTGTTCCTCATCTTCCACCTGTCCTCCGGCGGCCGAACCCGAATCGACCTCGACGTTCCTGCAATAATACAGCGCGTTTGTTGTCTATTGGTTTTCTGCACGACCCGCTTCTTACAAGCGATCGATGTACTCGGAGATGTCCGGGTGCTCGACCTTGAGACCCTTGCGCTCCCGGATGTCCAACATGATGCTCTCGGCCTTGGAGCCCTTCTCGAGCGGGTCGGTCTGGATCAGCTGCCAGTGATCGAAGGCGAAGGTGGCCAGCGCCTTACCGGAGGTCTTGGTCTGCAGCACCTTGGTGAACGGGTCGTCACCCAGCGTCTCGGCGATCGGCAGGAAGGCCACAACAATCGTCTTCCCGTCCTTCACCTCGGTGTACTGCGGCTCACCTGTTTTCGTTAGAGCGATCAAGAATTAATACGTAGAGAAAATGCAAACGGTTTCGTCCAAAATTACAAACAGTTTCTGATTTAAGAAGCAAAAGAATTACTACAAAAAATCACGAAGAAGTTGTAAGTACCTCGCTTGGCCATGATTGCCTGGTTGACGCCCTGTTCCACGTCTTCCGGACAGGCGATGACGACCTTGAAGATCGGTTCCATAAACCTCGCATCGGAGGTGAGGACCGCGCCGAAGAAGACTCGGCGGGCGGTGGGCTGGAGCTGTCCCATACCGCGGTGGATGCTGTCTGCGTGGAGCTTGACGTCCATCAGGTTGAAGCGGACGCCGCGCATGTTCTCCTCGGCGAGCGGCCCCTGTCGCGCGGCCCACTGGAGACCCGAGTTGACGGACTCCTTGATCTCGTTCAGGTACTGAATCCCCTTGGTCTGGTCCACCAGCACGTTGGCGCCTCCCACGTCAATGTCGTTGGGTCCGAAGCCCCAGATCTTCATGCAGTCGGTCTTCTCCCAGCCGTACTCGTCAATCAAGACGCGCGCGCGCTTCTTCACGTCCTGCTGCATGTTCACCTTGTAGGTCTCGATGGCCTGGCTCACCTCCTCGCCCAGCGGGCAGGCAATCACGTACAACCGGTTGTGCTTGTTCGGGGACTTTGACAGCGCCGGCTTGGCGCACTCGGTGGTCACCGTCTCCTTGTAGGACACCGTCGGGACGCCGCGGGTAAAATCGACACCGGCGTGCTCCTCCTTCAAGTCCTTCAGCACCAGCTTCAAATGCTCCTCACCGCAACTGGGGGGTTGTAAGTTTTTTCAATTTCAATCAGAAGTCCAGCCACAAAGCATCTTGATTTTTGTTTGATCAACGCAGCAGCGCCAGCATGATCGGAGTAGTCTCTACTAAGTTGCACCTCTGACATAGCTGACCTGAAGCACCACCGGTTTTTCTCGTGCTAACTACAAAATGAAGTTTTAGTAGATCAGTGTATTGCAGGGGAAAATGATATAACGATAAACAAAACCGATTTCATTCTTACCCGCTGACAATGTGGTCTCCGGTTGGCTCGGAAACGCAGTTTACGATGATATCGGCTTTCTGCAGGCGCTTGAGCCCCTCAACGAGTTTCGGAAGCTGCTTGCTGTCGGCAGGGCGGATGGCGATGCGGTAGACGCAAGACACGTTGAAGGACAGACTGGTGAAGTTGTAGGACTTCTTGTCGGAGGAAATCGTGGCGGACTTGCTCATGAACTGATCGACACCACCCAGGGACACGATGTTGCCGGCCGGGCAGTTCATCACGGGTTGCATTTCCTGTAGAAATTGTTCGCATTAACAATTACATCGCCGATAAAGCTCATCTCCTTCTTCATGTTCATTCCACATGATATACTCCACGGAATAGAGGTGGCCCAGCAGCACCAGAGCGACTCGGCTACAAGGCGTTCTAATTATTCTGTCTCCGTGAAAATGACCGAAGATCGTTCCTTGACTTCGTAGCAACAAAAAGTTCTCATTAGAATTGAATACCTTTCCCAAGTTCAACATGACGTTTTGTGCGCGGCCCTCCTGCGCGTAGGCGGAGGTTTCCGGATCTTCCGGATCGTAGTCGGGGCCACGGATGTGATACTTATCGGTGGAGGCCACACCGGAGAAGATGCGGCCGACGGCGTAGAACCGTCCCGCGGAGCCGGTCGGCGTCATCTTGACGACGTGCATCATCAGCGGGCCATTCGGGTCGCACGCAACCATCGCCTTGGCGGTGTCGGACTCCATGTCGCCCTTGTAGATGTGCTCGATCTTCAGCTTCTGAGCGACCTTCGGGTTGGGGGCGTGCGTGGCAATCATGGTGGCGATGGCATCGCCGGCCGGCAGCCACGACTGCATCACGCGCTTCACGAGCGCCTTGCCTTTCAGCTTCTTGTCTTCGGCCTTCAGCGTCACGCCGAGCTTGGTGGCCATAGCCTCCCAGGACGCGTCTTCGGCCATAATCTTCTTGTGCATGTTGATAATCGGGTCCAAGATGAACTGGACGAACCTGATTTTTGTGTAGCAGAGAAAACATATTTCGTGAACAACTTCGAAAAAAATCGTCTCCTGAGCCAGAGTTGCGAATGCGATGTCCTACTACTCAGGGTCCGTAGTGCTCTATCGTTCTTGAGCCTTCTCGTCTCAAGGAGTTCAAAACAGTCAAACCACATTTGAGACACAGCCCTCCAAGTGGAGGAGAAACTGTAAGTGCAAAATCATTAACATGTCGAATATGGACAAACAGGACTCCATATTAAGTACCCGCGCTTGCTGCCCTCAACCTCCACGGTGGTCCAGGTCTTCTTGGCAGGGTTGTAGAACTGATCGCCCCACAACCGCTTCATCATCTTCTCCTCCGTCATACCGGGCATCTTGGCGGCATACATCTTTGCGAACTGACGCAGGGAGAAGGCCCAGCCGTAGTAAGCGGATCCGAAGACGACGTTACCTTTTATTTTGTTTCTTGCGATTTCACGAGGGAATCAAAATTATCACTTGCTACTCTCACCTGCAAACTGACAATTTAGACCGTCGTGGACGTGCGACTGTGGAGTAACAGCCAGACCTGAATCCTCCAAGCAGACACCAACCTCAGGGGAAAGAGCCCCAGAAAGCAGGTGTCTTGATACAACGGCTATCCTATTGCATGCATGCAAATCCGAAAATCTTCAAACCGCAATGAATAGATCTCTCACAGATGAACCGCACCCTCTCATCGTCTCTTTTGATTTTGTCTGTTAGTCTTAGTACCTCGACACACAGCAGAAAAACAACTAATATCTATACCGAGTTCCGGCACCAGATTGAATCCCTTCAGGTTCAATTTCTCCGCGCCCGCCAGTGCGACGTTCATGTTTTCGACGACCTTGGACAAGTCCTGGTACAGCTCCTCGCCGGTTTTTTCCAACACCATGATGGAAATGTCCATCTTGTTCACGAACAGGGTCGGCTTGCAGCGCTCCTTCAGCGAGTCCGTGACCATGTATTCCATCATCACACCGACGCCGTCCTGCACACCGACCGTACAAAGCGTGGCATCGGACATACGCAAGCCCGCGGCGACCTTTCATTTTTGCGAATAAAGAGTTGTTTATGTCCGGTCGATAAGTGGTGGCATATCATTCGCCTTCTCAAATTTATTCGCTTTTAGAATCTCGACACTTTGTGGAGTAAAGGGTGAGTATCAAAACTGCTTTAAAGAAGTCGACGAAGGTCGTCGAAAAATTTAAAGAATTCCAGAAGCTGCACGTAGGTCAAATAGAAATACCTCCGGGGAGTATTCGATGTGTCCCGGGGTGTCTAGCATGCAGAACATGAATTTTCCATCCTTCTCTTCCCCGAGTTCCTGCTTGCCCACTTCCCCCTTCAATTCGCTGTACTTGGCGTCCAGCAGGAAGTGGCACGGGTTGCACTTGTAATTGGATTTCTTTTCCTTCTCATCCGCACGGTACCTAAATTTTTGTATGTAAGCGGATTTAAATTATCACATTCACAATGTCGGAAAAACGCACCAAATCCTTGCGACTCGTCGACATGCGGCTACATTTGGTCGGCCCGGAGAAACAATACTATTCTAAAAGTGAATTTCCTTCTTCGCTTCGAATTTAAATTTTCGAAGCCGAATTGCTGTTGGCGCTGTAGGAAACAGCACCTAATCTCAAGACGATGGGGCAGGTGGTCCATCCAGGTTTCTCGTCCGGCGGTCGAAAATCAAGAAGAACGACCGTCAAGTTTGCTAAATCGGAACGATGAAACAAATCTAAATCTAAAAATGGCTATGATACAGGGTGAAGAGCTGGTCCCCAATTTTGTTTTCGGCCAGGTAGCCGGTCAGCGCTCCCATGTTATCCATGATGCAGGACTTTCCGTGACCCATACTTCCGAGCATACACACGTTACGCACGGTCTCGATCTGGTCCATCTGACGACGGGCATCATCTTGGTGGTACTTCGGCATCTTGTGGAGGGTGTTGTTTGCAAAAGAGTGATACTAGGTGAAACAAACTTCTAACGAGAGAAGGCTTGAACAAATCTAAATCGGGAAGTTTCTACGAAATTCGTGTAGAAGTACCCGATACGACTTTGGCTGTGAGTAGAGATTTAGATTTTCGGCAATAATTGTGGAGTGGTTCGATTTAGAAAATTTAGAAAACTTCGGAGTTGAAAAGCGAGCTCGGCGGATCTGCCACAGTCTTTAAATTCCATCATCTGGAGGCTCCGCGTTTTCACTAGCGTTTCTGTCGAAGATCTTTCGGACCTAAAAAATGACGCTGGATCTCTGTAGAATTACTCTAATACCTCCAACGCGGAAATCAAGGTGATCCACAGTCAGCGAGCGTGCGTGTCTGGATGCTTGCTGCCCAAGACTGCACTCAACTCGCAAGAAAGGTGGCGGAGTCATTCCGTGAAAGCGAAAACGGGATCTAAATCTGGTCAAGATGATCCTCACGCAGGACCTCATTGTATCTTTGGGACCAAGATGCGGATCTAAATCGTACCTGGTCAGAGAACGAGGATCTAAATATTCTGAGACTCAGACAATCTGCTGTCTTGGTCCCTCTCCCTGGAGAGTTGAACCGCCCCTAATATCTCTAATCTGTCGTGAGCAGTGATTAGATCTTTTTTTGGAAGAGGCGGTGGGCCATGCAAATTTTCGTCTCTGTTATTTTCATTCAGAAGGTCTCTCGCAGTTCTGAACAAGTCTTCTATCATGTGATCGTGCCTTCTACCCTAGTGGAACGCTTCGACAGCGTCCGCATCATTCCATGCCCGATGCCGATCTAAATTTGAACACAACGTAGTACTCCCGCAGCGACAGCATCCTGGGGCACGTAGCTCTTCAACGTAAAGGTAAAAGCTTCTCGTAAATACAATTTTTCTTCCAAGTTCGAATTTTTTCAAGCTCAATTTTACAAAGTTTTATTTAGTTTAGCTTTTAGTAAGACGCATCACATCCTTCAATTTAAATTTTCGCTGGGTGCAGATTGCGAGGGAGCGTCAGTCTCAGTTCGCAAAGAAGCGTGAGGATGGCGCTTTTTAAACATTTTTGTTGCGTCAGAGCTCGAGGGTAAATCTAAATGTTCTCCTCGCTATCGCTATTGGTGGACATTATTTCGTACAATTGAAAGCTAAGTTACAGCAGCGCAATTTCTCTGCCGCTGTCGTCTGGACCGACCAGGTCACGTTTCTTGTCGCGGGACTGCGCAAAAGGTCTGCTTTCGCAAACACAGAGGATGGTTCTGGTGCGTTCCACTGTCACATTCATGTTCCTCTGCTATCTCTGGCATCCTGCTCCTCTGCTATCATCTTCCTCAGTCTACTGGTAATTGATTAAAATCTGCTAAGCATTGTATTGAAGCGGCGGATTACATTTAGATTATGGATTTAGATTGCGCATCAAATGGTGTTGCGTAGAAGAAAATCTTAAGTACATCCGAGTAGTGCTATCCATTGTACATTGGTTTTGAATTACTTCCTGTCCGTGTCCCCTCCTCAAAACTCGCCGCCCTTTGTCCCGCTTCCACTAGTACGAAAGTACAACTGCGGCCCCCGTAGGTTTAGTGTGTGGATCCTCTATCGTAGAGAAAAGTGTTCTTGCAAAGATTCGGGTTTTCGTTTTTGCTTGGCTCCGTCAAATTTGCCAATTTTTGATTTTTCATCGAGAATGCAGCTCTTCTGTGCCCGGGCACTTTAATTATCATGATTGACACATCAATGGCACCCCAGTAGACACATCAAGATCTCGTGCCTCATTATCGTTTTGTTATCACTGTGCGCAATAACTCTTCGCAGACAAACCATCTGGCACCTTCACTTATTTCAAAACCGACCCTGTTGGCAAGGCCCTACTTTTCTATGATATCTTCTGCACTATTCCCACTTGTTATCGTACGAAAAAAGTGTTTCACTGTAAGGAATTTGCATGCTTTGCATCACAGGTTTGCTCTACATCACAGAGAAAATTTGCCATGCAAGCTTCCTAAGGGGAAACACAGCTAAAAATTCACTTTCTTGTATGTGTAGCAAGACAAATACTTCTCAGATGCATTTTCGGCATTACAAGTTTACAGTGAAACAGTTTTTTCTTGCGATACTTGTCGGTCCGTTCCGCCACGGAACTCGTTCGGGAACTTGTTCTGGCGCTCTCAACTGTTACACTCTCAGCTGTTACATGGTTTGTCATGCAAAATTCCAATCAGAATCGACACAATCAAGCTGCTTCGCATGACAGATTCCCGAGCGGTCAAATAGGCTGGAAATCTGTGCCAAGTCTGTTATGCAAAAGGCGCAATCTTCCCCCTTGTTTTGTAGCTTTGCCATTCTTGCATCACAAATTTATGTAACAGTTCAGAATGTAACGTTTGAGAATGCCATACTTGTGCGGGGTGAAGTGTGTCCCTGCCCAGCCGGCCGGATTGATCTGCAGCCCACGACCTGGTACATCGAAATCGTTGTTGTTTTTTCATGTTTCACCCACAAGCTCAACGTGAGTCACATCTACTCCATGCGTCATGTCATTGGTACACATAGCGGTGCTCGTGTCGAAGCGAATCAAACCTACCTTGCTGCTGCAGGTCCTGCAATGTCCCCATAGTTCGCGTTCCGCCAGATTGGAAATAGTTCCTCTTCCCCTACTATACCGGTGCAAGGTCCGTACTTTCATCTCTAGTCATACTTTTCTTTGTAACAATCATCCTGTGCGTCATCTCACGCTCCTTGCACAATTTTCTCAATGCGCGGCTTGATATAGATATTCTTCAAACAATACAATCTGGGATCTTCCCTCTCATCTCGTGGTGACAAAACTCTCAACAAGCCACGCAAACAGGCCGGAGTAGATCCTGTAAGACGAAAAGTACGAAACATTTCCGTGCCGTAAATCCTCGAAGTCCTTCCTTCCCGAGCGTGCCACTTTGTTCCGCAATTCCGGGTCTTCCTTCCTTGCACTAAGAGCTGCCGACGTTGGCAGTTGGTCCTGTTTTCAGGTATTTTTGGCAAGGTTCGCACATAGCGGGCGCGTCGTGGAGACATCGTCAAGAAGAAAATGATCATGTTCGACCCTGACGCTTCTACTCAACTGTTCTTGGTCGTGGATCCACCTGCAATGATCTTCTCCTGACACTGAAATAACATTTTGCCTGGCAATGTTACTCATACTCCTAATCCTAAATAACTCGCTCACTTAGTACTTCTGCTCGGTATGCCTCCGTCCTCGCTGACACACTTCTCGCGGAGTCCCACCCTATTGCTTCCTGCCTCCGGCCAAAGTCGTGATCGTATGTGGACATTCGGTCGCAGTTGCGGGCCTACAGGTTTATCAATCTTCACGTTTCATTTTGGGGCGAGAGGATGTTTGCAGCTGCATAAGATCATCCAGATGTAAATTCATTGCACTACATGGTCAACATAAGTACTTCTATCTTTCTTGCCTGGAAACAAATTAATTCTATCTAAACCTCCATCCGCATTACCTGTGATCTCAGGTGATTCTTGATCGCTGCGGTTCGTCTGAAGACGGTTTGCTCCGGAAACTTCTGGACGCTGTAGGGGTACACCATTTGCTGGACCTCTGGTCCCATTACATGGTCCCGCGACGAACGCGGAAATGCCATTTTTTGTTTAAGACTGCTTGTGCGGGGTGCTCGTCGTAGTGGAATGAATGGGTGCGGGAGAAGAGTCAAACCATGCGACAGCCTTTATAATTTTTCTCCTTTCGACTATCTAGTTTGTTCGGCTGGAGCCGGACGCAAGGGCTTCTGGAATAGCACGTCTGCTTCGTTGCCTTTTTTACTCTAGTAGTTTCTATGACAACGCAACCAACGAAATAGATGTTTCTCTGCGAAGCATGTTACTTTAGAGCAGCGACATTTACATCTCTCCAACAACGCGACAACTCGCTCGATGCAGAAAACGTCCAAATCGCTCGCTCGTACTCAAGTCAGACCCTCCACTCAAGCTTCCTCGATGAGACACCAACTACATCGAAGCAGCCTAAGATACACGAACAAGGAGCTCGATACGTCGTGAACGAGCACTTACGCAGTCTCCAATAGTTGCAAGTAGTTCACTAGAAATACGCGGCGACGAATTGCTTCCCCCGTCAAAGAACATGTTGATACGTAACTTTCACCGCCTAATGAACATCTTCACCGGTTTTTCATACTCGCCGGGTTACAACTTTGTTGTGTCTTCGATAATACGGTAGCACGTAGCCATCGAATCGCATGAGTGAGGTGGTGCTGGTGGCATTTAAAATTGTTGAATCCCAGACAAGACGAGCTTCTTGTCTCAAATTTTGGAAACCGAAACGAGTTTTGCGTTTTTTCGCTGTCCGCACAGAAAGTACGTGCTGTAGGTGCTGGCATTTCATCTTCTTCTTCATTTGTCGTTGTCCGCATTACAATTATATTCTACAGTTTTTTCAACAAACGCTCGTGCATCTTTGCGCAGCGGCCAAAGATGCGCTTCGTCCTGTCCGATTCTCTTTCTCGATCTTGGATCTGATCATTCTGTGCCAGCCGCGCCTCTTCATCACGAATCGCGTTCCTGACGAGGTTGCGACTTAGGCGGTTCTGGGCGGTGCTGGTCGGGTAATGCCAGTGCCATTGAGGAAAAGGGGTAGAGGTAAATGGGTAAAAATTCTGGAAGAAGTGAGGTTGTGCGGGGAGACATCCACGGGGTCGAAACATTGCCGGCGTGCCGAACGGCTGCTAGCTAACTGGCTGATGGGAAGGGTGCAGGAGGTAGTCGGGTGGCGCATCTGCGATGTGGTTCTTTGTTCGTCTTTTACGCCGCCGCTGCTTGTTCACCTCCTTCCGCACCGGGAGCGGTGCTTTCGTCCGCCGGTGCCGCTGGCTGCTCCTCGCCCTCGGCTGGCGCGCCCTCGCCCTCGCCGGCCTGCGCTTGCTCGCCCTCCGCGCCCTCGGCTGGAGCGCCACCCTCTGCTTGCTCCTCCTGTTTGTTTTGCAGTATTTGTATTTCTATTTTCGAATATGTAGGACTGTGATCATCTCAAACTATATTCGATGCAAACCCAGCAGAGCACGAAATCAAACTACAGAAGCGTCTACTCGCTTGAATTCTGGAAGTGGGTACAGGACAAAAGAAGACAATTTATGTGCGTGCGATCCTACTTCTCTACCTCATCCATCCCCATCTGATCCAGTTTCTTCCTCGGCTTCTTGGCAGCTTCCAGCTTTCGTTTTTCCCGCTCCTTGGCCTCCTCCCGCATTTGCCGTCGCCGCTCTATCATCAGTTTCTCCTGGTTCAGTAACACCATCTCGGCCTCTTTCTGAACGGCGCTCAGCTGCGCCATTTCGGTAGTGTACAGCGAGTTATCTGTTTTTTTTAATTTCTTTTTTTCGTTTTCTAGAAAAAGAAATCACATAAACAGATACAAGGTTTTATACTTGAACTTGTAGGAGTCCCATCAATTAATTTGTTGATCTTGATAATGTTTATCGCTACTGCGGGAAATAATTTTGATTTAGTTGCCAGAAGATCGGTCCGAATCACCTCTTATTTGCGGACAAGATGCGCGTCCCTATGTCCACAACTACTTCTACTGCCTGCTCACAATGACAATTCATTTGTTTGTGCAACTCCCATTAGTTGTTTACCTCGATTGGTTGGACTTGGTGGCACGGTTGTTTTCGCTAGGTAGCCGAATATTTCCCGACTCTCCATATGGGCGCCGGTCAGCTCCACGGTACACTCATTCACGAGCTTCTCGCCGCCAAAGGACAACCGAAGGTCCAGAACCTGTTAGTTTTCATCGATCATGGCGTAAGCACCGCCTTCGTCAGGAGGTTTTTGTTCGCGGATTCAGTGCTTCCGTCACCCCCCAGCCATAGATACAAGAGCTGAAAATCTATGAAGCACGTGGAGACGAAAGAAAAACAAGCGGGACAAATCTGAGGACTCTCAAAATTGCAAGTATACAACGCATGCATTTTTTACAACTCAGTACCTCAGGCCTCTGGTAAACCGGCGGGATAAGTGCCGGCGTGGGTGGAACCGGCGCGAAACATGCGGTCTTCTCCTGCGCAACCTCCAGCGCATTCTTCCTTTCTTTTTGCGCGCCCTTCATCGGTGCACTGCGATTCAGGTGCTTCTCCATGATCGCGAAGGTACGATTGCGAAGGGTGCGTCGCCCGGCCTAAATTTCAATTTCAATGAGAGTGAATAACTTATTGCTTGTAAGACTAAGAGGGCAAAGAAGCGGCTCTTATCGTAGCAAAAATACTTTCATCATTGCTTTTGAACAAATTTTTCACGCTGTTCTTGTTGTAGAGCATTCCATGTCCGATACCTTTTTCAGGCTCCGGTTGGCAAGTTCTCGGTTGCCCAACACCGTGCGCAGATCCTGGGCGGATTGCACATTCAAGACGAAGCGGAACTTGTCAAGCACCCGACAGAAGGCCGTCTCGCTCCAGCTAACCTCCACGGAGGTGGCGAAGTAAGTCATCCGCAGCACATCGTCCTCCACGGTGCGCAGGAATTTGTAGGAATTCTGAATGTTCAGCTCCGACAGTGTGCGTGGGGAGTTGGAGTGATCGGGGTCGTCCATATCGAGCTCTGTGTCCGGCCGGGCACTGCGAGCGGGCGAAGTATTCGCAGTAGCCTTTTGTTGCTCCATCACAGGGGATGGCCCCGGCATCGCTTCCCCCGCGGAGGTCGCGCCGGGCTGCATAGGAACAGCGGCACCGTCAGCACCTGGAGCAGCGGCTGCTGGAGCCATAGTTATTTAGTACTTAAAACAGGGGAGATGTATGATCCTCGTCGAGGTTGCAGTTTTACTTTTAGTGTAGGTTTCTTTTTCCTTCATAAGGTGGGCACGATGAGTAGAGTGAGTAATTCGCTGCCTCGTGCCCCCGTAGCCCACTGCTGGTCCGCTAGTAGAAGAAGTTATTTCAATAGGACGGCGGCAAAATTTACAATATTGGATTCTCTAGCAGAAGCGGAAGCCGAAGCGTTTGCATATCATACTCTTTTCGAAAACACTCTAGCACATGACTCTCTTGGAGGAAACGACTGGGGCGAGAAAGGAGGAGGTCGTGTGTTGAGAATCGTGCATCATCGAAGCCGGGCTGTGCCTGTAGTTGTCGCAACCAATCGAGACAGGGTCATCTTTTCGCTCCATCTGGAAGGAGAACGACGAAGAGACGATGGAAAAACTTTACATGAATCATGCGAATGCCGTACTTATTTGTATCGAAACCGAAGTCGATTTTCACTATGCAAGGCACGGGAAGCCGCACAGCACCCGAGATGGCTCGTCGTGCACCGAGGTGCTCAATTCAATTTCGGACTTGTTCACTACCATTCACAATACCGATACGAGGTTGAGTAGGCACGCAGAAGCGACCACTCTGCCTCGTCTTCAGGTTCAGGACGACTGCTTGCATCAGCTGCTCAGCTAGATGGCGGACCGAAAACACAAGAACGCCTTTACTATAGTGGTCTTGGCGTCTGTTGACACTTTTTATCTCCAAAACCGATTGTTTTTGACCTTATTGTCGCGCCGCACGACTGCATATCCTTTTTTTATCTACGACACCGCCACGACAGATGCCAACGCCGATTGTTTCGCTTGACATGCCAACACGACTTACTACTAGGGAGAACAGACTTGCTTTTTTTTGCGAGCTTGCACCGCTGCGCTGCATTGTGTGGCGACAAGGTGGACATCTCAGGGAATATGTTCGCCTTCGGCGGAAAGTAAAAGTATTCTATTACTTAATATGTTCAGCAGAAAATTCTATGAGCGATAGTTACGGGGGGATGAAAATTACTTTGCATGGTCAACATGCAAGACGGGGCTGGGGTTTGAGATGTTACTCAAAGATATGTATGAGCTAAAGCCAGCCAAAAAAAATTCGATCGGTTCGCATTGGTAGTGTATGAGAGGGGTAATAGTAGGTACTTACTTTATTTCTTTACGTCTCACATTGATTATTCTACTGCTTGTGTATTACTCCGCGAATGGTCCTTGCTCCTGGCTCGGTTTCGCTATTCGCGCCGACAGGTTAGAAGCGAGTTGCTGCAGTATCGGAGGGGGCGTTTCTAAGCCTCCTTCTCCGATCTTCTCTTGCGGCGCCCCTTCCTCGGAGGTGGCACCTTCTTCTAGCAGTCCCAGCTGTTTGGCTGTTTCTATCTCCCCAGCCGTCAGTTGCAGTGCGTCGACCCCCGGGGCAGGTTCTTCTGCCGCTCCACTTCCGGCGCCTTTGAGCCTCAAAAGTTTTGCAGCGACGCTCGCCGCCATCGCTTGCGGAAAACCGACGCGGAGCAGGTCGCTCTCCAGCGTGTCCGCGATTTCCAGTGTGTACTCCACGTCGATGGTAGGCGTTTGCAGGTTCAATGGCGCGGCGCCGGGCGTAGTACCTCCGCCCAACAACTCCACCACTTCTGGTTCTTCAAGAACCAGAAGTGGTTTGATGAGGCCCAAGACTTGGGCCTCATCAAACTCGCCTTCCACCTCCGTCGTCTCCTCGCCGGAAAGCTGCGGCTCGGAGGAAGACTTTTCCGCGTCCTTGTCCTCGTCAGGGGAATCTCGAGGACCCCTGAGTCCGGCCCGGTCCTTTGTCGCCCCAGATGAATCATCAACACCAACAAAAACGGCTTGATCCGCCTCTTCTTCAGTCGCCGTGACGTCTGCGCCGCCGCAGAGACACGGACAACAGCGACCCAGCCACGAAGATAACTGGTTTCTATTTCTTTTCCCCGCCAGTTTCCGTTTCAGCTCGTGCAGGGAACTCCGCTTCATCAGCTCCACCTGCGAGGCCCGACCCATTCCCTGCTCGTCCGCTAACTTTGCCGCGAGTGATGCTTTCTGCTGGCTCTTCCTCGCGTTGCGCAGCCGCTCATACCGGTCCTCCGGGCTCTCCTCGTCCAGTTTTTCTTCAATCTTTTCTCGCAGATCAGCCAGCAAGTTTTTGCCCCCCGTGCTGCTCGTCGGAGAGGGAGAGGTCAAGTTATCTCCCTGGCGCGGTGCATCACTTTCATCGCCTACGTCTTGTTTTTTCAGAAACTCTTCGATTTGTCGTTTCTCCTCCTCCGTGGTGGCCAGGCTCTGCAGCTGGGCTTTTTTCCTTTCGGTGATTTTTGCGTTGGCAGCTGCAGCTTCTCCGTCGCGGTCCCTTGAAGATGATGTCCTAGAAGTACTCGACCGCGGCCCCCCTGTGAGAAGTTCATCTTCTTCACTGTCTTCCTCGTCCTCCTTGTCGGCGTCCTTAGCCACCGCTTTGGCCACCCTTTTGGCGAGGGCTGGCGCAAAGCCCTGAATGACCAGGATTTGCTCCGCGTTCCCGAGTTCCACTTCGAGGGGTTTCACCGCGGTGGAAAGGTCCAAAGAGACCTGTGCTTTCATGGCCACGTGCCTTTTGGCGAACCCCGCAACCACCACAGCGGCCTCGGTCGGGGCGCGAACGTCGAGCACCTGTCCTCCCGTGGCCTCCACGCCAAGCATCGTGGACAGTAGGGCCAGGTCGTTCTCGCCGAAGCCATCGTAATTGCGCAACTCCGCGTCGGCAGGCGATGTCGATGGACGAGCACCCGTGAAAGTTTCTGTACTTTGAATCGTTTTATTTCCATGTTCCACTGCAGTCTTCGCCAGTTTCTGGGAGGCCGCCTTCGAAAATCCCTGTGCGACAAACGCCTCCTCGGCGTTCCCCAAGTCCAGCGGTGGTGGAACTGAGTCTTGCATATCCGTCGTTTCCACGAGCAACTCCCCTGTTTCCTCATTCACGCCGTACTTCTGCTCCAGCTTCTGGTGCAGAAAGCACCGCAAATTGCCGACGGTCTCGGTCTCGCCAAACAACCCCATTTGCTTCAGGAGTTGCAGGTCCGCGCTCGCCACGTCCGTGCCGGCCGTCAGGTCGGCGTCCTTGTGCATCCCCGCGTCCGCGCAGTGTTTGGCCAGCTTGCCCGCGAGCGCGGCACTCATGCCGGTGGTCAGCAGTGCGTTCTCGGCCGTGTTTTCCGGAAGGGTTCGCGCGGCGAAGTTTCGTTCCCGATGGCCCCCGCGGACCTGCTCGCGGACCCAGGACATAGCGTCCGCAACCGTGGTCGTGTCCTTGTCGAATCCGAGCGTGGACAGGAGCTTCACGGTCTGCTCCTGCTCCGCCGCATTTTCTACTTCCTCCTCGCCGGGAGCGCCGCCGTCTTTTCCTGCGGGGTCGCCTTGAGTTGTAGATGTGGAGGTTTCATTCCTTGTCGGCGACGTCGCCCTCGCCCCACCCGCAGTAAACTCTTGCATGATCAGTGCGTTCTTCAGCGCCTTTGCCAACAGGCTTCCCTCGCTCTGGTCCGCATTCACGATCGTCTTCGCGAGTTTCTGGGCGGCTTTCCGGGAAATGCCCGCGTTCACGAAGGCTGCGACGGTGTCGTCCAGCTCCAGCGGCTTCTTATGTCGCTTAGATTTTTTATCAGCCGCAGTTGATGATCCGCCGGTCTCCTCCTCGTCTTCAACTTTGGGAATTTTCGGCTTTGTCTTATTCGCCCGCAGTTTCGCCATGCGGTTCAGCCACAATCGCAGCTGGTCGGCCGAGCCGCCGCCGGACTTCTGCAGTAGTACCGACGAGCTGTTGTCCTTCTGCTTCTTTGTTTCGGTAGTTCGTTCCCCCTGCACTGGTTGTTTGCGTGTTGTCTGCCAGAACCCGTACGACTCCAGAGCTCTCCGGTCGGCAGTTTCCCTCGGCGGCAGGATTCGTGCTACGTCCGGGTCTTGCAGCTTCCGCGCGAGCCGTTTGGCATAAGTGTCCGACAGCCCGACTTTGTCCACCAGCAAGGCCTCTACTTCCTTTTTGCTGGGCAGCAGGACCACCTTCGGCAGGGGGGGAATGTGCTGCCTCGGCACGGCGGGCTCCGGTACTGCTGGAGCGCGGCCGGCCCCGGGAAATAATTGGGACGCGGCCTCGGCCGCGGAGGCACGGGGGGCCACCGGGACACCCGGAGGTGGAGCACCCATGATGTGCTCGCCCCTCTTGTGCTTTTTCTTCAACTGCACCAGGTTCTGCCGCATGGTCGCCACCCGCTCTGTGGGCCCAAACCCGAACTGCAGCAAAGCCTCTTTTTCCAGTTCGGGCAACTGGTCGAATTCTTTTTCGCTCGTTATGTTTTCGGACCCCCTCGTGTCGGCGTCTGCCAGCTTTCGGGCCAGCTTCTTCGCATACTTTGCACTGATGCCCGCTTTCCGCAACAGTCGCTCCGCATCCGTCCGCTCCACCCCGGTGAGCATCTGCGCCTCGGCTTTGAGGGAGACTTCCGCTTTCTTTCTTGTTGGTGTTGCGGTTTTCTTTTTCACTCCTGCGCTTTGTTTCGCTTTCGCTTTTTCTACCTTGCCTTTGCTCTTCTTTAAGCTGCTGTTGTTTAGCGTTTGCGTGTCGAGTTTCGTGGGGTTCAGCAGATGCTGCCTATCTAGTCCTCCCTTGACGTCCAACCTGGCAGTTGCTAAGCCTTCGCGTGCGGTTGCCACACCATCGATTGTTCTTTCTCTACTCAGGTCGGTGTGCGCTACCTCGAGGTCGGGTGTTGGAGCTGCAGCTCCAGCGACTGCTTCGCGTTTCGGTTTCGCCTTCGGCCTCTTCGGCGACAGTTTTTTGCCTTTCTTCTGCGACGTCTGCGGCCCGCGCTCTGGACTGCTACTCAGGGAGCCCTCGCTGGCCTCCTCGGGGGGCGGTATATGGCTCGTATCGATGTGATCACTTTCGTGGCCTAGTGGCCGCGGGACTGTAAGTTCTAGGGGCATTTTTGTACTAGGAGTTTCGCCCATCTTGTTGCGCTTGCGAGCCGGTCCTCCGCGTCCTCGCTTTTTCTTCGCGACGTCCTTCCGCGGTCTCAGGTGCTTGGGCCGGGGAGTGCCACGGATGCGCTCCGTGGACATCGCACTTTCCCCAGAAGTTGTCCCCGCGGACGTCTCCGAAATTTCTAAATCTGTGTCGGAATTCGTTGCTCCCGCTGTGGTTTGGTCCTCGGAAAATAACCCCCCCGGTGCTGTAGTAGTCGCTGCGACGTTCTCTGTTAACACCTGTTCATCGTGGTCCTTCTTCTCATAGCTGCGGCCGCCTTGCCTCTCGTTGTAAAGCCGTTGCTCTTGTCCTCGCTGTCGTTGCGCAGCATCTACTCCTGGTCTTCTCGCTCCTACACCGGTTTCACCGCTGTCATCTCCCCTGGCGAAACAGGACATGACCGCCCAGACCACGCAACAAAGCAGGGCGAGGACTACAATGGGAACGACAATTAGAGCCAGCTGGCAATCTCCCACGACGGTTTTATGCGCGAGGTGGCCTTGCACCGGCGTCGGCGCCTTGTTCCTGCCATCTCGTTCTTGCTGATGCCACGCCTGGGGTGCGTTCCCAACGCCAGCGCCACCGGCGGTTAAAATTTCGCACCTCTCCTCCTGCCCGAGAATATTGTCCGAAGATCTTCCGGATAGCTCTTGAATGTTCCGGTCGTTCTCGAACAGGTCAGTGGCATTGCTCGGTCGGACGTCAATTGACGTTGTCGCACCACGACCAGAGGTCAACCTTCCGCGACCTTCTCTGTTGTTTGCCAGCAACAGCTCCGTACGGTTCGGAAAAGCAAACATGTACGGCCCACTCTCCTTGGCCGCCCGCGGCTGGAAGTTGTTTCGGGGGAAAGTGGTCCCCGCCATCCCGAAAGCAGCTGCCCGGTCGATTCCGAGAATCGCGAACGGGTTCCGCACGCGGTCCACGGCGCAACGCTCCTGGCGAAATCGGTAGGCCGGGCAGCTGTTGAGATCTCCCTGTACCGCGGCTTCCCGGGCCCCGATTTCGGGCTTCAGAAACGGCAGACAGCGGAGCTTTTCCTCGAAAGACTCGCGCAAAACCAGCGCCGCGTCCAGACAGAAGGTGGCGTAGTGGCGCAGCTGCCGAAATTCCGCCTCCGTTTCCGCGTAGGGGCCCGTGGAGAACAGCTTCAGGCAGGCGGAGAGCCGCTGAAGGCCGGTGAAGGGGTCGCGAAACCGGACCCACTTGATGGGATTTTGGGCGCGTTTTTCCTGCAACATCAGCTTGCGCTCCTCGTTCTTCCAGTACCCTTGGACGGTGGCAGCCATGTCGGACGTGGCCGCGTCGTCCCCCATATAGTCGAGCAAGACCGGCTGTCCGCCGTGCGTCTCGGCCAGCCGCTTGAAGAAGCGCCAGCTGGCGATCTTGTTCTCGTTCTGCGCCGTGGGGCGCCAGATGATGTAGGTGGACAGTTTGATGCCCCACTCCACGGGGAACAGGGTTTCGAACTTCTGGTCCAGGCCATCCTCGAACTCCGCGCCGTCCTCCGCGTCCGTGATGAGCATCACCATGGCGCCGCAAAAGTCCGCGTCTTGGACACACTGCTCCCTCGGGGGAGGAAACGAGTTCGCCAGGAACGGGAAGTCCTCCCGGGCGGGGGCCGGGAACGTGCCGAACCCGGCGTACATGAGCGCCAGGAGGACCGCGCCGGCGGCGTCCGTGCTTTCATCCGGGTCCGGGAGGTCGTCCAGCCACCGTTGCGCGGCTCTCACGTTTGGCTCGGTGGCGACGACCAGCTGCAGCGACGTCAGCTGCTGCATGGTGCCCCACAGAAAGATGGCGAACCGATCGTACGTGGTCAAGGTGTCCAGGGCCTGGGCCACCGCCTGCTTCACGGCGGCCCACCGCTTGTGCTCCGTCATAGACCCGGAGAAGTCGATGGCAAACACGATGTTCTTGGTCACGCGTTTCTCCGTGGCTTCGTACCACGGGGCGGTCCGTGCGTCGAAGTTCTTCTTGTTGTTGCCCAGGGATACGAAGGTGGTTGCGCTGGAGGTGGAGCTTCTACTCGTACTCCGGAAAGTGCTCAAATCTTTCCCGCCCGAAGACCCTCCTCTACGAGAGAGTTGATGCAGTTCGTGATCGTGCGCAAGCTCCAGCACACTGCTTTTGTCTATTTCATGCTCTTCTCTTGTCGTGTCGCTGGAGAAAATCGGAAGGTGACTTGATGTCCCCTCGTCGATTGCATTTTGGTTCGACAGGAACGATGAAACGGCTTTGCTCTCCTCCTCCTCTGTAGGCGTTCCAGCTGTTCCATCAAGATTCATGTCGACGTGCGGGTACTCGACCAGCCTTCCGGTAGTAGCGAACCCGAAGCTGGCGTAGCCCACGTAGGGCTGCAGAGACGCCGTTGCTGTAGGTCGCTCCCCCCTCGCAGCAGCTGTTTTTTTCCTTTCTTCGTCCCACTTCTCGGGGGTGGGCGCGAACTGCTCGACGAAGATACGACCGACCTGGGCCGCCACGCAGTCGTCAAAGAGCTTCTCGTGGCGCAGATCCGTCGGGACATCTACTACGCCCTCGCCCGCCTGAAAAGCGGAGTCCCGCTGGACCTCTCCGTCGTCGCTGATGCGCGCGCCCGTGCTGCTGTAGTGCTCACCGTCGCCGGACCAACGCGCTTCAATTCGGGGGAAGAAACTGTGTTCTAGCCCGACTCTATCGAAGAATCCGTCGCCGGCATCGAAGGCAGACTGGCGAAGATTCCCTGCAATCATATTTTCCGCGAAACTACTGGAAGACATAGTACCAGTTCTACTACTTTCACTTTGCAGTTCTCCAACAAAATCCTCTTCGCCGTTGTCCTGACCACGATCCCATTCGCCCCCGAGCGGCAAACACTCGGCCGGGTCGTCGCAAACCCCAAAGCGTGAGGCCAGAAACGGGCTGGTGTTCAACAGGTCGGCCTTTTGTCGCAGGATTTCCTCCTGATCGGCGTCTTTTCCGTCGATGCGACACCCCGTTTCGCCACCGGCAAGGAGGAGAACGTTTTGCTCGATCTCCTGCTTCAGCTGCTGGACCCGCTGCTCTACAAGATCGAGCTGCTGTCTCGTGAACGCCCGATGCTCCTCCGCGGTGAGATTTTTCTCCGAATACAGCGTTTTCGCTGGAGTTGTACTCGGCGTCGTATTGCCTTTGCCGACGCCCTTTGTTTTGCCTGGAGCCGTAGTTCCACGACCTGCGTCAACATAATTTCTAGCTCCGCTCGTGGGCACCACCTGCCGGGTTTTTCCGCGAAGCAGAAAAGCGCTCGATTGGCCAGGAGAGTTATTCTCTGACGTTTCTTTCCTGCCATCAAGCGTAAATGAGCCCGACTGGTCTCTGCGCTTGTCTACTCCCTCGGTTGAATCCAAAATTAGTAGCCTGCTGGGTCTTTCTCCTCCCGCCTCGTCGCCGGCTCTTATTTCACTGTACTTTTCCTCAACAGAACGTCGCCCTGCAGATAAAAGAATCGGATCGCCGTGGAGGTCCTTCTGGAGCATCAATCCTATGCTGGATGCTGAGGGTCCTACTACTTGTCTATCATTTTTACTCCCACCACGCCCACGACGAGTTAAGAGCGAGGCTGGCCGCTCCTGCGTGAGAACAGCAGTTGTCGCGCTTCTGCCTTTATTTCCTGGTTTATGCTGCTTCTTCAACTGGAGGAGCGCGTCTGTGCTGGAAGGAAAGAAAAACAATAGCACCAGGAGCAGCAGAAATAGAGGCTGCGCCCTTGGCGGGAGAAAACGCAGATTTTCCATGGTGATGGTTGCCAGCTCCTGGATCCGCTTCTTTACAACATTAGCTTGCAACAGGGTGACTGTTTCTTTGTCAAAAATGTTTTTTCATGCCACGACGAAGTTCCAGCACGTGAAAGTTAATACAACAAGCGAATAAAATTAAGTACTATGTATTTGGCAATTAATAAATATGTACTTATATGTAAGCGATGGGGTGGCAACGACTATTTTGTGCATGTCGGTACATACCTGGCTCGTAAAATATGTGCGCAATCGCCTGAAAAGAAAATACACGACGGACAGCATAGACGACGACAACCATGTTGATATAGAAAGATGAGATTTCAACATACAACTCACGCAGTCGGGAAGAATCACACCGTATCACCCAGCTAGCCGCTAAAAGACGACACGCAAAGTGCCATGCAATGGAAAACAAACAGGGAAACAAGGGAACGATAGACGGATACTTTTGTCAGAACGATTTGTGGTACGATGGATTTTGCTTGATCAGGCACGATTTGCAGTGGAGACACAACGTGCACGACTATCATGATGGTCACGAACCTACTTCTGCCTCTAACTGAAGTGAATCTTCTAACGACAACATCAACACCTGGACTAAAACGACGACAACGATAAAAACGCAAAAACGGACGAGCAACGATCTCGGTCTGCTAATCTTGGCGTGCAGCTGCAGCTTATCCCTATTACTGCGCCTTCGCGGCAGAAATAGAGAATCAGATGGCGCTTCTCACTTTTCGTTTACACTTCTAAAAAGTACGCGGAGTTTCATAATACAGCGAGGACCGAAAATTTTTCACGAACTTTGACCTGCTTCGCTGTTGAGAAACACAAACAGGGAAAAGAAACCGCCGCATAACCAAGTACGTGCAACGGCGATCGGTGCGTGCGCCCGACTTCATGGCACCCATTTTCTTTCGCTTTCGACTCGACTTTATGCGCATTCAATCAGTACTGAGTATGTTGTCGAAGGTAGCAAAGAATTCAGCAACGTATATTGATGATCCCAAAATTCCAATACAACTTACAGGACGGCACAGGTGGCAAAGCGTTTTTTCTTTCCGCCAGTGCGCTGGACACTGGGCTTTTTTTCGGCCGTAAGCTGAAAGGGATTGTTGTCGGGTCGCTCCTCGGCGTCACCGCCCGGACTACTTGCGGCCTGCGGCTTCATGCTTGCAACGGCGCTCACCTGTGGGTAGTGCGTTTTTTTTGGATGACGTTGTATACTTGTGCATTCTTCATCTTTGGTTGTACACATTCAGTAGTGCACCTGATCACAATGTCAACTAACACATCAAGGTGGTGTCGGGTATCGAGTCATAATTCATGCTCCCGGCCACAATCGGGGGAATTCCGCGGATGCGGGCAGGTAGAATCTGCCCTAGCGCGATGCTACCATCCATCCAAAATGGGCAGAAACGCGCTCCCCTATGCTTCCGGGCACAAAGAGGAGAATTCCCAGAAACGGGGCAGATAGAATCTGCCCTAGCGCGATGCTGTCATCCATTCAAACTGACTAAAACTGAGGCTCCAAGTGCAGTAATCCTCTTGGCCCCGGCCAAGATAAAAAAAGCCCAAAAAGGGGAAAGGTAGAATCTGCCCTAGCACGATGCTACCATCCATCCAAAATGGGCAGAAACGCGCTCCCCTATGCTTCCGGGCACAAAGAGGAGAATTCCCAGAAACGGGGCAGATAGAATCCGCCCTAGCGCGATGCTGTCTGTCATCCATTCAAACTGGCTAAGTCTGAGGCTCCAAGTGAAGTAATCGTCTTGGCCCCGGCCAAGATAAAAAAGCCCAAAAAGGGGAAAGGTAGAATCTGCCCTAGCACGATGCTACCATCCACCCAAAATGCCCAAAAACGCGCTCCCCTATGCTCCCGGGCACAAAAAGGAGAATTCCCAGAAACGGCACAGATAGAATCTGCCCTAGCGCGATGCTGTCATCCATTCAAACGGACTAAAACTGAGGCTCCAAGTGAAGCAATCCTCTTGGCCCCGGGCCAAGATAAAAAAACCCCAAAAAGGGGAAAGGTAGAATCTGCCCCAGCACGATGCTACCATCCACCCAAAATGGCCAAAAACGCGCTCTCCTATGCTTCCGGGCACAAAGAGGAGAATTCCCAGAAACGGGGCAGATAGAATCTGCCCTAGCGCGATGCTGTCATCCATTCAAACCGACTAAAACTGAGGCTCCAAATGAAGTAATCCTCTTGGCCCCGGCCAAGATAAAAAAACCCCAAAAAGGGAAAAGGTAAAATCTGCCCTAGCACGATGCTACCATCCATCCAAAAGGGCCAAAAACGCGCTCCCCTATGCTTCCGGGCACTAAGAGGAGAATTCCCAGAAACGGGGAAGATAGACTCTGCCCGAGCGCGATGCTGTCATCCATTCAAACGGACTAAAACTGAGGCTCCAAGTGAAGTAATCCTCTTGGCCCCAGCCAAGATAAAAAAAAAACCAAAAAGGGAAAAGGTAGAATCTGCCCTAGCACGATGCTACCATCCATCCAAAATGCCCAAAAACGCGCTCCGCTATGCCTCCGGGCACAAAGAGGAGAATTCCCAGAAACGGGGCAGATAGATTCTGCCCTAGCGCGATGCTGTCATCCACTCAAACTGACTAACGCTGAGGCTCCAAATGAAGTAATCCTCTTGGCCCCGGCCAAGATAAAAACGCCCAAAAAAGGGAAAGGTAGAATCTGCCCTAGCACGATGCTACCATCCATCCAAAATGCCCAAAAACGCTCTCCGCTATGCCTCCGGGCACAAAGAGGAGAATTCCCAGAAACGGGGCAGATAGAATCTGCCCTAGC